TCTTTAAAACATAACAATGACCCTGTTTCCCTTTTACCTAGCACATCTCACAAACATACTCTCACACTGACGGATTGCAGTTGGCATATGTAACCCAGACATCCAGACAGTGATCTGGAAAAAGTAGGGGGGATGTATGGCAGCCCCAAGCAAGCCAGCAGATCACAGAGAAAAAATATAAAAAGCAGATTAGCTCAAAGCCCATCCATATAGGGTGGAAGCCCTGTACGCGAGGAACACCTTCCATTGCCCTTCACCTTCCTCGTATTGTTTGTAAACTCTGCCTCCCTTGCCCAGACTCAGACAAGGCTTTCGGTGGCTTTTGGTTTATTATAGTAGAACAGCAATAAAATGGTACATACATACATATACAGTACATCAGGTTCTCCATCACAGAGAAGAAGCATACAAAGAACCATTTAGTATTTAGCATAGCATTCAAGTTGTTCTTCGCATTGTCATGGTTCTATATCGCTGTTGTCGGAAGAAAACCTCATATATCCAAAATAGTAACTTTACAGGAGAAGGAAAAAACTTTTTTACTTTTAATGTAAGTCATTGGAACCAGACTTTTTTCCCAAGTCATTTTGGGTCATTTCTTTTGGTCCATTCTTCATGAAATTTACATACAATGTAAATTTACATACAATGTAAATTTCAAATTATGTTAAAAACTGAAAAACGTCAAAAATGGAGATTTTCTTCCAACAACAGCGATATGGACTATTCTACTGAATTAGTTCAAACTGCGATCTGTAAGTAAAAAAAAACACTATATAAAAAACAAGCATTCAGACCCAGTTTAGATAAATGGGACAGATTAGATCCCACTGTTTTTTGTGTTTTAATAATTGTATGTGAGTTTAAAGCTGTTATTGCTAGTCATGTATTGGCTCACATTTTTAAGTTATGTTCAAAATTAGCTAAAATTGTCACTGCCAAAACGTTTGATAAAGTTTCAGTAGCATTATGATTGCCTTGGTAATGACCAAATGGAATGTTCAGTCATTTATTTTCATAATACTGTGGTGCCTGCCACTTGCTCTGTGTTTTAGAAGGTGTGGTATGCAAAACTGTGCTGCACCGCCCCCCCCCCAACCCATTAAAAGGATATTTGTTGTTATTGTTATGTTCTCATTGTCGGTTTAAGATGTGTTTCTGTAATTAATGTGTTTTACTGTGTTGGGCTGTAGGTTAGGTAGTATGGGTTTCTATGTCTATTAAAGAGAGAAGTTGTTTGGCTAGAAGTGATCTTTCCCGCTATTCCGCTATTTCTGTGGCCTATTCTGCTTTGTTCAATAAAAGGGCATTTGCTTGAGCAGAAATAATGGCATCCTTTGGATGAATTTTAGTCTAAAGTTTTTTTTTTAAAGAAATGTGTTTTTAACTCTGAACCAATTCTTTTCTAAAGAAATGTGGAGCATTTTTAAGTGTGTAGCATGGCAGGGTGCCCTTACAGAATTAATGCACTGAATTTAGTTGATTAAAATGTGCATATTACTTCCTTGCTAATCCAATGTATTAAATTAAGATTATCTTTATCACTTTACTTACTTTTTATAACAATCATCCTGACAGATTTGAATCAAGCAAACCGAATGCAACACTATTTTTTCCATGTGTAGTACAACTGGACATACATCTTTACAACAGCAGCTGACTGGGTCCATTTGTAGCAGATGGGACAAGGGTAGGGGTCCCAAAGGAAGCTCTGGTCCTGTTTTTCAAGATGTTGCTCTCTGTTTGAAACATGTTTTCAAATGTTCCATCCTTTTATCAAGATGTTGATGTTTTGCTGGTTCTAACTACATAGCATGAAGAACAGCTGTTTTTTTTTACTTATGCAGTGATACATTCACAAGATGCATGTAGAAAGTGTAGAACCTATCAGTGCAAATGCCATACAGTTGTTTCCGCCAACACTCTGTCTCTTGAGGCTTCTTCTATTTTCACAACTCAAGAGGGCAGGCACTTTTGTAAAGATAACGCTCGCTTCACTGAAATATGTCAGTGGTTTTCATTTAATGAAAGAAGCCATTATCCAGACATTTATAAAAATCGCATTCTTTTTTATATCCTTTGGCCACTGTGGCTTTTTCAACCAATTCTGCACACCTCCCAGTGGTTAAACAACCCAAAAGACTTCCCAGGCTCCTAAGTGCATTACTTACGTCTAATGTGCAATCAAGCTATTACCTAGAACAATCAATAGCAGGTAGATCAGACTGCCTCATGGTGCCAGAGCACTTTGCCGCTTCACACAGCACACATGGCATGGTGTCGTTTCTTATTTAAAACAGAGCCATGTGAAGCTGAATTTAAGAGCGAGTGCTGCACACAGCCGTGGCAGGAGCTTTATTCACATTAATGCTCACCTACTGTGTGTTAGCCCCTGCCGGACTCTTACTAAAAGACCTCAGCAGACTCTCTGAGCCTCCACAGTGCTCCTGTCTGACACAGCCTGAGAAAAACCAATAAAGCCCACATACAGGAACGTTGGATGCATAAGCGAATGAAAAGGAAAAATTAAATAATAAAAAAAAAAACATAGCGCTGAAGAATAAAATTCTCAACACTGTGAACAGCTGAGAGAAAACAGAAGTGCACTGTGCAACCACAAGGGACAGTCAGCACATGGTCCTACTGCTGCACATGGGGCCATTTAAATGTGTCTGTCACAACAGCCTATTGCCTGTCCAGTGTCTCTCTCTCTCTCTCTCTCTTTCTCTATCTCTCTCTCTCTCCATCCCCCCAGTGATTATAGTTTTTTTTTTTTACATTCACTAACAAGCATTACTCAGTTCTCAGCTCCAAGTTTAAATTTTCTCTTTAAAACTCTTCATACTGTCTGCAGAAACACACGGCTTAGTACAACACTTCATTGTATGCCTGAAATGCTCTACAGCGACCAAAACATTGCAAAACCTACTCATTCCATCAAAAAAACTTGTGTTCTTACAACAATAATACTAATGTTAACGTCAATAATACTGATGCTAATCAGAGTACATAAGAAACACTAACTGTTGGTACTGCAGCTTTTTTAGAATTCTTTTCAGTGCCAAGTTCACTTATTCAAATCTCTTCGTAAACATGTACGCAGCAACATATACATTTAAAAAAAAACTCATTAGAACATAAAAACATTGCAAAAGAGAATGCTTGCTTATACACTGTGCTGGGATAATGGCCTGTCCATTGTCAACAGAAACACCAGAAGTGACCCCTTCTTATAGATGATCAACACCCGGGTAGGACCTCAGCTGAGACACATTCAGCCAGCAGTTTATAACCTATAACCATTATTTTTGGACTTTGACTGTTATTCAATACAGTATTTGCAACTTAGCAAATTGATATGCAGCTAATTTACATTTTATGTTTTGGAGTTAAATGTAACAGTATTGTAATAGTGTATGTAAGCATTTGCAGTTTGAGCTCAATTTGGACCAAATCAAGTGTTATTGTTCTGACTGTGTGAAGAATTTTGAAAAAGAGAACTGCCCAAAATGCTGCTAGGCAAAAAAAGTTAGTACAAAAAACTGTAACAGTGACACTAGTAAAATTAAAAAAAACAGTGGCACGAAGGGCCCAAAATGAAAAAAAAATGAATGGATTAAACTAAAATTTACACTATGAAAAGGATTAGCACACTCTTGATTTCATTCCAAAAATGCCAGCATAGCAGCAGCAGATGGTATTGAAAAATGAATCCTCAATAGGTCAAACACTTTTCCCTTCTGTCACTGTGTGACGTAGCTTTTTAGCAGACATCTCTAACACCACAAAGAAAGCAGCACACATGATCCATTTGCTGTTAACTATGAATAAAATTTACTCTTGCATTTCATTAGCTCCCTCTTGCCACACCACTTACTGCTACCAAATTTAGCAGAAACATTTCATTATTCTGTGTGTGTGTGTGCATGTGTGTTAAGTGTTTATGCTTAATGTGATATAAACAGGGCCCCACTGAGAAGGAAATCTTCTGGTGCATGTTCCTGTATAATTACTAATTTTCATTTTAAGAAGAAGATGAAGAAACACATGAGTCTTTTTCTGTTTACCAAAGAAAACGGAAAGTGTGTGTACAGTAGGATTACAGAAAGACAAATCAGAAACCCAGAAAAAAAGGTGTTCGACTGCCCTCAACTGGAAGAGTTCATCACTACAGCCTTTCAGCTGTGTTTCGTTTTGCTCACCCACATAAAACACATGAAACACAAACTGAAATTCAAACCTGTGCTATATAAGTTTAATTAAATTAACATTAATGTTAATGATGCGTGATATGATTCTAGTGTCAAAGTTACTGATGCACTGCGTGATATCCACCCACAAGTAGGGATGCACCAACATCACTTTTTCCTTTCCGATACCAATAGTGATACCTGATCCTCAAGTATTTGCCGATACCAAGTACCGATTACGGATCCTAACTATCTAATGTAACTACTTGACAGGTGCCTATAAATCCTGATATTTGTACCACTCCTCCTTTTAAATATTGTATTTTGGTAAAAGCAATTTTCTGTGTCACAAATGAAACATACTAAGCTTGAATTAATGTCACTTACCAGCTGGATAACTTTACATTTGAATGGTTTCAGAGCTACAAAACATTGCTGTGCTCTTTGGCATGGTTTATCTCTAAATCTTCAACTAAATTTGATGATTTGCGTAAAATAATCCGGAACGGGCAACATGTTGCTTGCTTAAACTAAGCTTCATCTACTGGTGCACAAGCGATCGTCACTCCATAGTGTACATGTGCATCAGAAAACGCTTCATGGTATATGTATTCTCTATTTCTGCTACCAATACTGTATTTAAATGCCAGTATCAGAGCCTATAACAATATAGCATCAGTATTGATGCAACACTACCTGCAACAATCCCTCATTTTCAGTAACACAAGTATTTACTTCAAAACAGATATTCACTATTTGTGTGAAGCTTGGTAAAAGTGCATAGACCGGAAAAAGGCAGGTAATACTCACAACTTCTTGAGGGCTTTGATCGCATGGTTGAAGAGCATCTCTTGAGTCTGTTTCCCCCGGGGCTGGCTCCTGTTTCTCTTCTGAGAAGCCTGGCTCTCTATGGCTGTAGGCCTCTGTGGAGCATGGCTGCTGAGATGACACAAAACAGAGCACTCTTCCAGTTCATAACATCAGTACAGAAAAACAGTTGAAGTAAAAACTGCCACAAATCCAAACACATCAAAAATACATGTAGGGTTTTACATAACTAAACAGCTCTTTCAAATCCATCAAGAAGGAAAATACCATGCAAGAAAAAATAGTTAATAGATTGCCATATTGTTAGCAGCTGCATGAAACCAAGCACCCCGCAGTCAAAATTACCTTAACTGGAGCTCATGACATTGTTTTAGAGGTAATCATTGTGGCATTTGCCATTTAAACCAGCCCATGAATAACTCCTTGGCAAGCTCTTTACAAGATGCCCCAGCTCCAACTGAGAGCGGATCTATATTCAAGCCAATTAAAGGCATGACTCATATGTCACTACCCACAAGAACATTCATTTTTACAGGCCTGCCAGCCTGTTCCTGCACTGTAAACATTACTCAATCTATACAAGTGGGATTGTTATGGGGCAGCTTTGACTGACAGGCAGTGGCTCTCTGCGTCACACCTCTCCAGGGGAACAGAGCGAGGCAGCCCACGCGCCTTTTGTCTGAGACATCCTGTTTGTGACTTTCTTTTTTAGTTACTGGATAATAAACAATTCCAAACAATGCAGAACAATTCTAAGAACAAAGAGACACATGTCCCTTTCATAATTCATTTCTAACAAAGAGGGATAACGTGACTTACATTTTCAAAGGCATAACACCACAAATACAGCTGAGATGAAACAAGTGTTTCTATCTGTTTTTGACAATTGTAAAGTAAGATCAAACAACGGGAAGGCTTACTGGGACTTAATGGGACTGATCTGAGTCTAATCACTGTGTTAAAGATGAAATGACTACAGCATGGGTTGTAATGATACACATATTTTCAGCCTCAATACATTTTTTGATTTCAAGGATAAAGATTTTAGATCAATAAAAGTTCTCAAATAGAACCTTTTCAATGCCTGCCATGCCAGTCATGAACAAAATAAGCCCAAAAATAAAAAACGTAACCCTAGAATTTATAAGCAGGTTCAAAAAAAAGCCCTTCGAACAAAAGAAATAAAAAAAAGTTTAAAGTGGGTGAGTGCCACTTCCCCTCGCCTCTCACTTTACTGTGCTAGGATGCAACCAGATGCCCAGTTTTGATCATTGTAAGCGGTTTCCACAGAAGACAACAAACAATTGCATTTAAAATTTTGATACACTGTTTTGAATGTTCATTTTGAAATCATTACACTCTTAACTCCAAGTGCACCACACAAGGTCTGGCACTTGCAGCACAGATTGCTTGTTGTTAAACCACAGACAACCTGACCCCCCTGACAGGGTTTGTAACCTGGATCAAACTGAGGTTAAGTGTTTTGCTCAGGGGCACCATATAAAGTCCATTTTCTATGGTACCAAGCTGAGACCTAAGCCAAACCCATCCAGCCAGTTAGCAGCTCCAAACTGTCAAATACTACTCCACAGTGTATAATGACATTACAATATTTATACTTATAAATCATGATTATCTATTAATAGTACTCACACGTTGCCTTCTTGGCCCAGTGGAATCGCAGGCATTATTTTTTTGGGCGTCAGGAATATTCTCTGGTAGGAGTTCATGAATTCTTCATGAGCCTCTTCAGAAGACCGAGAGATGTCACTGCACAGAATGACAGCCTTAACATGATGTCATGATATATTATGAATATGTCTTGAGAATACATTTATACTTTCATACGTATTTCAGAAACAATGATCAAAATACTCCCAAAGCACTCTAATCATCTATAGCCTATCCAATAAGAAGAGTCTGTCTGTGGTGTGCCAGGTTTCTTACCCATGCCTCAGGCCGCTGATTCTGCACAAGGCTCTCAGCTGGGAGTAGTTAATGCCAATTATTCTCTGCCCATCTGTTACAGAATGCCTTACAGTTAGTCTCCCGACGTCACTGCATCCAAGCTTGCAAGATAACTGCAAAAGGCGCCTGCATTCATTACACTTTATATACCTTTCTATTTAAGATATAAAGCTAGTGTTGCTTGATTTTGTTTGTTTACACAAAATAAGGTCTGACTGAAGGCTAGCTAATGTTTCTGCTACCTTCTTAGCGTGTCCACTTATCATACCTATGTCAAGCAGCTGAGAGCTGAGCGAGGCTGTTGACAGCGGCATTCCTGCGAGAGTGCAGACAACACAAAATAAAGCACAGGTAGTGAAGGCAGAAAGCAGGATGAGTAGAGGTACCAGTGTTGGACCCTTTGAGCGGTTCAGTATTACTTCTGTGGTCTAACGGCCTACATTCTCATGGCAACCAAACTTGTAAACAACGTAAAATACAGCTGTAAATAATGTAAACTTTTTTGACACGCCCTCCTGCGCTACGATTGGCTAGAATGATCCCACATTCGTCGCCAGGATTGGCTAGTTGTGTATGAGCAGCCCTTCCGTTTCTATGGTAACTGACGCTGTAAACTTATGCAGTCCCCTTTTTTTTCCTTTTTTGCCTTATGCGATAATATTTTCTAGTAATGTTAACAAGTTTGGCCAATATTAATATTTATTTTTCTCATTATTACAGCTGGGTTTGTGGCATGACTTACTAACCAATCGTAGCCAGCAGGCGGGGCTTGTCTGCATATGTGCAGTGCAGCTTTAAAACGTCATACCTGTTGTATGTGTCTGTGAGTGTTATTGTGTGTATGTGTGTTAGTAGAGACGTTTGCAGTGATCTTATCTTAGTATCTCTTTTTTGGTCTCAGCTAAGTTTATTTCTTTTTTTTTCTCTTGTTGATATTAATAATTGCATCAATAAAAAAAGGTGTGATCCACTAGTACAGCATATTCCCAAATTCAGGCTAAACTCCGAAATATAAAAATCCATAGCATACACAAACCCTGTAGCATGTTTTCGAGCACGCTTTGTCTTGAAGACTCCATTAAGTTGAGCCACTGTGAATCTTGTGTGAATCCCTTTGTCATCATTGATCAGAAGGTCTGGTTTTCACTGGGCTAACTTAACACAGCTAACTTGGACTCATTTCTAACAGTCATGGAAAAATGAAAAATAATCTCCATTACATTTTATTACAACTAATGGTATTTTTTCCATTTTCTCCTAATATTTTACATTATATATTTGCTAATGTAAAAAAGAACACACTTAAAAAAAGGAAAAGGTTCATACATAAAATTTTGGCATTTACTGAGCGAGATCATGTTTTTGCCCGTATTTAGGTTCTGTCACTACCCAATGAGACCACATCACTAATCCTTTTAACTGAAGAGGCTTATAAGGTTTAATTAAGTAAGTGGTTCTATGAGCAACGCAAATCAAGCAAAGTGACCTGAGTTTCAACTTAAATGATCCAGAGTTCTTTAACAATCTATCAACATTCCTCACACTATATTTTTCTACAAAAAGAACACATTCCCTATATAGCACAACTGTCAAATTAAAAGGCGTTATTATCAGATGAACAATGGTGAATTTGTAGTTGTTTAATACAATTATGTAGTTAGCATAAACTAATATATTTACTAAGCCTAAAATGTAAATATTTAGTGTAATGCGAATGTGAAAAAATACCTTTTAGCCAAGACCAGAGGCATGTATCAACATGGCCTTAGATCACACTGTGGGATTGGTGCTACAAGTGGGTATTAGTGGTCTAAAAGCACTAATTGCATCAGGCCCTCATGTTATGAGGACAGTTGCTTTAGGGGGTAACTAGAGGATAAGTGTAAAAGGGATCTCCTGAAATCCTTGCAGACAGCAGTAGAAGCAGTCTGCTTCTGCCATGTTCAGCACACTCAAGAAGATCATCAGGGGTCCTGGGGTGGGTCCTACCCCAGCCCCAGCCCCAGCTTCAGCACCGGCTCCAACTCCAGCTCCAACTCAAGCCCCAGCTTCAGCTCCTTCTCCAGCTCCACCACCTCAGCCAGAAAAGGTAGGTTGCAGCAGTTGTTTTACGCTAAGAGCATTCAGTTAGTGCTTCCAATCTTCAATAAATGAACCACAGCATTCTTTTAATTTATCTAAGTAATTGTGATTCCTCTGTATAGTAGTTTTTCCCTTTTTATTGTGGGCACCAGTAGAATGATTCCAGTGTTGTCTTGTAGGTGTTGTGTATTTCATTGCCAATGTTGACAGCCGTCTCCACTTACAATATGGTTATAGGACATAGTGTTGTCAACTTTGGATGTGCTCCAAAGTAGGCTACATCATCTTGGCACTTAAACCTGGAACATCAGTAGTAAACAAAAATAATATTTTAAAGTGAACTGTATGCATACTAACTCAATACTATATGAGGTTTAGAAGTAAATTATGTCAAAGTCTAATTAGAAAACAAGGTTCTCTTCCTGAATTCAAAGAGAGAGCTTTGAATACAGATACCACAGCAAAATACAGGAACCACACATGAAACAAAGAAAGAGGTTTAGAATGCATTTGCTGTACTGGCTGACAATTGGGAAATATAGCACTTTGATTATCAATGGAACAGAATTGGACATGTGTATCTAAATGATGCTCCTAAAATGTGCTATTCTTTCTGCTGTTTGAATAACCATGAAGAAATAGAAGGTATTTCTTGCATGTACTGCCTTTAATTGAGTGTCTGTTTGGCTTTGAGAGTGGAAAATGATCCTAATCTTCATAATGACCTTACAAGATATCAACTTTGCTCTTGTTTTTTGCCATATCTTTAAATTAACTCTGTCTGTCAGTCTGTCCGTCTTTCTGTCTGTCCGTCCGTCCGTCCGTCTGTCCGTCTGTGTGTCTGTGTGTCTGTCTGCCTGTCTGCCCAATGCAAACGGTTGTTGCAATTTACAGGACGAAAAGCCTGCAGTGAATAACAATGAGCCCAAGAAAGAGGATAAAGAGGAAAAAGCCCCTGGTGAGTCAAAGGTTGTTAAACTAAATTAGACTCTGAATATTACTCTATAAAAGACAGCAGCATTTCTAGAGCATATACCTCATGGACTCCTTTAAAAAACCTAATGTAAGTCAGCGTGTGACCTGCATGGACCTGCTCAGTTGCTTGCCATCAGACATTATTGACCCATCTGCCTGTTGCATTTGTTTTATGAATGACACCAGTATAGCTCAGGATAAAAGCCCTCTAAGCCCCTTGTGTCTCATTTGTAACTAGCCCCAGCACCTGCCCCTGCACCTGCCCCAAAACCAGAGCAGAAGCCAGCTGACCCTGCAAACGGCCAGCCGCCAGCTGAAGGGTAAGAGTGGAAAATTTCCACTGGTATTCATTTACACATCTGTAGCTGCTGAAGAATGATAATGGGCTTTTATTACATTTGGTTGCTTTTCTTCTGTATTTGCTGTGCCACCAAAACAGCCACAGGAATCAGATCAATCACAGATTAAGGGAAACGAGTCCGCTGGCCAGATTCTGTGTTTGATTAAGGGAGCTGATTAAATAAAGTATCAAGCCTAATTAATTAAAGCATCACAGGCTGGAGACCTGAGTAAGGGAAAGAGAGGAGCTTGAGACTCACATTGAGCAAACACAAACATTACCCAAAGGGTCTATGCGTATCTGCCAGAGAGCAGAAGGATTACTGAGGTGAGGAGCAGAGAGAAGATTATGAGATTTGCAGCTCCTGTGACTTAAGAAGCTCTCGGGAGCTACTTAAGTTTAAGCGATGGGACTGAGAAAATTACAAAAACAAAGCCTGCAGTGGTTGTTATTTTATTGAAGAACACATCCCCATATTTATTCCTCACTGTCACAAAGAGGTTCATTTGGCTGCTGGAGGATAGTGTTGTCTGCCCCCGTCTCCAACGGGCAGTGTGTCTTGATTATGTTCTGCAGAATTTAAATTAAAATGATGTGTCACTGGATTCATGTTACAGAGTTTAGAAAACTCCTACCTCTCATCTGCTGACTTTCTTGCACCACAGCATTTAAAACAGGGTTTTCTTAACAGGTTGTAGTTCTACATTTTCACCAGCAGAGGTAGACAAAGACAAAGACAATACAAGCATCCAAGACTGTGCAAGAGTGATTTGGAATTGGAAGCTTTGTATAGTCATCTAAATTATGGCAGGTTTTTTAGCAAAAGTAAATTGGATGATACTGTTAAGGTTCTCCAAATCTGTAAGATTTATTTTTATTATTATTATTATTATTATTATTATTACTATTATCATATATTATCTTACAATGTATGATTAGTTTAATTAATGAGACTTCTAGCTGCTTAAAATGAAAACCAAAATTAAAAAGTCGTATTATCAAGGTAATACCAGCAACAGAATAAGGTCAGACAGGAAAGTATTGTTTCCTAACTGATTCATGCCAGAAACAGACAATTATTATGTGGAATGGTTACAAATATGTTTTCTGATGCCTGATTCATTGTTTAACTATAGTTTTGAGATAAGCTTTTGGTCTAAAACATATTTTTGGGAACACATTCATAGCAAACAGGTACATGCAGGGCATTGTAAGGCTAAATAATATGGCAGTGGTAAATAAAATGTATATATTTGTGCTGCAGACATCACACCTGTTGGTTCCTCTCACCACTGTGAACAAATCAGAGTTGGTAAATTCATGGTGATGAACCATTTCATGTCAAACCATTTTGAATGACTCTATTTACATCCCCCCAATTATTGTATGCAAATTTAAAAAATGTGGAATTCCTCTTTAACAGTACAATCTTAGAAAACACCGTCACGGGTTGTACCCTCAAGTCACTAAGGTCGTTTCTTCAAGACTACATCTTCCACACCCTTAGTTAGGAAACAATGTAGCATATTCCATTATAATTATATATATTTTTAGGTTGCATTGACTCCGCACACTCTGTTAAAAAAAAAAAAGCTATGCAAAGTACAAATATGCACCTTTCCCCTGGAAAAGTGAGTGTATTTTACCTTTATTCTTTCAGGATACACGTACATTCCTTGTAGCTCAGTGAACATTGTCTTAGGGAAGAAGCAGCACCGTCTCCACCATGTCCAATTGTAATAAACAAATATTCAGATACTCAACTTCGAGAAATAATCAAACGGATGCGGGAAAGAACACTAGTGTACAAGGAGAAAATCACAGACCCCTATGCATCCTCCCCAGAGCGCAGCCCTCCAGTCAGTGAGTACAAAATGATCTCTACCTTTATGAAAGTTAGCTGTTCTAGAGAGGTTTAATTGCTTTTAGAAATATTTCTAAATTAAATCACTCATCAAAAAATGTCCAGAAGCTCAGAATTTTGATACTTCTTCATAAGGTCTTTACATACATCTGATCTGAAAATCAACAATTATATTAATTTAAGCCTTTTACCTCGACATAATTTCTTTTTGTTATTGTTGTTCTTATTTGTTTGTTTGTTTGTTGCCTGTATTATATATATATTTTTATTGCTTATTAACACAGCACCTGTTCTGAGAAAAAAGGATTTCTTGAAAAAGCAAGAGGAGGAGAAGAAAAGAAAAGAGGAAGAGGAGAGAATCAAAAAGGAGGAGGAGGCTAAGAAAGCTGCAGAAGCAGCTGAGAAAAAGAAAGAAGAAAAGAAAGAAGAGAAGAAGGAAGAGAAGAAGGAAGAAAAGAAGGAAGAGAAAAAGAAAGATGACAAGAAACCAGAAGCCGCTCCAGAAAAGGAGGAGAACAAGTCAAAAATCAAATGCACTTGTATAGAAACTCTATTGAAGCCCATTGAAGACAGGATGGATAAAGTCCTGGGCACATCCATAGATCCATTCACAGGTTAAACATGCATTATACACAAAGTACATTACATTGTCAGTGTACTACTGAACAGTCTACTGAGTGTAGATCTGCTTGAAAAAGATCTTAAATGCAACACGCTTTTTAGCTGTTTCAGTTACATTTTAATTCCTCGTTCTCATTCATCTGATCATCTCTAGATCGCCGGTACATCACTTGGCTTAGCGTTGTGACGATCGCCTTCAACTACAACCTCTGGTTCATACCGATTCGCATGGCCTTCCCCTATCACACCCCTGGCGCTATTCCTCTATGGGTTACCTTAGATGTCACAGCCGACCTCATCTACATCATCGACATGGTCATTTTTCAGCCACGACTCCAGTTCTGCAAGGGTGGAGACATCGTTGTAAGCAAATTCATGAGTGGTATAATATCATAATCTGTATGATCTATTCACCATATAATATCATTCAGGTTAATTCCTCAAAAAAATGTTGCTCTACTTTGTCAGTATGACAGAACTGTAATTAAGAAGAACTACAGAGAGTCCTCAAAATTTCAGGTAAAAACAAGACATAAAACTGTACTACTTATATAACATACAGAAAATTAAAATGCAACAGTAATTGTAATATTAATTTGTTGTTTTTCTACATTCCTTCCTGACAAGCATGCCCTGCTGTCTATCATGCCATTGGAATTGCTGTATATTCCGTTTGGATTCCAGTCTGTCTTCAGAGCCAACCGCATCATGAGGGTATGTGACGCTGTAGCTTTCTTTAATGATTATTTTAGATTACCATCCAAAAATTAAAATGATGTGCCTGACTGAATGTATATTTTTTATAATTTCAGTCACACCGACCCAAAGTCTTAAGCTGAAGTTCATAAAACTTGTTTATAAGAGAAGTATAAGGAGTCAAGTTGAGGCATATTTCCAAAACATTTTAAATTAAGCTTTTAAATTTTAAGCAACCTTAAATGAGACTGTCTGAGAGAATTTTAAGACTGTGCAAAGCTGCAGCAAGGCAAAAAGGGGGCTAGAATTTAAAATACAAACCCATTTTGTACAAATGGAACATTTTGTAAAATACAATAAAAACAAGAATCTGTGATTAGCTGATTCTATTGAACCTTTATTTAACTGACAAAAGTACAAAGAAATGACTTTTAACGTTTTGACTGACCAACTTGTTTGTATTTTGTAAATATAAAGAAATAAAAATTTGATGCCTGCAACACACTCACAAAAAGTTGGGACAGGGAAAAATAAGAGTGAAAAGTTTATAGAATATTTAAGTTACACTGTTTTGAAACATACCACAATAAGCAGGTGAAATGGTATCAGGTTAAGGTATCCGATGAAACCTAGGTCTGTGCAGGGCCAGGCCAGAAACCACTGTTGAATGTGCAAAATATTTAAAAAGTGTATATAAAAAGAAAGATGATGTAACACAGTGGTAAACATGCCTCTGTCCTAACTTTTGTGAATGTGTTGCAGGCATCAAATTCTAAATTTGTTTCTATTTACAAAATACATTTCAGTTGATCAGTGAAAATATTGGAAATCTTTTCTTTTAGTTTTTTTTTTTTTAATTAAATAAAGGTTCAAGAGAACTGACAAATTACAGATTCATGAGTTTATTGCATTTTACAAAATGTCCCCACCTTTCTCGGAAATGGGGTTTGCACATTAGGTACGTTTCATTTTGTTTTTGTTCACTGCATAAATCCATAGGTATTATTTCATAGTGTTGACGTCTTCATCACTATTTTAACGTATGGAATATAGTTAAAAATCATCTATATCTGTAAGAAACGGTTCATCGGTTCAACCTAAAAAATGACTTCATGTAAATTAACTGATTCTACTCATCTGAAATGAAACAATACACTTAAAAATGTTGGTTTAGATTAACAAGAGCAAAATTTTACATCAAACCTTAATCAAACATAAAACCAAATATTTTACATTCAAACCTCAAAAACACTTCAAATCAGCTTCTGTCCTGTTCCATTTTTACAGTGCATGAGTGTATGAGTCAAATCTTTTGACTGGTACTGTGTTTTCTTTTTAAGTTTGAGGCCTTTTTTGAGTTCAGTGATCGACTCGAGGGCATCATGACAAAGGCCTACATCTGGCGGTATGTAACCCAAAAGTTAAAACATTGAGTATTTAGATGTGTTTGAAGTGTTTTTGTGAATGAAATGAGATTTCCATTCACTGATCAACAGTTTTGTAGTTTCAGTCTACACGGCCTTCAATATCATCCAATTTCTCTAACAGTACCAGTTGGTTTAAAGACCTATTTGGTTCTCTTATCAGAGTAATTCGTACCATTGGATATCTCCTGTTCATCCTCCATCTCAACTCCTGCCTTTACTATGTGGCATCTGCCTACCAGGGCATTGGCAAAACCAAGTGGGTCTACAGCGGTGAAGGCAGCGCGTATGTATCTTCATTATGTTAAGCAGTCTCAGAAAATTATGGTGAAGAAATATTTTAGTCTGAATATCATCTATCAGTGCCAAAAGCATACTACAAATGGTGTTCCATGAACTGCTGTGATAGCAATAGCCTTTTTTTTGGATTTTTATATTCTCATAGCTACCTGAGATGTTTCTTCTACTCTGAGAAATCCCTGTTGATGATCGCAGAACTACCTTTTCCAGACACCTTATTCGGTCAAATCTTTCAGATGACCAACTATTTTTTTGGTGCATTTTTTTTGTCCATCGTTCTTGGTCAGGTAGACATTTTTGTCTCTACACTTTTTTTTTTGCTTCAGTTTTTTCTCACTGATTTTTGGCTGTGCAATTTTTATTCACACATATGATTTGTGATTTGCATCTGTTTGATTTGATAAAGGATGAATATAAGAGTTTTTCAGCATGTGCAGCAGAAGTTTAAACGGCTCTTGTTTCTCTACAGGTATTTGCGCTGTTACTATTTTGCTGTGCGGACCCTGATCAACATTGGCGGACTTCCTGAGCCTCACACAGTTTTTGAGATCATGTTTCAGTTGACAAACTTTTTCATTGGTGTCTTTGTCTTCTCAAGTTTAATTGGGCAGGTAAAAGATACAAGGTGTAGAACTCCTGCAGGATTAAGACCCCTGTCCATGCAGTCATTTCTCCAGATTTGACCAATAGCTAGCCCTCAAGATTTATTCTAGCCACTGTAGGCTCCATCCCTTGTTGAACTGCAGTCATTGACATGGTTTAGCTGTTATTAGTAAAACTGTTAGAACTGTCAGAACTGTTAGACTCGTTTAGAACTCCAAAAAGTAATCACTGATCAATCGTATGAATTTGGTGGGTGTAATGAGTCTGATGTTTGAGTATGTAATGGTATATTACAGATGAGAGATGTCATTGGGGCAGCCACTGCTGGTCAAACATATTTCCGAGCCTCTATGGATGGGTGTGTGGCCTACATGGTGACAAATCGTATTCCAAAGCTGGTACAGCATAGAGTGCGTACATGGTACAACTACACTTGGGATTCACAGGGCATGCTGGGTAAGATCTTTTTTTAACCCTATATGTTCAAACACTATTTAAAGTCTCTTAAATAGTTCTGTTTAATAGATTACAGAAACAGCTGAAGGTAGGTAAAATGGCCTAAACCCATACATCTCTTTCTTCGCAAGTATATAAGTAAGTGGAAGCAAAAGTATTATCGTTATCAGAAAAGTTCAAATCTACATGTAACTGAGTAAATGCTACTAGCCACATCTGGAAATAGCATAACTTCTTAAAGCTCAAAATAATGAATAGCTAAAGTTATCGTGTGTGGAGTACAGAATATAGTATGTGGAACACACACACTTGGATGGAGTTTGTTAGTTCATACCTTCAGTCTAAGGTAGCGTAATTGTAGTAATTGTGAAATTGTAGGAGGAGTGTGATTCTCCCAAACTTCACTGGTTTCATAATTCCATTATGTGAGACATACTAAGAGTCTTTTTGCCACTCGCTCCTCAGATGAGTCAGAGTTGCTGGAGCAAATGCCTCTCGTGATGAGAACAGCCATCGCTGTGGATATCAACCTCGCCACTTTCCAGAAGATTGACCTGTTTAAGGTAAGACTTTATTCAGACAGACAGTGGAAAGATATACATTGAAATAGCACAAACCCAATTCCAAAAAAACTTGGGACAGTAGGTAAAATCTAAATAAAAACATAAAATACTGTCTGTATAAAATACAGACAGTACAAAGACAAGATATGTAAAGGACTAGTGCTGTATGAGGAAGGAAGGGTCAAGGCTCGCCACTTTGCCAAAAATGCATCAGCAAGAAGTCAAACTGTTTAAAAATAGTGATCCTCAGCCAAGGATGGCAAGGAGTTATTTCACCCTCTACAGTCCATAATATCATCAAAAGGTTCAGGGAATTCTGAGAAAATAAGACAAGGCCGAAAATCGCAACTGAATGCTCATTACCTGCGACCCCTCAGACGGCACTGCATAAAAACTGACATGCTTCAGTGATGGATACCACTGCATGAGCTTGAGAATACTTTGAAAAAATGTTATCAATAAACACTGTTCATCGCTGGATCCACAAATGCAAGTTAAGACTGTACTATGCACAGTGGAAGCCAAACATCAACAGCGTCCTGCAATGCTGCCGACTTCTCTGGGCTTGGGCTCATCTGAAATGGACTGATGCACAGTGGAAATGTGTATTGTGGTCTGTTGAGTACACTTATCAGATCGGTTATGGAAATAATGGATGTCATGTTCTCTGGACCAAAGTGGAAAAGGACCACTGAGATTGTTACCAGTACATAGTTTAAAAGCCGGGGTCATGGAATGGGGTGGGGGTGGGGGACATTAGTGGGCAACCTGCATATCTGCAAGATGTTGCCTTCTTAAATGCTTCTTTCAACATGTCAACACCAAGCCACATTCTGCACTTGTTACAGTATCAGTATGTCTGCATGATCAGAGAGTGCAGTGTTGGACTGGCCTGCCTGCAGTCTCCTATTAAAAACGTGTGACTTATTTAGGTTAACAAAGGCCCTGTACGGTTGCAATGCTGAGGATCCAAAACTGGATCATTTATAACATGATGGTAAACATGCTCCTGTCCCAGCTTTCTTTGTGTTCAGGCACCAAATTTAGAATGAGCATATATTAACTAAAAAGCAATGAAGTTCATAAGGTAAAACATCAAATATTGTGTTTTTGTACTATTTTCAATTTAATACAGGTTTATAGAAAACACTAATCACTGCTTTCTGTTTTTATAAGCATTTCACATACTGTTCCAACTTTATTTGGAACTGGGTTTGTATAATCTCACTGATCTGACTCACTGATCATATTATGCTGTTACAGGGATGTGATAACCAGATGCTTGTGGACATGTTACTGAGGCTGAAGTCCATTGTGTATCTGCCTGGAGACTTTGTATGTAAGAAGGTGAGTTCAGTGTCCTCTTGTGCCCTCCTCTGTGTCCTCACAGGAGGGCGTTGCATTTTGGCTTGCTTTGCTATATACATAACTTTATCAATTTTGAACTGATGTTCTGAAATAAAGACGGATTGCACTGCTGAAGCCCACACAAGAAAAAAAACATACTTTGATGTTTAATTTAGTTACAATTACCAAGGTTTGCATTTTGGTCTTACACACTATGATACTTTTAAATGACATTAAACATGTGGTACAAGGACAGTGGGACGATGTCACCACAAAGCAAAATGATTCCTAACAAAACCAAAGGCAGCATAATATGCCACATAATCTGAAATTTTAAAGCCAGTGCTACAAGTTTTACAAAGAGCAATGAAAATTTAAAACGCACTTAACAATGAGGCTTGGGTCTTAGGAGGGTAAACTAAACTAGGTAACTATGGAAAGTAGTTATTTACAGTATGCTGCTCACTTCTAAAATTGTTAAAAACCCTTTGCCAAAGTATATGATGATTCATTTTTTTGATGATTAGAGTACACTGATTTCACAAAAAGCAGTTAAACAAATATTATGCCATTTAATTTCAAATCCAACTGGACAAGAAGATAGAAACACTTCCTACAGAAGATAATTTAAAATGGCTCAAAAAATTTGGTTATTTAGCAATATATTATTATTAGTTTATGTAGAAAGCATCAAACTGAAAGCATCTAGCTGAACTAAACACCCTGCTACCCACTGATGTTGTTTCTACTGTCTATTTATTCTCTCATGTCTTTTTGTTTAATGTCATGAGGATTACAATGTAAACAAGCTTGAGAGAGCTTCAATGTGTGTAATGACCAGTGCAATATTATGTGTATTTTAATCATTAAATTATTAATTCATTCAGTCGTTCATGCATGTTAGTTATTCAGTTTGTATTCATAGAACAATGTGTTAATAGTGTTAATACGGTTTACTTGACCCATTTTGACCTATAGGGTGACATTGGTAAGGAAATGTACATCATCAAGGCTGGAGAGGTGCAGGTGATCGGTGGGCCCGACAACAAGATTGTATTTGTGACGCTGAAGGCAGGATGTGTGTTTGGAGAGATCAGGTGAGGCTATTGTAAGTGTATCTGGCCTACAGTGTGTGCAATGGCACATGTATGTGTAAAGTTCAGGTGGAGGCACATTTACTAAATGTAATACAGGCTGTGCCTCCCTTTCCAGTCTTCTACAGTCCTCAGCTAACGGAGGAAACAGAAGAACAGCTAATGTGGCAGCACATGGATTTGCCAACCTTTTTGTGCTTGATAAGAAAGACCTCAATGACATCCTGGTTCACTACCCAGAGTCACAGAAAGTTTTGGCCAGAAAGGGAAGGTGAGTTCAACTGAAACAAGATAAGTAGGGATATAACAATACAACATATCGTAGTGTATCAAATTGTATTGCTGCTTGTCGTATTGTGGTGAGTGTAAGATTGGGGCTAATATATTAGCTTGTGGATAATATACACCATATGTTAAGTACACCTCCTTGTAGCTACACTCTTTGTCTATCTAACCAGCTCCACGTACCATATAGGTGCACTTTGTGTTCTACATTTACAGACTGTAGTCCATCTGTTTCTCTGCATACTTTGTTAGCCCCCTTTTACTTTGTTCTTCAATGGTCAGGACCCCCACAGGACCACCACAGAGCAGGTATTGTTTGGGTGGTGGTTCATTCTCAGGACTGCAGTGAAACTGATGCGGTGGTGGCATGTTAATGTGTGTGTGCTGGTACAAGTGGATCAGACACAGCAGTGATGCTGGAGTTTTTAAACACTTTGTGTACGTGTGCATAGAAACAGATGGACTATAGTCTGTAAATGTAGAAGTACACAGTGCACTTACATGGTAAGTGGAACTGATTAAATGGACAATGAGTGAAGAAACAAAGGAGGTGGTTTTCATGAAGTGGCTGTACGGTGTATATGCTTGTGGCTGGAACATTAGATTGGGACACTATAAAGCACAACTTTTTTTCATTATTATATTGTACTTTTATATTGTTGCATTTTCAATGTTGTGTACCGTTATACCCCAAGAGATTAGACTTGCACATTATGACTATGCAAAGCCATTTATACAGCCAATTATCAATACCAACACTAAATACCAATTCTTATTTCCTTGACCTATAGGAAACTGATGAAGGCCAAAGGTCCAGCTGCAGCCAAAGCAGATGAAGAGAAAAAGAAAGGTCTGGCACTGTTTGGACCCAAGCCTCCAACTCCCAAACTGCTCCGCGCATTTGGAGGATTCCACAAAAAAGGATTCATGGATAAACTTAAGGTAGGAAACACATGATTTTCTTTTTTAGCTGGATGACACAAACATGAATGACACCCCCACCCCACAGCACTGGTATTCCCAACACTTCAAGAAGATACTGAAAAGAAACTTTAAATGTACTGCTCAAAGTATTTGTCATACACTATATGCTTAAAAGTTTATGGACACTTGATCATCCAATGCTTCTTCTGAAATAAAGGTTATTAACTGGGAGTTTGTCCCCTCTTTCCTGCAGTAACAGCTCTACTGTTATGCGAGATCTACACTAGATTTTTAGTTTTGAATTTGGGATTTGATTGCATTCAGCCACAAGATCATTAGGGAGGTCAAGTCCTGATGTTGGATGATTAGTCCTGGATCACAAACTCAATTCCAACTTATTTCAAAGGTGCTGGATGGTGCAGTTTCACTGCTCCACAGTCTAATGCTGGGGAGACTTTATACCCCACTAGCCAATGACTCACGATGGTCATAGTGATCTTGGGCTCGGGCACAGCTGCTCCAGAGTGTCCCATTCTGTTGGTGATGCTTTTCTATGGAAGCTGTGTGTGCACTATTAAATGCCTGTGTCAGCAATGGATACACATAAATGGCTAAATTCACTAATTAGAAGAAGATATACTTTTTGGCATGTAGTGTAATTACCAAAAAGGCACCTAACAAAATTTTCAACTGTTATAAAGAATTAAGTAGCATTTTACAAACTTCTTTAATTAGACAAGTAAAACTGACTTTATTTTCCTTTCTTTCTTTTCCTTTTTCTCTAGCATGCCACTTCTAAAGATTGAAGATAATTGCAATGAAGGAATAATAATATTTCCCTTTGAGATGACAGAAAATTGTAGTACATTTTATTTTTTGTAAATAATCTGTAATCCTGGAAATGTCTAACTGTTTCTTAATAGGTTAACATTTTGTACCACAAAATAATAAAGGAGATATTTTTAAAATGAAGAGTAATGGAGGTTATTTTTAAACTGCTGGTGTTCAAATCAGCCTCCACTACATACAGCAAACCAAAATATCTAGTTAGCCTGGCCTTTTTTCATTTGCTGTCAGTCTGGTGAAAGGACTAAGAACCAGCGGAATCACTTAGGTAATCCCCTTAGCCTGGACAGGACATTAAGTAAGTGGTCTCTCTGTATGTGTGGACAGGGTATAATCATACTACAGTATAGAAATAGACTAGGGCTAGTGTTGCTTCTATTCTGGTCAACTGTAGTAGTTCCTAAAGTGCTTTCTGGCACAAATACATACTTGTTGAGGTAAGAATAAATAAAAACATTAAAAAATAACAACAACAAACTAAAGAAAAACAGATCTGTTTGCTCTGCTTACTAGCCTGGTGGCTGGCTAGCTTTCTGTGAATCTGCAAGTGGTGCCTGCAAAAAAAGAACACCACATGCACAATCTGTCAAGCACAGTGCACCATTGGTCTGCTGAGGCTGGCACAGTGTGATGAGCGCTCTGATAGGTGAACTGTGATAGGTGAACTCTGATAGGTGAACTGTGGTGACCTATGGGGACAAGAGTGTTCCTCAGAGGGAATTAATAGGGCTAAAAGAATTAATTGCAGGCTGGGGTCCAGGCTGCAAATACAGTTGCTTGAGGAGAGCTGAGGAATAAACTTAGATGCTACTGAATGCTCACTGTAATTAGTCATGTTCAGCAAGCTGAAAATGATTTTATGGCCCAGTGCGGCAGTAGCTCAAACTCCAGAGCCACCGCCTCCAGCACCTACACCTGCACCAGCTCCTGCTCCTGCGCCAGCACTGGCTCCTGCTCCTCCGGCTAAGGTAAGAGAGCCGTGTTCACCAGTGTTTCAATACAGCCTATAGCATAGCATTAATTATCTTAGTAGTAGAACGTACAGTAACCTAAAACTCAATTCTACTCTACTCTATTCAAGTATTTTATTGTATTGGTTAAATGTACTGTGACTATGTGAGTGCAGGCAACTGTGAAATATTATCTTGTGTCCATAGGAAGAAGAGACAGGGAAGGAAAAAGATGAGGAGAAGAAAGAGCAGCAGAAAAAGGAAGAAGAAAAACCTGCAGGTGAGTTATTTCCTAAAGCTTAGGATCTTTTTGCAGTCATATTCACTCTAATTATAATGCATTGATTTTGTGTCATGCTGTTTTCTTTTTGGCTGTTGATACTAATGTTTATCTACACATGTAAATATAAGCTTCTAAAGAATTGCACTGGAATGAACGTCAGCTTACACACCAGATAACCAGATTCACAGTGTATTTTCACAAATAACGTCAAAGAGTTTGCATTGTTGCAAATGTAAAATGGATGAATAGTTGGCACATTGTTGGAAGTAATGTAGTTGCAGTGAAGAAACATTTTGGTGGTGTTGTAATAATTTTCAGGAAGAAATAATGTTTGCCACGTCTGACCAGTGTTTACATGACTCTGATGTCAGTGCATTGTTTCACTGTGAGGGGAAGTCTACATGGGGTTATACATATGGTACATGAAGAAGTAGTTTGGCAAAAAAAAAATTATTTACACTTTTAAAATATATGCTTTCACTGATTTTTCGTGGCATATACTTTTCATTGCTTGTTAAGAACATTAGCTTTGTAGCGCCACTGTAATAGAAGAAGAAATGTATATAGAAGAAAATGTTGGAAACCAAACATGTCTTGGCTGATTGACTGTTCTTGGGGTAAGGGGGAAACTAGATATTTGCAGAACCATTCCTTTTAGTCTAACAGTGCAATATGATAACCTAATTTATTACTCTGTGCACGTGCCTACAGGCTTTTACTGAGTAATCCAGCTCTAAGATCAGGAAGAGCTTATGTTATCTTTTCTTATACTTTCCTCTCGGACTTTGATTGAAAATAGGACAAAAATTGAAATGATACTACTTAATATCTGATGTTCTACTGAATAATAGAACTGAGAATAAATTCAAAATGCACAGGGAGAATTTACTCGACATTTACATGCAGTCTATTAACATTTAGTTGCAGAGAAAGATCTGTTATGTTCAATTTGATGTATTACCATACATACAAAACATTCTTGATTGCACAGCACAGTGGCTACTTGTGGAGAAAGAGACTAGTCATGTTTTTGCACTAAAGAATTACTTGCAAACATGGGCAATAGTAAATTAAAAAGAAAATAAATTAAAAGAATAAAAAAGGGGATGATGCATTCTCAACAACTATATCTGTCTTTTTTCTTCTACACATCCTGCCCCAGCCCCTGCTCCTGCACCTGCCCCCGCACCCACCCCCGCTCCTGAGGCCCCTAAACCTGAGGCTAAGCCAGCAGATGGAGCTAATAACACGCAGGGAGCTCCAGAGGGGTAAGAGTTCAGCTTCTTTCTATACAAATCTGATCAGACAGTGTAAGACGACTTTGGCTAAGGCTTAGTTCTATGTTCAGTACTAAGCGTGTATCTGGCACTGTTTTGGGGTTTTGCTCACTGTCTGGCTCTTCAAGGAAGCCTTCCTGGGGACAAAGAAGGCAGTAAGAGGACTACAATGTTGCAGCATCTTTAGGAACAAATTCCTACTTTGTGCTCATAAAGCCAGAGGCATTTTCATAAATCTTAGTACATGCAGCTTACATCCCAACTGTCATCAAGCATGTAGTAAACTCCTGGTTCCTGGTATGGAGAACCACTAAACCACTGAGTCACTTCTGTCTCTTTTTCCAGAGTGTGTCTCCAAAAGTAGCTGAAAGACGATTAGAGGATTTGTGGTATTTGTGACTTAAGAAGGTCATGGGTTAGCAGTCACATGCAAATACAAGCTTCTGTGTTTTTCTTTCCTCAAGGTGCGTTTAAGTTGTCTTTTAACAGCAATATGTGTTGAAGATGGAATATAATATGTGCAACCTTTATTAGCCGAATAAACAATTGTCTCTCAGTAGTAATAGACATAGCAGTTTAAAAGAATATTACTGTGCATATATTCTTGCTCACTCTTTGTGCCTGCACGCAAAAGAGTTAAACAAAATAGAGAACATTCGAAATAACTTTTAATTAATATTTTTGAATAAAAAGAAGTTAAAGTCAATTTCTCATAATTTCTGCATAATTCAGTGATTGAGATGTATGAAAAATCATTCCGATGGTTTGATGTGAAATGGTTTATTTTACAAAACTTAGATTTCTTTACAGTGGTGCTGATAGGAACCCAAATATAGGAACACAAATACAGACATTTTATTTACTATTCAAAACCACCAGTGCAATACATGTGTCTTCTGAGTGTTTATATGTTCATATGTTGAAAATGATAAAATAGTGTTAAATCTGAAAAAAAAAAGTTTTCTTTGAGAACTATTTTGCTTTAAAACACCTGCATGTATTCTGTGCCGTGAATGGACTTAAAAAATAAGTTTAGAGCCGAAAGATTAAGATATTGTCTCAGACATCAGGCAGCATATTCATAACCATTTCATGTAATAGCATTGTCAAGGGTAGCTTTTAGACGCATTAAACGTTTCAGACACCTGGTTCCTTCTGACTCGGTTTCTCCAGAACACAGCATTTCACACCAACCACTCTGAATGACTTTGTTTACATCTTAGCCATTTAAAGCAGCACTATGTCTGTTTTTTTCTGTAGAAACTTAAAAAATTAGTGTTACTTGTTCAGGAAAAAGTATATGCTAAAATATGGTTAGTGTGCACTGCTGGGAGTCGCTCTGTAAAACCTGAAATAATCTAAAAGTCAGAGACGTAGGTTAGATTTTTCAGAACTTTTTTAGGCCATATCAAATGTCTTTATACATGCACAGCCTTAAATACAAGATCCTGCTCATATGTAGGTTTCAAATGCAAAATCAACATTATCGTGATAATGATGTGATGACAATAGTAGATCATTCACTCATAACATTGGAAGATATGTCTTTGAGTTTTTGAAGATAAGTTTTGACAGAGTTCTCTTTGAATAGTCTTGCAACGCGCTCACAAACATCCGATTCATCTACTTGGGGAAGGGGTTTAAAGCACAACTGATATTACAAAATATTTTTCCACAAGTTGTGTCCAAATACACATAAACAAAAGTCAGCAGTTGAACGGACAGATCTCAAAGGTCGAAGCTCCAGGTTTTGTGCATGCTAGCTGGTGTGGACAAACTGTCAGTTGACTATTGAGTTCTTGACCAAACATTCTGTATCATTGGGAAACGAATGTTTCTTCAGGTAACTGAAGATATTTTTTTGCATCTAGACATAAATGTCAGCTTTATAGCATAAATTCATTTGTCTAGAATCACCAAATGTAGCCTTTTTTTCTAAAATATAAAGCTAACAAATGTATTTCATTATTGTCTCTTATTTCTAGTGAAGAGGGGGCTCCACCTCCTCCTCCACCCATTGTCATCAACAGGTACTCTGATGACCAGCTGAGAGAGGTTATCAAGCGGTTAAGAGACAGAACAAAATTATACAAGGAGAAGGTGACAGACCCCTATGCCTCCTCACCAGAGCGCAGCCCTCCAGTCAGTAAGTCTAAGAGCAACACATGAAACATACCATACAAAACAAACATACCATACCAACAAACCATGCTCCAGCTCCTGTAGTTGTAACTGTCATAAGGAGAATGTTAAATATTTTTATTTTGTTAATTGTCTTTTCAGTGAAATTCCTGTGGCATTGATCAAATGAAAAATGTAATATTAGCTCTGATTTCTAATATTTTAAAGTGATTCAGTGGTGTAACTACACTAGGTGCAGGGGGGCAATCATGCTGGAGTCTATGCTGCATGGGGGCCCACAGTTTTTCACAACCAGCAATAATACATTTATTAAGTCTTAAAAAAATCAAAATGATTAGATTCAAATAATTTTATTTGTTTTATGAAAATATGCACTTTATTTTTGAATGTAAAAAATGCTGCAGGTAAATGTATGAAATGATTCTTTTATAGTGCTACTATGCTATCACTTCACAGATTTTTTTAGATATGTCCAGAATAATGAAACAAGCTGTAGATGATTCCATATGACTGAGAAAGACATAAAATATTGGAAGGCAGTTAAACTAAAATTAACATCCAGAAAGTCTCATATTTGAAACGTGCTGATCTAATCTTAGGCAGATAGCTTATCAAGACATTACAATAAATAAGTCATTGCAGTATATTATTTTTCACTTAATAACTTTTTGGTGTTACTAAAAACCATCTTGAAATACCTTTTGGTATCTAGCTTACAGTACTTCAGTCAACAAAGCTGAATAATTCTAAATAATGAAACCGAATAAAATAACAGCAATTTTTAAAATGATTACCAACTTTTAAAGGCAAGTGTATGTCACACGGCAAGGGTTTTCAGGAATCAATTTGACCTTATTTGGCCAATGGCTTGTCAGACAGCTATATATGACATAAATATTGTGGTCCAAATTGGTAGTCTAATGGAAACATTTAGGTTAAAGGGGAATTCCAGCAATGTTTCAAAATTTCTTCTTAAGTGAAGATGTAAACGAAATAATTCAAAGTAGTTTTATGTGAACTGGTTCATTGTAGAGAAACTGGTGGTAATGGGAACCAGGGGTCACAATGTCTACACAAATATAGCCATTTTATTTACTATTCAAAACCACCAGCCAACCTACTTGTGACTTCTTTTATAGTTTTATATGTAATGTTCATAATGGTAAAATAGTCATAAATCTGAAAAAAAAAAAAATTATTTATTATAAAACCATACCTCTCTGTCATGAGTGGATTTACCTTTTTTACATTTTAGACCAAAATCTTATGAAAACTTTTATAAAACAAACCCTCAGGCATCATGCAAAGTAACTGTAATGAAACAGTTTTCTGTGATGTAGCGTTTAGAGGCACAAGCAAAGTACACATTGATTTTATTAATTGAAAGCAATTTTCATATGGCGGGGGCATAAGATCCAAGTTACTCCACTACAGCAATTCAAACATGCATCAGTGGTGCAAGTCATCACTGAGTCTGATCAGAACGTTCTGTTTAAATTAAGCGCCTGTGTATCGAAAGGAAGACTGGGCAAAGAAATTGGAAGCAGACAGGATAAAGAAGGAGGAAGCAGAGAGGAAGAAAAAGGAAGATGATGCCAAAAAAGCAGCAGCCAAAAAAGAAAAGGAAGAGAAAGAAAAAAAGGAGAAAGAGGAAAAACTGAAGGAGGAGCAGGCAAAGGCAGCAGCAGAAGCTGCAGAGAGAATCTGTCCAAAAATCAAATGCAACTGTATAGACATTCTTCTGAAACCTATAGAGGACAAGATGGATGATTACTTAGGGTCCACCATCGATCCCTTCACCGGTAAGACAATTAGGTAGGCCAGCTGCGAAGTTACACCAGATGTTTCTTTACAGATAGCATGCCTGAAAGCCTTTCATTTTGGGTTCTGTTCTCTTTCTTTTCCTCACAAAAGATCGTCGCTATATCAAATGGCTCAGCGTTGTCACAGTGGCTTACAACTACAACATATGGTTTGCAACGGCACGCTTGTGTTTCCCCTATCACACGCCAGCGACTGTTCCTTTTTGGATATTTTTTGACATCCTTTCAGACATAATAAATGTCATCGACATAATTGTCTTCCAGCCACGACTACAGTTTGTCAAAGGAGGGGATATCATTGTAAGTCTTGAACACAAAAACATCTGTTAAAACCTGTTTGATCATATAGAGAGAATGTATTATTATGTTATTCAAATGTCAACTGACAAAGAGCTGTTTTCCAGAAAGATAGAGCAATGGCAAAGCAGAAATATAGACAGTCAGCCAGATTTCAGGTGAGAAAAATACTTCAGTTCTTCTTTAATGTGGACTTAATTATAACAAAACTGGATATTTCCAGCATCAAATCCAAGGCTAGGGTGAAATTGAACTGATAGCAAAACAGAATGTTCCTGACTCATTACACATGCTAAATGTACTGACCCATTATGCTCCAAGTTTAATCTTACCCTTTCTTGCTCTCCCAACAGACAGACCTGATAAGCATCATTCCATTCGATTTGCTCTCTCTTCATTTTGGATTTTCATCAGTGTACCGACTAAACAGGTTCTTGAGGGTGGGCACAAAATCCAGAAACCATGCTTATATGTCTGTGTGGTTTAGTGTAATAAACTGCTGATTTTTCTGAATGGTGTGTCATCTGTTTTTGCTCATTAGATCGAGTCATTCTTTGAGTTCAGTGATCGACTTGAAAGCATCATGGCTAAGGCTTATATTTGGAGGTAAAAAGGGAGTTTTGTTCATTGTAAAGCTGAAACCTTCTTTTAAAGGTTTTTTTTTCTATTTTCAAGGCTGCATTTCTTAAATGATAGGACTATGTGCATTTTACCCTGTAAAGGACTGAAATGTATTCTACTTTGCTTGTTTCTCATAGAGTGGCCCGCACCACTGGCTACCTCCTATATTGCCTGCACCTCAACTCGTGCCTATACTATGTAGCTTCAGCCTATGAGGGGCTTGGCAGTACAAAATGGACATATGATGGCCAAGGAATTGCGTAAAAGCTCTTAGCTCTTATGTCCCATTTAAGCATTAGTCCAGTGGCATTCATGTCCATGAAATCCGTATTACAGGAAAGTGTAACTATCTTGTCCCTTCTGTTTTCACCATAGATATCTACGATGTTATTACTTTGCCACTCGAACACTGATCACTATCGGAGGCCTGCCTGAGCCACACACACTCTTTGAGATCGTATTCCAGATGGTAAACTTCTTCACGGGAGTCTTTGTGTTCTCCAGTTTGATTGGACAGGTGCATAAGAAATGAGAGATGAATGGAAGAGTATAGTGACAGGATGCACTCCAGTGTCTAATTAAAGCCTATATAACTGGATTTTAAACACAGATGAGAGATGTCATTGGAGCAGCCACTGCAGGACAGACCTATTTCCGTGCCTCGATGGACACGTGTGTGGCATACATGAACACATACACTATCCCCAGGATGGTACAGAACAGAGTGCGCACCTGGTACAACTATACCTGGGACTCCCAAGGCATGCTGGGTAAGACCTCATGGTGGGTAAGGCCCATATCGTACATTGTTTTTGTATTTAATTTTTCCCCCTGAGGTCAGCTTATAACCTTTGTGTGGGTTTACAAAAAAAAAACAGTCATAATTATTTTTTATGTGACCATTTTCCCACCTGTCTTCATCCCTTACTGTAAATGCATGTTAGCAAGCAGTAGAGCAACAGGCGACCAGTCATTTCCTATTGGAGTAAGCGATTTGTAACTGCAAATTCACCAGAAGCAGCAAGCGAAATGCCGGCAGGGCAACAAACAACAAGTCAAGTTGAAATTTTCTCAACTTCATGTAAAGGAACTATGATGCAATGAAGCAACAATATAACTGATTTGCTCAAACAAAATCCTTTCCCAATAGTAATGTGCAAAAAATGGAAGAGAAACTTATAAACTTGTAAATTAGTAACCAGACACCAGGAGGGGGTGCTTTAAGACATATGAGCCCTAACAGAGTGTTTCAGACAGAGGGTGAATAGAGGTGTACAGTATGAGAAAATTAATGTGTTTTTGGAACACTGAAGCAGGCAAATCTATATAATCTATAAATCTAGTAGACCCCAAAAATAAAATCATGAACACTGAAAATGAGCATAATAGGTCTGCTTTAAACTTTATGACTGCAGTCTGAATGGGTGAGGTTACACTGTTGCAGGCTAAGTAGGAGGATTTAGGTAAATATAAAGTTTTTGATGGCATCACCAAAACAGTGAATTGGCTCTTTTTGCAGATTAGTTTCCATATATGGACTGCATAAGCTGGGCATGGATTTTGAAACTTTAACAATGTTTACATGTATCAAACTCTGTTTTCCATGATATGGTCCCTTTGAAGTCAACCTAAAATTAAAATTTATCAAAATCTTAATTCATGTCTTTGGTCATATTTAGCACAATTCATAATATCATTTAAAAGACAAAATTCATGTTTATCCAAAATCTTTAATCAAAGGTTAGAAACTTTTGTCTGTCTTTAAAACATCTTCTGATTATTTGACTATGTCATCATGCACCAGCAGGTGGGGAAAAATAATATTAACCAATAATATCATGTTTAACCTCCTCCTCCCAGAACTCCAAACAAAAATAAATGCTCAGCTTCCTCAGAGACCCTTCCTGATATTCTGTTTCACCCAGAAATTTGTCACAGTCCAGAATGAATATTATGATTTACTTCTCATGTTGGCTTTATGAAAGCAGTATGTGGTGCATGCTAATCCACAGAATAACCTTTGGACTCCTAGGGAACATTTAACCGGATAGTTCTTTAAACGAAAACTCCAGCATTAATCTGTCTTCTGCATCTATAGTTGATTAGCACAGAAAATTATTTCAATGCTTTTCTCTGTGCTTAGAAAAGAACAGAACATCTGCTGACACAGAACACACTTATAGAATAGAAGAAGTGGGCAGTTGCTTGTATTATAAGTGTATTTTGAGTCACTGGATTTTCTGTTTTTTTTTAATACTGGGTAATGTGTCTAAATTATTGCATATGGTGATCACCCACACAGTACCGATATGGCAGACAGAGAATTGGTTGAAAAACTCTGGAATATTCCATCAAAGAACCATCCACAATTCCTCAAGGTTCCTTGAGGAACTGAAGATTTTGACATCTTTATTTTTAAGAATGTATGACTGCATTTAGTGGTCTAATACTGTGGACAACAACATAATATAACATAGCAGAACATTAATGATTAATGCAAACAGATTGTGTCTAAAGATGATGTAATTTACACTGATAATAGATAGTCACAACCACATCATCTTACTAACCTCCTCCACACAGGCTGAAAATGTGCTGGCATGCATGCTTCTCATAACTGTAGGACTATATGAAAAAAATAATATGAGTGTGAGAAATATACTGTGTTCCCATCTCTTTAGATGAATCAGAGCTGTTGGACAAGATGCCTCTGGTGATGAGAACAGCCATTGCTGTGGACATTAACCTTGCCACTTTCCAGAAGATTGATCTATTTAAGGTAAGAATGACACTCACTGATCATCTAAGCTGCTCATCTTTCTGGGTCATGCGGGGTGCTGGAGCCTATCCTAGTGCTTATTGGGCAGAAGGCAGGAAAGTCCATCACAGGGTAGACATTCAGACATATACATTCACACCTAGAGGCAATTTAGCATCTCCAATTGGCCTGTCTTTGGACTGTGGGAGGAAACCTATTCAGACACAGGGAGAACATGCAAACTCCACACAGAAAAGTCCAGGGAATTGAACCCAGGCCCTTCTTGCTTTGAGTCACCTCCCACTGCACCACCGTGCCACCCAAGAATGACACAAGCATATCAAATTATGCAAATAAAATCAGCTCCACATTCTAATAATACTGAGACATTCTCTGAAATTAAGAGCATGTGCATAATTACTTTAGGTTTGTTGTGAGTAAAATAAAACTCTTGCGCATGACTTCATGGTTCTACAGTACCTCCATTAGCTGGTTATCTGTTGCCCTCTGGTAGTGACCATCTAATACAGCTAATGAGATGAAAACGACAGTAAAGGTATACAACGACAGGTAGTGAAAGTGATAGGAAAGTGGTGTGATTACCATCCATGTTCCTAAGTTGAAATGTCTCCTCACAGGGATGTGATAGCCAGATGCTTGTGGACATGTTGCTGAGGTTGAAGTCCATTGTGTATCTGCCTGGGAGATTTTGTGTGTAAGAAGGTGATAACAACTAAAATTTGCACATATCATACAAATCACACTGATTCGGTATGTTCAGTTCATGTTGAACAGTGCAGTGCTTTAAACTCGTTTTAAAACTTATCCAAACTTCACACAGGGAGACATTGGAAGAGAGATGTACATCATCAAGGCGGGGGAGGTGCAGGTGATCGGTGGGCCTGACAACAAGATTGTATTTGTGACGCTGAAGGCTGGCTGTGTGTTTGGAGAGATCAGGTACAGAGAGAAATCATATTAACATTGTAAACATTATAAAAATAAGTGAGTGAGTCAGTCAATGTTATGGGTCATTCTGTTGTTACACTGGCAAATGGTGTCCTACAACTTTGAAAATGTATTGGGATATAATGTGACTGCATTTTTCGGTAACACTTTATTTGGAGTGGTCCTTTGTAGATGATTAATAAACTCTTAACAGATGATCAGTAGCACATCAACAACATATCAGTGAAGTAGCAGTAGTGCAGCATCTGAATACATTAAATATCTTGTAGATGTCCTGTTGATACATTACTTACATTACGTAGATGTATTGTTAATGTTACTTCCATTATGCAAAACCTAACCTTACCCAACCTTACCTAAAACTTAACCCTAACCCTGGCCCTAATCCTAACCCTAACCTTAACCTCAACCCAAACCTAATCCTAACCCTCATATGTTTTTGACATATTACTGAGAGACACGCAATATCAGCACGAGTGCAATATTCATAATTTTATTCTACATACAATGTGACTTTGAAGCTACAGTGGGTGTGGCCTATATTTTAGAAAAGCTAAGATTTAGACATCAACCTTATTGATGTTCTATACAGGACTAAACAGTATACTTGAATTACATGTCAATATTTGCGCCCCATTTGCCATCGCAATGGTGGAATGAGCCTTGTATGCTTAAGCTCTGTTAGGAAATTGCTGAACCTGTCAGGTAAACAGTCTCTGGTTCAGTCTCTTGCAGTCAGCAAAAGATGGAGGAAACAGAAGAACAGCTAATGTGGCAGCACATGGATTCGCCAACCTCTTTGTGCTTGATAAGAAAGACCTCAATGACATCCTGGTTCACTACCCAGAGTCACAGAAAGTTCTGGCAAGGAAAGGAAGGTGGGTTTGATTCAGGTTTTTGTGGAATGGGTTATTCGATGTGACTTAGAACTGACTCAAAATGGATTTATGCAGAATGATGAATTAACTCAGTAGTCATTCATGAGATCTTCTCTGACCTATAGGAAACTAATGAAGGCCAAAGGTCCAGCTGCAGCCAAAGCAAATGAAGAGAAGAAGAAAGGACTGGCAATGTTTGGAAATAAACCTCCCACTCCTAAACTGCTTCGTGCCTTTGGAGGCTTCGGAAAAGGAGGCTTACTGGACAAGCTGAAGGTACGTAAGGGCAGTATACTGCATACATAGATATTGCACACAAAATCTGTATTGGCTCATTTGAGTTACCCTATTCAAACTGCATTGTTTATTGTTTATCTATGTATTTAGACGATAATAGACACCATTTCCAAATTATACCAAACATAGTACAACAACTATTCTTAGGCATTCTCTGTTGGTGGGAAGCAAAATCTAGTTAGGTTAAGCAAACTAAAATTCAGGTTTCCTTGACACACAAGTAAATTATTTGTATCCTTTAGAAACTGATCTGATCTATATGGTCTGTTTTTTTTCTTTAGGCTTCAGAGAAGAAGTAAGCCTAAGAGAGACAACGTGTGCAGGTTGTTACCACATTATGCCTCTATTAACCACTGGAGACTGAAAGGATAAACTGGACTTGATACCTGTTGGTGAACTAGGAAATATTATTCCTGTTAAGCACTGTAAAATCACACTGTCCAAACTTGGTATAAATATTTATGTTTTTCTTTTGTCATAAAATGTAAGAATTACAACTTTGTCTTTTATTGTCCTTTGAACTGTATCTTCTCAGTATCGCAGTAAATGAACAAGTAACTATATACTAAAACCACTTATTGCAGAAATGAGGATGTCATCATGGTGCATTCAATATAAAAAAACAGGGGATGGTGGATGTTGGCAATTTTTATGTTTATTTATTATAATTGGTACAGATAAAGTATTCACCAATGTAAACCTGAAGGTGTACAGTTCTGTTGAATTCTACAATTCTATCATGCAAATTATGTAGAAGCCAAAATATTATAAATAATGTGTAATTTGATTATATAAATTGTAAAGTCTTAAAGACGTATCATGTTTGGCACCTTTCCAGTTCAGCCCATTTCCAGAGATGGGCAAAGGCCACATAACTTCCTTAAACAATAAGTACTTTGATCTAACAAAATAAAACAGTCTGTAATACAATGAATAAAAGTCAAGAGATGATCATTAATCATTCTGGTAGCCTACACTTACAATGTCTCCAATATGACTGTGATTAAACCCAATAACTGTCACTTATAACTAGACACAACCCTCAACACAGACAATCCACTGTCTATTATACTAAGGCACATGGAGTGCTACTTGGCAATCATATGTTTGACAACACATCTGACTTTAGCAGTAAGTACAAATCACTTGCATCTAACAGCAGCTACAGAAGGTCTCAGTGATATAAAATCACAAGATCACCAATAACAGTCCTAGTAGCCTACATTTACAATGTCTCCACATCAATATGACTGTTATCAAGTTCAACAACAGTGACTCGTTACTACACTTAACAGAGATAATAAACTGTTTATTATATTAACCCACATGGAATGTAACTGGGCAAACATATAGAAGCAAAATCATGTTTACATCATGTTCGTTGTCACACTTCTGAGTGTTGTCCATTACAGGAATTTGCATGCTATCATTATGTTAGCTTACAATGCTTGCTGTACAACTGACGCACTACTTTAAACCAAACTTCATTTTTCAAAACTTAAACAGACAAGCCCAAAATACTGTCCAGTCAAATTCAGTTAATATTTTTAAAACTTCATAATCTTTTTGCAAATATATTTAATATAAATCTTAGTCACAGACAATTATTTTCCAGCAACTTAGTCTTATTTTAGTAATACTGTCATCTAGATTGCATATATAACTCTAAAATCATTGACTCTAATACAAAGAAACACACAGACACACATTTCTCAAGAATTATCTTTGGTGTGGAATATAGGGAGTAAGGTTTTGTATACTTATGCTCATAGTCAAAAGATGATTTTTGCTGTTCTTGTCAGGAAAACAAATCGGCAATCCTGCACACACTGTTTGAGGGTGACTAGGTGTTTTCGAACGTTAGACAGCGAAGACTGAAAACTAACATATTAAAAGTCAAAGAAAAGTGTGTATTACACAAATAGACATGAATTCCACAAAGAAAAACATTCAAGGTTCAGACAAGGCACAGCACAAAGCAAAAGGTTAGGTTTCCTACTATATTTCCAAATTTCAACAACGCAATATTGTCCTAGCTTTCACTGTTTAGAACTATTAATTCCCTTTCATAGCCTCCTGCACATCCAGCCATCTACTAAATCATACTTCCATATAAAACAATGCATATATGTGTATATGTATATTGCTGTTGGGACAAAACTTTGTATCTCAATTTCTGTCATTTTTCCATTTTTTTTACTTAATTTGAAAATGAAAGCTGCTCTTTAAATTATGTTTACATTTCATGAGGAATGGAGCAATAAAACTGATCAAACATTATTTGAATTTAAAATCACATTTAAAGTAAAACGATTTTTCGTTCTCCTGAAAAAGTTACCATTTGGGAGATACAAGGTTTTGTCCCAAGAGCGACCATATATCCTGTAGGTAAAACGATGAACCTCCTTCTCACTAATAAGGAAACAAATGCACACCCCACCTTTCCTGAATTGTGCAAGAGAAAAGTCATTTTAGTGGTTTAGTGGCACTTCATGAGCTGGAAAAAAAATCTGAAGTGGTCACAGGACGTATTCCTGTATTGGAAATACCTATTCAGATGTTGTTATCAGACAGCTGGCCAGACATCATGACCAATAGTGGACTACTTGCATGTAAAATGCAAAAGCATGAAAATGCACAGACAGCAATGTACCTAAAACGCCATACCTTGCCCCACATTCTTCAGTAAATCCTGTGCTATATATATGTATGTGCTACATGCAGTTAACATTGTTTGATTTCAACCTATGTATGAATCGATAAATGGTGTGAGTCATATGAAATAACTGTCAATTAATTTAAGGTGACTGCAGGACTCACTCCTACTTTAAAGCAGAGCATTTCAAAGCATTTCAGCTAGGAAATCTTTTTGCAGCCCTCATAATAGTCAAAGTTACATTTAAGCTTACAGAATTTTCATTAAAAGAACTGCATAAATTCATGGCAAAAATACATCTCCTGTCTTTCACTCTCTATATTAAAATAATTCCTAAAATGTTTCAAAAATATAAACCATTTAAATAAAAAAAACAATTACGGCACTGCTTGAAACAATGTATCAAACCATCTTCAATGTAAACAAAAACAGATTAAAAATAAAACATACAATCTGCAAGAGTACATACAGAATATATACATGTGAATATTTGTAAACATGCACTTAGTGAGTATTTAAATGATATTCTGGTCCTTGTATACTCATCTACATGGTTTCTACAGAGGGACTTTTTTTTTTAGCAAGGCAAAAGTTCTGGTGTCTCTTACTAAGCGGTGTCAAAGCTGCACTATGCGGTCAGTTTGTGGTTCCACCAGCAGCAGCTACAGGGGTGCTGGAGTTGAGAGGGCTGAGCTTTAACATGTTAAAGAAGGTGACAACCTGATTAGGAACCTCTGCCAGCACGCATTGTGACAGAGCCTCCTTGGGAGCCTACAGAGAGAGAGAAAGAGAGAGAGAGAGAGAGAGAGAGAGAGAGAAAGAGAGAAAGAGAGAGAGAGAGAGAAAGAGAGAAAGAGAGAGAGAAAGAGAGAGAGAGAGAGAGAGAGAGAAAGAGAGAGAGAGAGAAAGATAGAGAGTTAAACATCAGTTATTCTTTCAATAAGAAGAAGTGGTTGTGAATTGGCTGGAGGTGACTTAATGGCACCAAGGAAAGCAAAATGCAAAATCACCATGATTTAAAATCTAACATTCATTCTTCTTTACCCATCTTAGATTACACCAGTTTTTTATGCCTCAGGGCATGCAAATCAAGCAGACACGTGCAGAGAAAAGAGGTGAAACCAGCAGAAAGTTTGGTTAAAAAAACAGCTTTCTGTAGCCCTACATGTCTATGAAGGTTTTGGATCAGAGGGAGGCTGAAGTTTTTTAAGTCTGAAGTAGGACACAAGTTGTTCAGGCAACTCTGCTAGAACACACTGGGCAAGAGCTTCCCTGGGTGCCTGAAATGAGATGGACAGAGAGGGATAGATAAAGAGCTGTCCACTAAAGCCCGGCAGAACTCAGATTTAAAAAACAAAATGAGGAAAAAAAAACCAAAATAAACAACAAGAGGGTGCACAAATAAAAAAAGATGTAGGGTGACTAAATGTTCAAAAGAACATGTGCTGACTGACAATGCCAAATGTAATAATCAGTACTGACTGGAAATACAGTAGTGTATTATTTTCATCAGCTAAGAACTAGAGAGTGTTTACATGATTTATAATGTTTACATATTTATCAATGCAAACCTCGGAAGCAGCACTGTGGAATATCAAGTCAGCTACCCCATTTATTATAAAGTTTGTTAGAGATAAAAAATCAGCAAATCAATTAGCAAAAAGGAAATTCAAAATTAGTTAAAAGTGATCAGTTTAGCTTTGTGAGCATAGATGCTCACCAACAGCCAGAAAACAGGCACATATCTGGCCCAATATGGTCTCTGTGCTATACTGACATAGCTCAGATACACAGACAGAGTCCACTTACATTCTGGAACTTTCTGTAAGGCACAAACTGCACTATGTCCCGTATAGCGGGCTCTCCGGATGGAGACCTCAGACGCCCATCATCCCCATCCAGGATCTCCATGTCAGTGAAGTCAGCCCCCCCAACACCCACAATGATGATGGACATGGGTAAGTGCGAGGCAGCTACTATGGCAGCGCGGGTCTGATCCATGTCTGTGATAACACCGTCCGTGATGATGAGCAGGACAAAATATTGCTGCCACACAAAGAAATTCAAGTAGGAGAAATTTATACCATATAGTTCACTAATTTCAAAACTTTCATATGGCACAGATGATATTTTACACAGCAATAGGACAAATGACATATGACAGTTTTACCTAAAATGTTCCTAATATAGAAATGTAGCAGTCACGTTCTGTGTAGATACTCACTGAGGCCGTGTTCTGCTGTAGCGCCTGCTGAGCAAACTGGCTCACATGTCTGATTATGGGAGCAAAATTTGTAGGGCCATAAAGCCTGACCTGGGGCAAGCACATCCTGTAAGCCTCAACCAACCCCTCCACGCCTACAGCAAAAAATTTCAAAAACACACCAAACATTACCATCTACTATTCCTCATTTGAGCAACTGCAGCACATGACCAACAGCAGGATTACTGGACCAGGTGCCTGATTCTAATACTGTTACTTACCAGAACAGAATGGATTTGATGGATTGAAGTTGAGAGGGAACTCATGAGACACCTGTAAAACAAACGTGATTGTTCTCATACCCTTCAAGGACACTGTTCACATCACACTGACTTTACTATGCAATCAATTCTAGCAATCTGCCTCAATAATATTTAAATTATACCTGCCAGTGTGGTGGAATCTGAGCCCCAAAACCAAAAGCTGGGAACAATTTGTCGCTGCATAAAAACAAACAGCATATTTGTTAAATATATCACCAACATCTTATTAAAAAAAAGGTTGCCCTGCAAGCAGTTTAGAATGTCAGCTTGTGCTCAGCAGGAAAAGATTATTTGATTTGGCTTACAGTGGCTTCCTATTAAGTTTAGATTTGAATACAAGATGTTTCTTATGACATTTACAGCCCCTATTGACCTAGCTCTGGCATATCTTGCTGGTCTCTTGAAGCATTACAGACTACCCAGACCACTATACTCAGCCAAAACAGGGTTTATCCCCAGAATCACTTGCAGCTGGAGGAATATCTTTTCCTTGTACATCTACTACACCGTAAAATCCAGTGACTGCATTCATGTGTTACCATTATTCACTGTACCATTGTATCATATGTTGCATTTATTAAACCAAAGTTATATAACTAAGTTTTCTAAGATGATATCCAAATGACTAAATGCTATCATTTTCCATTAATTGCTAACATAGCAAAGTAAGATAATTAAAAAAACTCCTGTGTAACTGCAGTAAATACCTGCCATTGATATACATTCAATTCAGGTTTTGAGAGCAAAGGAATAATTTGCCTAGAGTCAACATCAGACTTCCTTGTGTGCCCCTTGTGTGCACTACATGCTTGCTGCTTTACCTGTCATAATCCTGGATCACAAGGCCAACAGACCAGATGGCAGAAAGGTACTCGTTTACTCCATTAGGACTGATGTAGTGCAAAGAGTCAGGAGACTTTGGGTCGCCATTTGACCCTGTGAAATCCACTCCAACCTAGCAGAGAGAGAACCATTATCCTTGCATTGAGGATCATACATTTCAATAAATGCCAAGTACACATCTATGACAGAAATCCACTTACAGTAAAATTTAACTGGCAACCACCCATGATGTAATCCAGAAAAGTATACTCCTTCACAACCTACGCAGTGAAAAAGAAAAATTTCAAAAGACTCTAATGACACAGAAATGCAAATCACATGATAATTATCCCTTAGAAGTCAGGAGTTATTACTTGCGTTTTGCTATAATTACATAGATAATTACATAGTGAGTTACACAATTAACTACATTTACATTTGTTTTTAATTTAATTTCATTTGAACAGCTTTGAGAATACACATCCAATATTTTTGCAAACAGTTTGTTTTAATGTCAAGCAATGACAAAAACATAGTAAAAATGTAATAGGTGTTTTTCTTTCCACACAACATGATTGTACACAACAATAACTTCAAATTCCTAAAAAAAATGAACTTATGAACACTAATGTGGTACTGATGAAAAGCTTAATATCTGTACTTTCAACAAAGAGCTACAAGTGAGATATAAACAATAAACAATTACACTTTTTTTTAAAATGACCAGCAATAACTGCAACTTCTAGGGGTTAAAATACACAGTCTAAACAGTAGATCTGTCACGGTGGAGGAAAGCAGAATACCGAAGTGACATGACAGGGCACAAGGGACAGTGCTGATACAATACCTGGCATAATTTTACGCTCACAACACCAGAGTTCTTATAGTTCTTCTTCTTCTGCTTCTTCTTCATGTTAATACAGTCAAACTCTGCCTATAGGACACAACACAATTCATTTGACAGAAATACACACTGAACACAGAACAGCTTCACCAAACAATCCTGCAAAAGTTAAAATCCTGCAAAAGTTTAAAGTGTTTTATAGTGGTTTATAGTGTTCTTACCGGAGAAACACGCGTAGCCTGCTGCAGACGCGTCATGTTGGTTTCAAAAATCCCAATAAGGTCATGCGACCCATCATTGTCATAGTCATAACATTCCACCTGCAGAGACGTCAAATATACAATATTATATAACCCAAATCTCACTCTACCCATAAGACATTTACCAAATCACTTCATGTTCGCACAGCAAGCCAGAGAGATACTAAGAGAAGACATGCATAAAACCCACCAAACCACAGCAAGCAGAGATCTACAATTCTCTCTCTACAAGAAGTCTTTTATGACCGAGTATGACTACAAAATTAACACACTTCATAAAAAGGCATACCAGGAGAACGCAATACAAGAATCCAGATGGAAGACCAGTGCCCCCATCTCCAGTGTCTATCATCAGATACAGTACATTAGTCACGAAATCAGTGGTTTCTTTGTAACACAACATACACAGTGAATACTGAATATGATACAAAGCCACCATACCACGCCCAACAGATATGTAGATATCTGTAATTCAGACAAGCAAACAAGGACCGAGCAGGACTTCGAAACCACCAAAAATTCAATTTCTGTATTGCAGAACAGTGCAATACAGCACTACAGATGGAAAATGAAATGACTCTAGTACTCCACTGCAGCACAACACCATTCAATTGAAGACATATTAGTTGAAGCACACCATGAGATGTAATGTAACTCAACTAAACCAGCACTGTATGGCATTTTTCTTTCCTTTTAAACTTTTGGCAATACAACAAAAAAACCTAGACAAGAATGAACAAATAATTTTGAACAACTCTGGATGGATTTCTTGACAATACAAATGCAAACCAAAGTCCACAAATGTTTTCATAATGCAGTCCAGACAAAACGAATATTGCAACCAACGAGTATGTTAATGTAAGCAGCAAGCATATCAGAGGCATGTTAGATACCATGTTAAATAAAATCCATTTACAAACAAAAAAAAACATTGTGGATTTATTTTGTAAGAAGGAGACTCTACCTTAATTGGCTTTTCCATGTTTCCTCCACAAAGAGATTGTAGAGGGATTTTGAAAGGTCTCCATGTAGGGTTAAGGTTGTTCTTCACCACCTTTAGGATAACAGAGATGGGGGAGATGCATTTTAATCACCAAAATAAACTGCAGTTAATGCTTTCCTCAGGTGGTTATAAAAAATCACAGTCTGATGAAATCTAAGAGTTTGAACTTTTAAACAGGGTTAGGGAAGACTATATGTAACTGGATTAGGTAACTAATCCATTATTGTTACAAGAAAAATTAACAAGAACCTCAAACACTTATGATATTCTTTTTTTTTAAATAAAATCATTACTTGCACAATGTTTAAAGTGATAAAAAGAATCAGAGGTACAGAAATTATTCATTCAGTTCCATTTCTACCATGTCTTGACAGTGAGTGCTTCAAATGTATATGTTATTAAATTACTCTTGCTGTTCACTACTACAGCAATTGAATCATACCTCTGTTCTGTGAGCAAGCTGCCATCCTGTCTCCATTTGCCTGTAAAACTCTAGATAGGGGTCTGACTTCCCAAAGAAATCCTGCAACCGGACCATTATGTATATATCAATCACTTTTTAATAAGCAAAACAATATCAATACAATATCACCTAAAAGTTATAATGAAGCCATTCACCTCATCACACAAACCAATGTGATGAAACATAACATAAGCCTTAGTATGTACTAGCCTGGGATTTCAAGGGGTTAAATGCATTTGCACTTAATGCACTTGGTTGTTGCACTGCATTTTCTGCACTTGGTTGTTGGATTTTTCCTTGCAATGGAGAAAATATAGAAGCAACTCTACAAACACAGTTAGGCACAAGCGTTCTGTCCTGGTTGTACAATAAATGTGTAGCTGCAGCAAATATGCACAGTGCTTCGTTACACAAGAGCTCCATCTAGCTCAAGGTGAATTTGCTACTAGGCTATGTTTTAGTTTCACTGAAACTGTTTGCATAATTTAATGATAGTCAAACTTCATGTCACAGTACAAAAAAATAGCCGAAAACCTCTTGATTATTAATTTATTTGTGTCCTTCCTTTTAGCATTACTCACCCCAGCACATTTACCCCCATACTACATAACATATACCCTGTGCTCTTGGTACAAACTTGATTTACAAACAAATTTAATTTGAATTGTGTGAGCATTTTCACATAACTGAACATAATGTTACCTTTGACAGCTCTACGTTTCTATTGTATCTTAGGAATAGGTTGTATTCTGATACAACCTATTGTATAGCTGGGTTCTTACCTTGTTATCCAGTTTCCTAGCCTCAACTTCAAAATTTACCACCCTATTGTCCTTGATTTCCTCAGCACTGATCTAAAACAAAAAGAAAAATATAAACTGAAGATGAACATGAGTTTCAGACCTGCAAGAATTAAATTTCTAATTCAAATTTCTGCAATTTATAGCTGTGCTTCTGAAACATTAACCTGTTTCTGCCAGAACATAAGATGGCAGATGCAAATATTCACTGTGATCATAATCACATTACCTCCAAAATTTGAGAGCATGTTCAGCCACAACTTCAAGGTGAGCAAGGAATACAGAATTAATTGTACAGTACCAGCAACAGTGCTTTGAAGTGAACAAGAAGTTTACTAATGCTGAATGCTGCATGAGTGGTCTAACAAGTTTTCTGTACTGACATGCTCTGACCAATTACAGGCTATAAATAATCACAAAAACCACATCACAAAATAGCACAACAGTCATGCTGTTAATTGTGCAGGCTTTGGTTGAGTATAGACGAGGGACATTTACCGTAATGGTGCCTTTTCCTGCTGGTCTTTTTTTCTTCAATAGTGGTCTTGTCAGCTTCCCACTGGACACAATCTGTGTTGTGAAAGAGACTATTTAAACAAATCAATAACTCCTAATAACTACAACTTTAACTGATATTTTGCAAACTGCAGGAACAGGCTAACACATGCTAGTTAAAGTCCGAGTAAAACAACAAGGTTTTTAAGGCATGTTTTTAAGATATTTTAGAAAGTATGCTCTCTGTACTATGTGCATACTGCTCCTGCCATTATTCCAACAGATTCAAGGGTGACTAGCCATGATTTTCAGGTGAAAGCGCCCAAATTCAGTGCATCACAGCAATGCATCTGTCTTCTCCTTTAACAGCTCTGATATGCAATGCAAGTATATTTATTTCCACAATCTCTAACAGTGAACTGTGTACTATGACCTTACAACATACCACATAACTACCCAAGCATGGGTGGAAATATAAAGAATGGATACTGGAGCATAGTGCTATCAGTCAGGCACACAGAATAATGATCCTGCACTGCAGATCTCACACAGTCTAGTTCTGATTACTGGTGAACAGTAAATGGCACACTGTCTCACCTGGCCCAAGGTACACTCCAACTCCCCGAGGAAATCATCATCAGTCAGATCAATGGTTTTATTGTCTATGTCATAAAGGCCAAATTTGAGCTTCTGTACCACTTCAAAGTGATAATCGATGACAAACTTCTTGGCAAATTTTGGACACAGGCAGTTCTTAACTCTCTCTGTGCGATCAACCTGCAAAGCCAAAAACAGCACCTTTGAAATTAGCATTTAAAAACTTATGGGTGTTTGACCTTTTTGACCTTCAGCTCGTTTTTGTCCCGCATGCCAGATCATGTGAACTGACCTCAAACCACTGGTTCCCAGATGTATACATATGCAGCACACACAAGGGATCAGATTTGGATCCCACATCCATGTCCAGGAGGTTTTCACAGGAGACCGTCAGCTCCACCTTGGTCACACACTGTGTCGCCATTGATGAAAGCTTAAAACAGATACATAAAAGTAGGCTTTTATGGAAACTATTTGCTGTCAAAGTTTCATTGTCCAGATGCATGAGCCAAAAGATAAAACTGTCTTCTGTCTTTTTAACATAATAAGAAGATGAAAAAGAAGATGAAGATAAGGAAGTACAGCACATTTACTATGTTTCGGGTAGCATTTCCATCATTTCATGTTTTCAAGACACTTGATCAGAAGTCTGTTCACACACAGAAACACCTATGGCCGTCTAAGCACTATCAAGGCTGCCTGTCAAAGGTAGGGTACTACTGCAAGCTGCATTGATGCATCTTTTGTGTATTAAATATATGGACAGATCATGAGGTTCATTTGATTTTTTCAAATAATCCTCAATGTAGGCTGGTTAAATGGGTTAGATCCGAGCTTGATCCACAGCCTAATCTAATTCTCTCCCCTTAAGATTTCATGTTAAATGCCTAAAGTCAGGTGGATGTGCATTTGTGTGAATATTAAAAGGACTTATTCTACCAGTGTTTTTGCTCTTTTATATTGACTGAACCGCAAGATTCGTTTTTTTTCAGATAAAACTGGAGTAAAATAAGTTAATTATTTATATATGGGGGTCTGAGTTGTGATTTTTGGGCCAATTAATATCAGCGATGCCGATAATTGCTTCTATTCTCATGTATTCATCAGAAACAAACAACTTCTTCATATTATTTTATTAAACTAATCACTTAGTCTCAGTCAACAAAGGGCTCCCAAGACCATAAAATGTTTTTTGGCTTCATCATGCCACCCTTCCTCTCTATTAGGGTTATTCTGTTATTCTGTTCTGTAGCTTTAGTTTTTGTAGCATTTTCGTTCTGGTGACTCTTTATTTTTAGAAGAGAGAGTTTAATAAAGCAGGGTTATTAAAAGGTAAATATTAAAAGGTAAACATTTCATAGCATTGACATGAGCACTGAGTTAAAAACAAGTCCAACACAAATCATCGTAAAGTGCACTGGACCCGCAAGAGTTAGCCAAGTATGTTTGCATACATTTGTTTAGACCACTAACAAAGTGTTTTTTACAGAATTCAAAGCCATTTGGAGATAAGACTGACCCATTTGGAGTTCAGACCCTCCTGTTGGAGTGGGTACAGCCTGCAGGAATACATACTTGCCTGTCAGAGCTCTACACTTGTTCCCTCTACCTGCCTGCAAATTTTAGTGTTCTGCTCTTAACCCTCCAGCTTCATGTCAGGAAGGCTTGTTAATTAGCGGATTATTTGGAGCAAGTAAAAACGTTAAAACGTGCTGGGCAGGTCCTTCAGGATCCGAGATGGGAACCACTGCTGTAATACAACGTCCAGCTACTGAGCACAGCGCGGCTTTCTGTAGTTTTAACATGTGATGTGACCCTCTTCTGCCCTTCTGACACCAGTCACTGTTTACACCAATAAGGCTCACTACCTCTCACCTCATCAGCTGGCTTTGATATCCGTGTTCCACTTTGACTAAATTAGTTTACTTCCAGTGCAAAGCGCTTGAGTTACTTACTATAAAATAAAGATGTTGTTAACGTTATTGACATTGTTATAACGAACAGGTTCACGTTTTCTAATTCTTGTAAATGTGATGTACTTTTAAGCTTGCTAGCTAGCTAAAACAGTCAGTTTACAACAGGGCGATTCGAGTGGCTAGCGCTAGCTTGCTACTGGTATAGCTATGCTACGTAGCTACTGGTAAATACTCTTGTAGCTAAGCTATCTGTTCGCAATTAAAGAGCTGCCCCCAATCTAGCAAACCCACACCAATATTATTACTAAAGAGTGACGTTTTCGTTCCGTAACTACCGAAATAAACGCGGTTCGTTAGCGTTGCTTTAAGTTTAGTAAACTCCAGCTAACGCTAGCTACGTAAACTTACTAACCCACACGAAAACAAATCAAACTGCCTTCACACAACTTTGTGTTGTTGTCTACTTACTTTTTCTCCTTCTGCGCTCTTCAGCTTAAGACTCGAAATTAAAGAGAAGGCAAACTGTGGCCAAATCACACAGCAAGAGCACAGCACGGTAGGTCTTTCTGAATAGAAAGGAATTCACTGTTGGCATGAGCGCCACTCCCTCTGAGGAGCAGTTGTCGGGGAGGCCACAGCTTTGGTAATCATTGGTCAGTTTCACAGCGGTTCAATACGTAAACGCTCAGTCACATTTTCCTCTGCTCTCTGGGAATGTTTTTTTTTAGTTTTTCCGGCTCTCTCTTAATTGCAAGGCACAGTTTACGTAAGAGGTATACAGTCAGTTTACACAAGAAAAAAACAAATAATGTTTTGTTTTTTAACGTCAGAATGCATGAGAATACTAAACAAACCCTCTCTTCAGTCTCATCAGTGGTGTAAAATATATGGAAATTTGTTTTCCGCGTTTTTTTACTTCTGTTTTGGAGACATAAAATTATTAGGTATGAGCCACTAAAGACACTGATTGCATCCCATGGACTAGGCGGCCACCAACATATAATGAGTGATATGATCTGTCAGCATTAAATGGCACCGCTTTCTGTATACAGGTATATTCAGTATATTCTGTACTATTGGGAATAAGTATTCAGAATACAGAAATGAAGTATCTTTATTCAGTCCAAGTTACATGCTGAAAAAGCAGTGTTCAGAATAGTTACTTTTCAAATGCTTATCAGAATACGTTTATAATACTTACTCAACCACTGGGAAATATACAGTTTATAAAAGAAGCACCATTAATTGTTGTTTATGTTGTTTATTAACTATTTTAAAATCAGGGTTTATGGTATTACAGGGCCAAATTAAGTCCTGGCCAAATGTAAATAAACCTCAATAACTCTTAAACGTTGGTGTGAGTCATTGTATAATTTGGATATGTTCCAAATCCATTGATGATAATTTTATTTATTCTATTTACATCAAACATGTAATACTTTACATATGAATCGAAAACATGTTAAAATATCACTCAAACGTGCATCTTATGCTTCATTTAGCTTGAAATTTGTCACAATGTTTCTAAATTGACAGTATTTGCTATGTATGGTTTTTTTCAGTTGAGGGTGTCTTGGTTTCAAAATAATGAATAAAAACCATTAAAAAAATATTTTTTATTTATTTCAAAAGTTTAAATACTAATTAAAAATAAGATTTAAAAAAATAATTTTCTGATTTAAATAATTTAAATATCCTAATTGATCTATGTCCACAAAAGTTATGTCAACTGTGTTACTAGCAGAACTCCTAATACCATGTGAACGACATCAGATGATGTAATTTCCTCTGTGGTGGACATGTTGAACACATGGTGGTGAGCATGAGAATCCGCTCATTTTTTTCATTTTTTTTTTTTATAATAGCACATGGTCAGTGAGTATATTAATTGACTGTCAACTATGTTACATACATTTTTATTGGTTACAATTTTGTGATTATTTTAATTCAATTATATGTTCAAATTAGACATTAACCTGTTCAAGAAAATGACGTGGTCAGCAGGTCAAGGCCTACCACTGAAGTTATGGGTCAAAATAGGGACATTATCAACTATGTTACCTGCCAGCTAAGTTACCTCATAGTCTACATCACCAGTCATCATTACCACATTATTATTATTATTATCAGTCTACATATGTCACAACACATATTATTCATATGGGCACACTTTCCCTTTCTCCTTTATTAACACATTTTTAAAAATCCAGTAGGTTCTCATAGATGTCAGCAGCTGATAAACAGTGGAGATACAGCTCATCATTTACATACATATTCATTTTTATACATAATAGTTAAATATTGAAATTGCTGTACTATTTTTAAAAAAATATTTAGTTTTTAGGTTAGACTTCACTTGGACCCCTGTGCTGGTTCGAATCCATTACAGCACTACAACACTACTTTAAAAACTGTTCTTTAGTTGTTTCTCTACTATAGGTTTGTTTGTCTGACTGATTAGTCACTTTTGATAAAACTGTCAAATTTTTCGATGTATATATGAACTATTCAGGCTGTTCTGTGTGAGCTGAAATACTCAAAATGAATTCTGATGAAACACTAAATTCATACAAAAATACAAAATTTTAAACACACTGTGTGACACATTTCTGTAATAATCCTGTAATAAAAAATGTAGAAAAAAGTATTTTGTATGAATGTAGTGTTTCAGCATTGAACTCATGTATTAATTGAAAGTTTCAATAGAATTTTGTACTCCTGCCTTAAAATAAAATGCTGATGGTGAATAATGTGTCCAGTCAACTATGTTACTTGCATCAACTAAGGGACTTGTCAACTATGTTACACCTCATTATTTCAAATGTAAAATATCTAAAATGGTGCTTCTGATATATTTTAAAGTATCCTGCACATCTATACAGTTTGGAGTTTTGCAAGACGTCTCCTAAAACTATTAAAATTATCCCTATGATAGTTTTATAATAAAAAATAGTTCTATCTTTAACTACAGTGCTGAACATATCACATGTATGTCTGGAAAAAAAAAGAATTATTAATATTATTATTATTATTAATTATTAATATTATTATTTGCAACTAGCAGATATGTTACACTGAAGGAATATACTAACTGGAACCGCTGACTGTTCTAATGAGCGAGAACATTGTTTTTGTACTTTTTCTTGTGAAATGTACCCCAAATTATAGAATGACCGTGTACACTGATGTACCAAAAGTTATAGGATAGCAGTATGTAAATTGATTATGAAGTTACGTTACCTTAGGGGGCGGCTTGGGAACGCCCACAGCTGTATAAGTTGTGAGGTGTTATATTGTGAGTGAACGCTGGCCGGAGTTCGAACAAGGCATGATAGTGGGTGACAGATGGACGGGACATTCCGTTTCCGAATTTGTGTGGGCATTTAACGTTCCTTGATCCACAGTGGCAAGTGTGTAGCAGGAATACGTCATAGAAGGCATTACCACTCAGATTGGACAGCGCAGTGGTTGCCCACGGGTGCTTAATGATTGTGACTGGTGACGTCTGGCTAGAATTGCCTGTGAGAAGAGAGAAGCGACTCAGAAATCACATCCACATTCAATGCAGGAGGCCCCATACACATATCACGCAGGTCAGTGCAGCATTGTGTAGCTTCCATGGGATACGGGAGCAGAAGACCCACCAGTCTTATCTAGGCTTGTGAGGTTGCTAACGGAACCTAGAGGACTGGCAACATGTGGCATGGTCCGATGAGTCAGGGTACCAATTGTTTTGGGCTGATAGTAGGGTTCATGTGTGGCACAGACCCCATGAAGCCATGGACTCCAGTTGTCAACAAGGCACTGTGCAGAGTGCCAGGTGGTGGCTCCATACTGGTGTGGGGTTACCGCTCTGTTTCACTGCTTAGTGACCATTTGCAGCCCTTCATTGACTTCATGTACCCCCACAATGATGCGATATTCCAGCAGTATAATGCACTGAGCCATCAGGCCCAAGTTATCTAGAATTGGTTTGAGGAGCATTCTGGAGAGTTCCGACGAATGGTGTGGCCTGCACGTTCACCCGACATGAGCCCAGTCGAACATCTATGGGATGTAGTGGAGAGGTCCATTCACACCCGAAATCCTGCACCAACAAATACCACAGAGCTGTGGGTGGCTATCCAGACGGCATGGCTCAACATCCCTCCAGATGTCTTCTACCTACTTGTAGAATCGATGTCATGTCGGGTTGCTGCACTTTGTTGGGCTAGAGAGGGTCCTACACAAAAGTAGTTCCTGTCCCATGACTTTTGGCACGTGAATGTACAAACTGTGCAGTCACCAGTGGTGGGAACACACAAAGCTAAGGCACAGTAAGACATTCATCTTCTTCACTCTTCTATCTAAGAGTGGACGATGTAAAAACAGGGCCAGACTTAGTGCAAAATTGAGTGTCAAAAATATATTTATTTTATTCATAGTTTAAGTTCACTACACAAACACATTCACATACATTCTTTATACAATATGACAACGTTCACTTCAAATACAACTAGATGCAAGTTGTCTCAAATTACATAGAAACGTCTTTAAAAATAATCTTTTTGTTTTTAAATATTGAAAGAATTTCAAAAGAGAACATTAATAATTTGTAAACAATCAATATAAAATTTCTTCAAAAAGCTTAGATTAGCATAGCATTCTTATCCAGGACAAAATCTGTTTTTCTACAAATAAAGCCATAAAACAACCTGCAGCAGAACATTCGGACAAAAGTAAAGTGGTGGAGGCAAAGCTACAAGGCAGAAAGTGCTGAGATGTGGAGTACCACTGCGCCAGCCCTAACTTGACTTTCCAGCATACATTTCCTTCATGTTCTGTAACTCACTGATGAGCTTCTTGTTCTGCAACTCCAGCATGGTGACACGGGTCTCTAGGCAGCGTACATATTCTCTCTTCCTGCGACGACACTCTTTAGCTGCCTCCCTGCAAAGAGCACAAGTGACAAAGGCAACATACCACATTCACTGGCTTCAGAGCAAAGCAAGAAATCAGCTCTCTAACATCACCAACAGATGCATGCAGACACATTCGTCTTCAACACATAGAACTATATGGGTGATGCAACTGTGGCCTTTTTTCAGCTGTTGTGAGCAGTGGCTAGACACTGAGTGAAAGCGCTTTTGCCCAGATGTTTGCAGAAACCTGCGAACAGCACAGTCTTTTTAGTCTGGCCTCAAATGGCCTTAACGCTATTCAATCTTGTGAGAATACAAGTCTTTTAGGGCCTTGAGTTCTTCGATGAGCGTCTTGTTTTGATTTTCGAGCACAGCAACTCGATTCTCAAGACATTTGACATACTCTTTCTTCTTCCGGCGGCATTCCCGGGCAGCTTCCCTGGAAGCGACAACAAAGAGGCTCCATGAGCATGATCAAATCAGTTTTGACTTCAAGAGCCACTTCAATCAAGTCAGCCAAGTAACAGCCATTAAGCAGTCCAATCAAGCCACATGCTACACATTCATGTCAGTAAAAAAGAAAGTGATGGTCAAACGTTCTGCACCACAGATGCTTAGCTAGTTTAAAACTACACCCCAAATCACAATTGCTTGAAAACTTGGGCACTGGATTTTCTTAAAGCAAATCACAATGATCTTTGTGAATTTTTTGACCAATAGATATGAAAATGGTAAATTTATCTATTTTAGCAAAGTGTCCTTACAGAAGCCTTCCCACTATAACACCTTGCTTGTAGTCTGAATTCTCCAGTTCTCAAGGTGCTCTTTAATTTCACAGAACAACTGAGTGTCATGTAGTTTTGCAATGGTATCCAAGAGTGTTTGACTGACACCGCTAAAATCCCACCAACAGTTTAAATATGCCTCTCATCTGCAGCAAATCACAGAAAAGGTTCTGTGAAGGATGAAAGGCTAAGATCCTGAGATTTAGCTTACTTTATAAAGAGCACTTTTTGAAAATGTAGTTTTAAGTAGGTTTCTTAAAAGCACATTATTCCACTCTGCTGTTTTAATACAAATGGGCTCAGCTGAATAAGTAAATCCTAGAGAATTTGCTATTTAAATGTCCCATGCTTTTACATGTTGGGTGCATCAGGTGCATTGAGGTGCATTTGACGTTTGCCTTGCATAAGACAACGGGCATATATACCAATCCTTCGTAGCAATGTCCTATAAAGGCTCCTTGTTCGCATTATATGACGCAAAGCAGATTGGCCAAGCTTTTCATGTCATCAGACAATATTCCCTGCCCTTTCACATCTGATCCAAGTCAATGACTAATTACTATGCTGGATCAGGTGTGATGATTCAGGGAATCCTTCAAACAGTGCTGGGCGATGGGTCCCAAGGACTGAAGTTGAGACCCACTGTAGACTATTGAGATTAGGCACTGATACTTAGCTCAAGCAAAATGAATGTAAAATTTTAGTGGATGCAGTTATACTAAAAGTGCACTGAGTAAGATTCTTACAGGATTCTGAGTGTGTCCATCTGTAGTTTATAACACAACGAAGAAGCCTGACAATGAATGAGTCTGCATAATCATCCTGTTTGGCTAAATACCGAAACAACAAAAGCTCTTGTGACAAATTCAAGCTAATTTCTGTTATTTTAAAGTTTACAGCAGATTTGAGTTTGCAATAAATGTCAAAAATGAAATCCCTTTCAAACTAGTAGCATCATGCAATTCCATATAAAACAATCATGTCCGAAGAAAAGGAAAGTGATCGCCCCACATCTCATCACATCTTCGGGTGGCAAAAATCAGTAGGTCCACAGGCTCGGGCTTATCATGCGAGTATCATGCATCAGATTAGGTGCGTGTTGAGCAATAGTGGTTATGAGCTGAAACTTTAATAAGGAGCATATCATAGTGTTTGTGCAGGAAGGTAAGATACAATTTAAGCACAATCTGTCGTGCTAAGTATAGAAATGCAGCAAGTATGTTACCTGTTTTTCATCAGGCGGAGCTCCCTCTTATGCGAGGCCTCCTCGGCCAGCTGCTGTGGGCAGTGCAAGGAGCCTGGTGACCCGGCCATGGCCACACCCTGTGGTAGGCTGGAGGTGGGTGAACGGATCTGATATGCTGACATGTCTCCAGTAGTACCTAAAGAAACCCACACATACACACAACCAAACACACCCATGTAAACAAAGCTGCAGTTTAAAGCATTTGCAATCACTATTCAGTCTTCAAAACATTTCATATCTGTGCCTGAATGATTAATCTAATGTGTTCCACTGATAACAAGTCAATGTACTATTGTAACAAAAAAGTCTCCGTAATTGATCAAATTCAATTGGAACTGCGATATTTGTTAAAAACAAAATGAGTAAAACTATCCAATTTAACACTGTATTAAAGCATTGCATGTGTTATAGTTTTAATAACCTTTAAGTGATAGTACTGACATCTTCATACTTTAAAATCTTTGAATATTATTTTAGTATTTGCAAGCTTGTGTGTTGCATACTCAATTATCAATTATCTCAATTATCAGTGAATACTAAACCATCCTGTGTGCTGATGTACTGACCAGGATGTTTAAAATGAAGTTAGCATTGTTCCGGTGTCACTTTAATTAGTTTCTGTTCTGCATGGAATCACCTCATAAAATGATGTGATAGATTTTACAATCATTTACAACATATTATCAGCAAACACGAGAGATGAGTGAAAAACAGCTTAAAGATTAAAGTCTATCAGTAAATAAAGGAAATAAAAAACGCAGTACACATTAAGTTGCCACTTAAGATACTTGTATGGTACTGTGCAAGACCACATTCATTTATTTAATTTCTAGTCAAAATGACCATTAAGTACAAATTAATTCATTTTTCAGCATCAGGGAAAAAAGCAGAAAACACATAAACAAGAAAATTACACAGAAACCTCAACAACCAATACAATGTATTTTTTTAGCATTCAGTGTGCTTTTATTACAGCGTTTGTTTTTTTTTCATAAGACTCACTTTCAGTTTTTCAAAGAAATCTGTAGGGATATTTTTACACACCTCCAAAGTCTTGCATTTTGCATGTTGCATTTTCTGCTTCTCATAATCCAAGTAATCCCAAACACATTCAGTTTATGTTTAAATTTTTAACAAACATATTAATAACCATAAATAAATGGTGATTGTGAATTAAAATGCAGAAGTGTGTTCGCTGTAGAGGATGTGCTAACTTATTTTCACTTCAACAAACTTAGCAAACTTTTGCGAATGACTGTACATGGTTATACAGTGTGAAATTATTGCAAGAAACTGAATATTGTTTGTGAAATACTTTACATAATACAATGGGGTAACCACTGGAGATGTGAAGAAGAAAAATGTTATCCATGTTGTACATAAAGCATGTTATGCAGTTGCTGTCTGCAAATAAACAGTAATGAAGTGAAACTGACTGTTCTATTTATGCAAAGCAGTGCTTATGCTGCCCATTAAAGCTAATCAATTAGGAAGATGTAGATCATAGACATTCAAGATGTATACAAAATTATTTTAAATCAGCAAAGCCATCAAACATCATCATACCGACATTAATAAAACAATTGGCAAATAGACGATAAGAAACACTGACCTACAGAAATCCTTTCTACTGTCAGTCTATGAACACAATCATGCTTACACTAGAACATGAGAAATATTAATTGTGAAATACATTGAAATATTTGAATGGAGATTTGATTAAAAGGGGTGCCCTCTATGGAGCCCCTGAAGGGACATGGTGTATTTTTTTTTTCTTAGGTGAAAGGGACGTGGTGTATTTTTTTTTAAGTAAAAATCTGGTGCACACCAGATACTATTAGGTGAGCACGCAATACTATCAAGTGAGCACCAGATACTATGTGGTGAGCACCCAATACTATCAGGTGAGCACCATATACTATGTGGTGAGCCTGATAGTATCTGGTGTGCACCAGATTTTTACCTAAAAAAAATACACCACATCCAATTCACCTAAAAAAAAATACACTGTGTCTCTTCAGGGGCTCTGTAGCCCTCAAACAGCAGGCTGACATCATAAGAGGCAGCTGAATAATAGGTTTTAACTGTGGATTATACACAGATACGCTTGCAGCGATTACATCGCCAGTGAAAACTCTTTGTTTACTCGGGACCAAAGCGGTGACCTTCCTGTCCTGGCTACAGCTATTTCCACCAGCCTCAGACTGTTATTTCCCATACAACACCAGACATGCAAATCACAGACACAGCACAAAGGCACACTAAATAGAGAAAACAGTTTCTGTCTAAAGTTTCTGGCATGCTTCATTGCTTTTTCTCATTGTGTAATTACATTTACACTCTCTCTATGGAAATCTCTGTCTCACTGAGACAACCAACAGAGTATTATCTAACAGATGATTAATCTAGTAATGTCTTGCTCTCGCAAAAGGAACTGCCCGTAATCACAGCATGACTCTGGACTGACGTCAATGTACATCTTATTTGCTGTTCAGCATTTACATTTCCCTGCTGGTGTCCAATTCCAGGAAACGTGGTGACGTCAGCCAGGCTGTGAGTGGGCTGAGCATTCACACGTTGCAGAGTAAGTGAGAGAGAGAGAGAGAGAGAAAAGCACTGAAAGGGAGGGGGGCTTGAGGGGGAACTGAACAGGCAAGAAAGCAATCGCCGCTGTGAAGATATTTCATGCATTTAACCTGTTGTAGAGGTTCAAACCGATATGTATATAAATGTACAGTATCAACACAAGTCAATTCTTTGCCTCAAAGCAAAAGAAAAAGGCTATTTACCTTCTAACTGAATCTTCTGACAAAAGCAACAAACTTAGTGTTACATTAGATTGCTCTAAGTTCTACCAACACTTGGTAAGTACCATTTTATTTTCAGAATGCACTCATTCTAGTCCAATAAATCAATCACTCAGCTAAACAAAAGAAACCTACATTACAGACTGTGCCATGCTGTGATGCTGTTATATAATTTATTGATGCAGCATAGCATTTTAAATTATGAAGCAGAACAGCAAACATACCTGACTCTGTCTCCTCTCCAATCACAGCCATGTGTAGTGGAGCTGAGAGACTGTTCCTGCCTCTGCCTTCAACATGCAGTGCTGCCCAACCACTAGCTATGCGTGCAATTACAATTAAAGCTATTGACATCACTATGACATCACTGGCCTCCTGATGTCAATAACACAGTGGAGACCGGAGCCGTCCCCGCCTCCTCTCTCTTCTCTTCCTGCTTTCTCAGACCTAATGCCTAATGCATTTGTTTTAAGTACTCTTAACTGTATCAGTCAAGTACCAATGTAGAGTGCAGCAGCAAGATTTTCAGATGCCAAATTCTAAGGCAGACCTTCAAGACACTCCACAAATATTTAAAGGTAGACAGATTTTCCTAGCCTGTCTACTGGCTTTTCTCATTTTAGGACATGCTAATAGCACGTACATTACTCAAACAGGGAGACATCATGCTACGAACCTAATATGTCATAATATGTTTATTTATACATAATAAAAATTCTATTTAATGTTTCCACTTATTGTGATTAAAAGAAAAACAACTCGAGTAGCACTTAAATAAATGATAACAAATGAAACTTTTAGAATTGTATAATACATAAAAGTTTATAATTCCTTATGATTGGCATTTTTAAAAAAACCCCAAGAACATTAATTTACTTTCTTTGTGATTAACAAACAAGTCAGCATAATCGATAACATTTTACATACTGTAAAATAAGGGCTTTTAATCAGATTATGCAATTAAAACAAAGCCTAACTACAAATCAATGCTTAAGAAGATAATTACCTTGGACTACCACCTTGTTGCCAGGCACAAAGTAGTGCTGAGCCTGTGGGGCTCCTGAAGTGGACATAGTGAAGGTCTGATACCCCTGCTGGCTACTGCCAAATTGGTTGCTGCCATCTGGGTTGAAGGCAACTTGAGGCAAACAAATACATTCCAAATCTTTATTGCTTGGTAGCTGATAGAAATATAATATTTATATTAATGCCATCAATTACTTAAAGGACCAATTATAAGTAGTTCAAGTTTTTTTTTTCCTGAAAGTCTTACAAAGTCGGCTTGCGTTGGCATTGTAGAAGGGGCTTAGTGGCATAGTAGTGGAGGCATTTCCTTCGTCTGAAAACTTTTCTGCAAGCATCGGGATTATGGGTGCATCTGAAGGAAGCTCATTCAAGCTTCTGTTTGAACATAAAATACATGACAGCTGTGTATGTGTTTTTTAAGAGTATCATTTAGCTACAAGAATGCTATTGAAGATGCTGTTACCTGTAGGAGCACCTAAGAAGAGCCTCCGTTTTCTTGCATGAATCAACAGTATCCTCTTTGCAATTTCCATTTCCAGACACGTCCTGGAAAGACATTCAGTTTCCCAGGGTTTTTGAACTGCACTATAACAATAGAGGCATAACGTGTACAAAATTGTCCTGCTATTTGAGTGACTGTCTATGTAATGCACAACCTACAGAATTTGCAACATATCATTTAACTGAGCTGTGTTTATCTGGGTATGGAATCTAGGGCTCATCCGCCAGTGTGGGTGAGTCTGTGTGACTTTTAAAATCTAAAATGTTTGACCAGTGACTAAGTGATGCTTGCATTTGAAAGAAACTATGTAAACAGGTTACTCTGGCAACAGCTGAGTCTGTGTAGGTAACTATTAATAACTGCAAAAGACAGTAAAGGCACAATGCAAGAGAAAGGCCAGATGTAGGCCTTCATAAACTTACTGCCTACCTGGGGTACTAAGTTAGTTTTTATTTTTTCAATTTACCATTAGGATTGTTTCCTGAAGTGTGTTATCTGGATAGCTAAGGTTGGTGATGATGAAACTTTCCTGTCAATTCTACATTACTGTAATTGTGCATGTGTGTGGCACTGGCTTTAATTTACCTGTTTAAGTGCAGAATCTTGTTTGCTGGTCGATTGTCTTTGTTTTTGAACCCCAGTGGCAACAACAGTGTTCATGGTGTTTTCACTAAAACTAAAGTTGATGACGTTAAACAAACTATACAGATCTACTTTAATACAAAAAAGTAAACAGTCAGACAGTTGTGATAAATAATAATAATAATAATAATAATAATAATCTAAAATTCATTTTTATCTCCTAAACGATGACTTTGAAAACAGTGACTAAACTCAACGTTACTTGATTAGCTAGCTAACGTTAGCTTAATCATGTTAGCTGTTGCTAGGTAACGTAAAGTTAGCTAATGTTACTGCTGTTAACAGAGTAAGCTAGCTAGCTAATACTAGCTGCCTAACTAGTTAACTTAACGGTCACACACACAGGTTATTGAACAAACTGAACTAAAAAGCTTGTTAACAGTCCATTAACGCTACCTCACTTCCTAGCTCTTGGCTCCAGTATTGTATCTAATAAAGGATTTTCAGCCCCTTCGTCGTTACGCACGTCAGGCTCTTTATGATGCTGTGAATGGGATAGAGAGGTTTAAACTGACCCGAGACTGAAATTCAGTATCTTCTTGACTTATGCCTAGAGAGATCAATAATTAGCTACAATACCTAATGTTTTCACAGATGTTAAAGTAACGCATTCCTAGCGACCATTGCTGGTTATTTATTTTTTCAGCTTAACACTTTAACTGTGAACCGATCGTCAGTGCAACTGTTTTAGAATGTTGTGTTCATTTAATTGACGCTTTAATCTGAATTTGCTCAGCGTCACTACTGACTCAGCTGTGATCTCATCACCGAAGCTTCACGACGCTGAAACCCACTAACCTCTCACCATCCCATTCATTCCCACTGAAATCTCTCAACTCAGGCCTCTCGCAGATATAGGCATTGTGTTGAAGTCAAGCCTGCTTTTTAATTTTTTAACTCTTTATATTATTACACAGGGTGCAGGGTCTTTCATAAAGCAGTTAAGATAAAACTAGTCAGGCATACTGACTACATATAATAAGTGAACAGGGTCTTACTGGGCAGTTTCCAGTTTAGGCTTAAATTTTCCAGCTCACCAAAAAAGCCTGCTTTGTGAAACACCCCCAGGACCTTTTTTATTACAATCAGAAGTAAAGACAGTATTCATTATTGTATTTATTTTTTGGTCTTTCTCGAAAATACAAAACGAAAACACAAAAAACATTACAAAACATTCTTTAACCAAGGTGACATAGGCAATATATATATGAATAAGTAAAAAGACAATGAAATTCAGTCAGTAATGGTGCAACCTTGAGGTAACAAGCAATATAAGTTTCTTTTTGTGTTCTTAACCAAATGACTCATTAAGTTACTATGTCCTCAGTAGTGTTATCAAATATGTTTGAGTTATAAATCGACCACATAAATCAGTTTTACATTTCAAAACGTGTTAAGTTAGCAATGATTCCACTGTCACTCTTTCAGTCAGACCTTTAACATATCCAAACTTTAAAAAAATAAAATAAAATAAAAACACAGGAATAAGTAGGCATGCTCTCAGCACCAATACAGGAGTATTGTTCGGCAGCTCAACCAACCAATCTATATACACATACAGGCAAAAATGTGCAACAATTATCTGTAGCAAGAAAATGAGGAATGATCAACTAATCAGAACAGAAATGGAGATCTGTATTTGAGGCACTAAATCAAAAATACCCAACCCCACCTCCAAATACAAAGTGGCAGAAGAGCAACAACACGTGTTGCCCAGATAGAAATGTAAGTTACACTTACAAAAATCAAAAATCCAAGTTAAAACCAAAGAAATGCAAAGGATTTTAAAACACTGTTGTCTTTTTTTAAATGAGAAATGGAATTTATATTTTCTATTAAATAACAATAAAGACATTGCATTTGAAATGTGAAGTTGCTTTTTTCCCCCTAATCCTTTGGATTTTGCTTCTGGTAACCTTTTGATAAGTTTGCATCAATCATGGCAGGTAGATTCAGCTAGCATTATTATTTTCAATATATACATGCATTCAATTCGATATGCTTTCCAAACACAAACTAATTCCACTTCCCTTCTCTTTTTACCACTTTAAGAGTTAAATGCTATAAAAATTGCAAGACAGTCCACAAAACACAAGTCTGCGTGAAGAGCTAGTCTTCTGATATGAGATATGCCGTAGAACACATGAGTAATGCTAACAAATGTAGTCGGAATGGAAAGGTGCTCATTCCCATTCCACAATTTTCTTTCTTCTGCCAACTGGGTTCAGATTCACATTATGCTTGGAAGGAAGAACAACTGGCTGGAAACACATGTGGCATCAGCCCCAACTGTAACTGTAAAATACTGGACTGTGCGAATGCATATCTACCACCTTCTGACCTGGGAAAAACAGAGAGATGCCTATTACAAAATGAAACTGACAATGTAAAAGGTTTCATTCCAAAACACCAAGAATTCCAAGAATTTTCTTTTGTTTTGCCAATATATATGTTGTTGGGCTTTAAACATACAAGAAATATCAATGCTGTATTATGATGGAACTATTTAGAACAAAACAGTTTTATTAGCCAAACACAAATGTGTTTTCCATTATACATCAGCTGTTATTCTTTCCAAAAACTCATTATTTTCAAAATTTTGACAAATGGATATACAGCATTTTGAAATGAAACTCAAAGTATGTCTGTCTCAAAGACAAAATTCACATGTTTGTCACGTCTTGTTGGACCAAGGAATGCGTTTGTACTTACAGTGCCATCTGTTCACCACTGAGGGGGCACATAGCTGTAGGTGGGTGTGCCGGGGGGTCGATATGTGGGCACTGTGACTGGGTGGGGAGCTACTGGAGTTGGGGAGTGAGTTGTTAATAAAGTCCCTGTGGAGTGAAGGATACGCAATACAAACATGACCACATGGCACAGAAACAAAAAATCTGAGCTCAGTCATTTAATACAGGAATCTTTTCACAATTAATGGCCAGAACAGTTGTCTTAAGAACACTGAAATTAAAAGAACCAAAAAAGCAAATGAACAACCGTGAATGTGGGAAGAACATTCAATATTCTCCCAACAATCAAACACAGGTACAGCACACCAACCAAACGTTTCTGTTTGTGTTTGCTGGTGCGTTCAGTCAGTGTTCTCTGGCCTTGAAAAAATGTTTTCTGTCATTCACAGGTTTTAGATACATTTAAGTGGCTGTCTAAGCACCCAGAATGTGATTTTGCTAGTTTTTAAAAAAACAGAAGCTATTAGTGATTAGAGCTTGGTATTGGCAGAAACTTCAAGATACACATCATGATACAAGCATAGCAACACAATATGTCTCACAATATAAGAATCACGTAATAAAAAATAGTACATTACAGAAAAATAAACAAATAAAATGTACTGAATGTCAGCCTAGAACAACTGCTCTGCTAAATTTAAAGTGTTTTTGCTCTTTTAGAGTGTAGGTTTGCCAGGGTTTACGTGTTCTACTGCACTCACAGATTTGAAAGCAATATCAGTTTTGCTCATAATACTGTATGAGAAATATTGAAACAGCCATAACCATAGTGATTTACTCATCACCAAGAGCTTATTGATGATACACTGCGGTATCAATATTTTGAACACAGCTCTATTAATGATATCACTCATTCATCTAACTTCTCACTTACCAGCGGACATTGCCATAGTGGTGCCTGCTACCATTCCCATGGCGACTCCATTAGGACGGGGAGGGGGGATGGGAGGAGCATATATAGCTGCTGGCATGCCATTGGGCTGAACCACTGTAGTATGATGAATTACATGGGGAGGGGCAGCGTACAGGGGCTGTGTGTAGTAAGTGCCTTGCTGCTGTGGAGAAGAAGAATCATGTTTTAGAGCAACTGCTGCATCTCTACACAGAGAAAAAATATATTTGGATTTTCAAAACATTTTAGTAGCAGCTTACCTGAGCATAGGGATTCTGCTGAGGATAAGAGCTCCTCACGGGGTACACAGCGGCAGGGTAGGGGTTGGGTGATGAAGAGTAGGGAGGCACAGCACCTGTCGTTGGGGAGCAGGACATTTTGAATGGTGTCCCTGGAGCGTAACCTAGAAGGTTGTAAAATAAAGGTTAAACAGCCGCCTTTCCACATCTTGTTGAAGGCATCATAGTCACAACAAAAACATATGGCTTGCCAGAGATTGAAGTATATTTTCTTTATCTTAGGTAATAGTCTTGAATAAAGATTAAATAAGAGGAAATTTAAAGCCATGCAATTCTGACAAATTAGTTAGGAGTTCTCAATTGTAACTGTATGTAATAAATTGCCAGATATATTTTCTCAGTAGCCTTGCATTTGGGATGGACATGAGGAATTTAAATGCTGAGGCCAAGTTTAATGCATAAAGAAACCATTTTCCAAATAGTTTGTTTCAGTTTGTTTCCCCGTTTTTACCCTTGAGGGAATAAGAAGTGTCAGTTTCTGCTTATCTAAGATCTCACAATGGAGTCATAGACAGTTAAAAGTAACTGGGCCTTGTTGTGAAACAAATGTAGTGTTGCGCACTCAATGACAGGAAGCCACAAGCAGTACTCCCTCCTCAGCAAGGACTTGAGGTAAGCCCAAGTTCAACTAGTGAAGACAGAAAATAAGATAGTCACTTAAAGAGAAAATACATTTCTGCTTCTGAAAAAAATGCCCCTCAAAGCACTATCCTGCTATGATATTACATAGTGATTTACTAAGCTTCTTACTGTTAATAAAGACCTGATAGATACTAATGATTCTTCCTTTCCTGATCTTTGTAGGATGCCAGGGAGTGTTGGAACTAAAGTTTTAATTGGGCCCAAAATTTTAATTCAAATGCAAATACAGCCCAGGATTTTCTGTCCAAGCCTGACCCAAACCAACGCACACCACTGCACACAAAATTCTGTCCTGTCAAAGTGCAAAATAAAACTTGACAGAATAGTATCTACCTGTGTAGTGACAATAATAGCCGTCAACAGAGCGCTGATAAATAAAAATGGCTATGCTATAATAAAATAATTGTGAATAAAATCTGTTTTAACAAAATTCATTCTTCAAATAATGCTTTTCAAAAGGTATCTCAACAGTGTTTAGTCTGAATAAACTTTCCGTACTGTGCTGTCCTCATGCTATGTGCTGCTGATATAGCGAGATGTTAACTTCACTTGTTTAATACTAGAACTATGTCCTGCACATAAAACATGTTACATATAACATATTGAACATACAACACAGAAATATTTCTGGCCAAACAAATCAAATGGTCTTCTGGATATGGATATAAGCCACTATCCATCATAGTATTAATGAAACTCATAGGGGAAAAAAAGTAAATAAATAATTAAATAAAAGCAGATGGTTTCAGCTGGACAGGCTTGACAATGTTTGTGTATGGTCAATCTACATTAGCTCTGTTTAACTGAATTTAGCACAGTGAAATGCTGAATACAAATCATTGGACATCATAAAGTATTGTGATATTTTTGCCATATCGCCTACCTCTACTACCCATGCAGTAGACCTGTGCCTATTTCAAACATCTGACCTGCATGATAAATGATCTAAGCTGAAGTCTAGCATAATTCTATTAAGTGTTACACTAAAAGCATACGCTGATCCCTAATCAGCATTCTTATGTTGATATTAATATGGGCCCTTGAAGCTACTTTGGCAGAAAAGCAACCACTGCTTCAAATGACATTAAAGGTGCCACAAAATGAAAAACTGTATTTACAATGGCAGTGTTGAATAAGGAGAGTTCGGTACATGGAACTGACATACCGCAAACACTTTTGTCTCCTCCTTTAAATACAAACCCCACATTTGCAAAAGAGGGCAGTAAAACGGGCCAATTCCAAAATTCTAAACTGTTACATTAAAGACTGGACTCATTAATATTTATGCCCCCAAAATTTACATACACCAGCCAACATTCTAGCCCAGCAGGTACTGTGAAGAACAATGACAATGAACGACAACAGAGCAACAGCAATGAAAATGGCACAACCTGCAGAAATGTACCTTTTCAGGCTGTGAAGGGGATGTCGGCACTTTTCATAACCTTTCCAAAGAACCGAACTGTCAACAGGCAAGGCTGATATTCATCTTTACAAACTTCAGCCTCGTTCATCTTTAAACAAGGCTGAAACTGGCCTCCTATCTGTCAGCTTCTTAATCAAATGTTCCACGTCACCTTAAATGCTACAGCTTTTAGAGGTGCCAGAATGGAACTGCGGCACCATTTAAGGTGGAACGGAAAATTCGCAAACAGGAGGCCAACTTCAACTCCTATAAATTTAACATGATCCTGGACAATTTTATTTCAAAGTTGTTAGTTTGCTCTGCACATTTAAATCTGGACAGTTTCTCAAACCATGGACAATATCAAGCAGGTTTTCAGTTTCACACAGAAGGGACTGAAGAGAGGGGCAGTTCCAACTTTATTAGTATCACAACCCCAACAGTAACCTTTAAGTAGCAGCCATGCTGTGAGATTTTATCCACTTTTTTACGGTTGAAGCTAAATTATGAAGCTAACAGCAAGCTCCAAGTAACCAGCACAGCTAACTAAGTACTATGACAATCTAGCTTATTTATAGGGAGGTTCATTTTATTTTTCTGCCTGTGTCTATCTCGACATGTAGCTTCTATGTGAGCCATCGCGATGCCTCCCTATAAACCGGCAAATCATAGCAAGGTTCTCAGATTATTCCCATCAAAAAAGGAAAATAGGCTTGTTTCATTCTAGGGCCAAATTGTAGGGCTGGAAATAGGCATGTAAAACTGCACCTGGGCTTTTTTTTTACCCCTACCAAAATCACATACCTTCTATGCAGACATCAGAGAACAATTTAAAATCCTAAATAAATGGGCTCTATGGAACTCTTAAAAGTTTTGGTTAATTTACCAGCTCATTTTTCAACCACAGCCATCTATCACCTCTATAGAATTTCAAGTGAGAAGACGATGTGTACAAAAATCAGTAATACATCAGTAATAAGAAGAGTAAAGACAGATCAGCTTAACAGATCAGCTTAACAGACTCAACAGAGTCAATGTAAATCAAGACCTTCAGAAGGAGGTACTGCTCTATTGATGATGTGAAGTCCTATGACCTTTTAATACTATTAGGCCTAATCCACAATAACATTGACACATTTGAAAACTCACATTTTTTTCCTGTGTTGGCATTCTTTCCACAATGAAATTGTGTTTTCAACCACTGAAAATAAATCTATTTTGACCCCTCCAGGGCCAGAGAAATCAGAAAAAAGGTTTTTTTGGCAATATTGTGTGGTTGAGAGAAACTGGAGATTTTCAAAAATGTTGAAGTTTATTGTTCTCTAATGGGCCTCAGAGATTTGCATTTCAGCTCTGATACATCCAAAATGGGCAAAGTTAATTTGAATGTGGTTATGCCATCTGTTTTGGTCTGTGTACAAGTCAATGTTTTAGATAATGGACTGTATACACACAGATGCACAGGGTTCCTGTGTACAAGACAAAGCACTTTGTGTTCACCGCAATACCACAGACCTCTGCTTGCTAAATATGGTTATCAACTTGTTTTTTTTTCCTTCCTCTAACTTAGCCATCTTTCTCACCACAACAAGCTGCCTGGCTCAGGTAGCTGGTGCACACTGAACACAGGCATTTTCATATTGTTTCAGCATTTCAGTATGGAGTGAAAACTTTTTGAAATCTTAAATCTTTAAGTGGTAATGTGGATGGAGAACTTTGACACAAAATCAGCTCCTTTATATGTATGTGTAAGAGCCTGGACAAGGCCTTATTAATTAATTAAAGCTGTTCCAAATTGGAGACTCAGTTTTACAACTTGAGAAAAATTAAGGAAACAATCAAAATGTCTGACATGGGCTAAATTTTTTTTTCCTCACATCCAATGAACATTTGTACTCAAAAGTCCATTAGGTGTCACTTTGTACCTTCTAACATAGTAGCTCAATGTTCCTTAATGATTGGTGATGCTGAAACCTCCTCTCTTTAAGTGATACGAAAAGGCCTGAGATTAATCCTTTTTATACTGAAATCACAATTTGAAAGAGTGTCATTTTCAAATCAAAATGGCTGCAATTTTAATTATATCCAAAAATTATATTAACAAGTTTTCACTGAAGGAATTTGAACTAATACAGCAGTGCATGTGAACTGGCAGTGTGGCACACTATATTCAGCATTTAAGCCTCGAGTCCAAAAAAAAAGGATGAGCTGGTCTTGTTGGTGAAAAAGGCCTGAAGCTTAATTTATAGAAAATAGTCACATTTTTGCAATGTTGATCAGAAAAAAGCACAATACATATTTCTTTAAATTATTCAGTGCTAGATATTAATTACCTATCCTATGACACGTCTGTTGTTTTAAGTACAAACAGAACCAGATATAAATGTAAATGCAAAATAAGTATCGCTTGGTTTACTATGTTTTTCTCCTGGCTCTCTGGCACACGAAAAACTTGATAGCAATTGGTTGATAAAATCATAGTAAAAGGACAGAGAGTAAGAGTAAGTGCTTGGCTCTTTCACTCTGTTGGACTGCTCAAGACTCCTAACTGGATGCCAAGACGTTGATGCTACGAAGCATTTCAGGAGTTGAGAGCTTCTCTTACCTGTGGGAAAAGCTGGGTTAGCTCCAGCGTACACGTTGGGAGAATACGCAGGGGCAGCCGCTGCATAGCCAACAGGAAACCCAGCTGCAAGTCATAACACAGAGCAGGCCCATTCATATCATTACAGAAGCTGGTAATAATAATGTTATAAAAGGACATGATACTCAATCACAAACAAAACATGTATTCTACAAGGGAAGACAACACTTCACTGTTTACCTGGGTATCCTATTCCTTTAGGGTTGGCATAAGGAACCCCTGTTGGTGCAGGGCTGTAGACAGGGTTCATGATGTTGACTCTCTGCTCCTTTATAAAAAGGCGACAAAAGACAGCTCTTGATATTGGAGCATGCATTTTACAACCACTGCTGTCAATAGAGTGTTACAATACTCTATACTCGGGGGAGTATTTCACAAACTGTTCAAACAATATGCCCACTAGTATTTCTTATACTGAATACTTACGGCTATTAGAATTGATGTTATTTAGCCAACAAATACTCTTATTGGGACACCAATGGCATAATTTTAGCAGTTACTGACACTGTAAAACATTAACAGGTTCTGAAGAATTTTAGACAATACTGCATATATGTATAAACATGTTTTACCATTTTGCAGAATTAGTTACATCTTACTGTTTTGTGTTAAAAGAGCATTCCAACATAAAACCAGCATTTCATGTTATTTGTAGTATTCTGTAGCACAGCATTACATCCCACACCCTCATCATCTTGACAGAATTCACAAGTTTGTGTTTTTTTTCCATTAATGTTCTCTCACTAAAAATTACAACATGATTTCCTAGTAGCAACTTTAGCTATCTGGCTACCTTCAGCTTTGGCCTACAAGCAGGAAAAGGCATTTCAGATAAAAACATGTATCTGTACCAAAGGACTTCCCATACGTCAAGGACTCAACATACATCATCTGAAGGGGATTTTTTATCTTTAAACAGGAAAATCTCACTCTGTGAACTACTCTGGCTCCACTGTAGGACTCCAGTAGCCTGTTTACAACAGTTGTAGCAATGATTACAGTTTTAATTTTGGTCGGAGTGCTCCTTTTAAGAAGACAGCGGATCAACCTTTCGTGTTACTGTATTTAAGACTGTAGATCTATTGCTTATAGCCAAGTGAATAACAGTAATAGGAAAATGCCTAGTCGCAGGAGGTCAAAACGACTGGATTGATAATCTGGATTACCACTCGCTGTTCACCCAAGGACATTCATGAGTCCAACCGTAAGTAAAAAAAATAGGACATACATTTCTTTGGAATCTGGTAACACAGTAAGTCTGAATGCTAATCAGCACCACAACGCCATCCATAACAATCAACTGTGCACATGGTGCTTAAGACTGGGACAAGACACAGACTGCTCTCACTACCATGTGTGCACAGACGCAGCTCTCCCTTCTTACTGCATGTGGAGTTGTCAGTGCTGTAGCCTCACTGTCCCCCAAAGTAAAGGACGTTCAGAACTCCACATGCTATGGGCTCTACGGTATCTGCACCGACTTCATCCTGAATTCGAGGGAAATCTTCTCGCTGCTGAGCAGACGTACCGCTTGCTAACCAGCCACTTCTCCTGAAACATAAGCGCGCTTTCCCATTAGCCAGAGCTCTCGCCTGTAAACCGACGCTGCGCTGCATTGGCCGCCGATTAATATTTTACAGCGCACGTCCACCAAGACACAACTTTTTCGAGCCAACGCTGCCATCTCGCTCTGAGAGCAGTTAAATAAGAGCAGCCAGCGCGCTGTGTAGCCCCGCAGTGGCTGTAGGCCGCTGCCTGCCTGCGCTGCTGCTGCTGGTGCTCCATCACCATCTCGCATCCTCGCTCCTCTCACCAGAGATCTCCCTCTCACAGCAGCAGCCGCGCTCCATCCACCTCCCGCTCTCGGGACAACAGCAACGATAATACTCAACTCTGACAACAGATCGGCTAACAAAGGCCGAATGAACACCGGCATGGCGGTGACTTACGCCTGTGTCTGTGTGTTTGCTGTGGGCTGTGAGTGGACGTGCGGCTCCGCTGTGTTTCTCTCTCTCCGGGCCGCTGGTGCCCAGTCGCTGCCCTCCGCCACGAAACGCTGCGCAGAGAGCCGAGCAGCGACGTGCGTCACATCCGGATTCAGCAGCTGAACTACGGAGGGAGGAAGCAGCGCCCCCGGGTGTTGAGAGCAGAGGAGCCCAGCAGAACAGAGCTGTGTCCAGAGCCGCACACTGCTGGACCATACTGACTAAACTAATGAATGGGCTTCTAATAGCGGCCCACTAGTTTTGACACGCTGTTTAGTGTGGTAGTATGTTATTTTGGGCGCAGCACAGAAGTGCCCAGCTCATTTCAAAATTCTCAGTGATGTTATTTGGAAGTAATTTTTATGTGTACGTTTTAATATAGATATAAATTATTGTGCATTTTGTGGAAGCAATTTTGAAACAACTGATCATGTTTTCTTCTCCTTTGTGTAGAATAACACATTTTAGCATAATGTCCTCCACTGGTTCTTTTCCAGTTATTTAATGATTGAGAGGCTGAATTATGTCAACATCAATTTTGGGGTGTGTGAGATCCGAGAGGTTTAAGTGTATTAATGTGTCACGACTGTAAAGCTTTGTATTCATTCTGGGTGTCACACAATAGACTTTGTTCACAGTGAAGGTAATGATGGCTGCAGGCCCACCACTGCAGCACTATGGTCACAGTTTTAAATTACTGTACCGCCACGCTGGGCTGCTTATCACAACTGTTTATTACAAAAATGTTGCTGCTAGTTGTTGATACAGCAGCTACTTGTCAGAAAGAAATTGGTGCCAAAATAAATGTCTTGACATTTTGTTTTTGTTCAACAGTAAAAAGGGCTCACTGGAAGCACTCTTGAACAATGAAGTAAGTGAAATGAACGCACAATGATAAAAAAAAACACATGATGTTAAAAGAACCAATTTCATTTAGGCTTGTTGACACTGATGGGTGAAAGTGATCTAATTCATTGGAAACTGACTATAAGTAGACAAAATTTGTTGTTTGTTGTCTTCATCACTTCAGCAGAAAGAGGTTAAGAAGGGCCGGGCCGCTGTGGACAAAGTGTTTTTCATCCGGATCACACAAATTCTCAGGATCATGGTACCAAGACTTTTCTGCAAAGAGGTGAGTGGCGCAAAAGTAGTTGTTTCTATTAGTAGCGAGTCACCAGTGTTTAATGATGGTGGGTGACGGCTTGTGTCAAAAAGCCTGATCTGAGTGACACCTGTCTATTTCTGTATCTTGGCAAACAGCAAAGCGGTAACAAGCAACTTTGGAGCTAAGAAGAAAGATAGTATACCTACTAAGAAAATATCCTTTTTAAAGTAATGAATTTATTTATTTTTATTTCTTCTTATGTAGGTTGACTTGTGAACCAGTGTTGACCTTGAATTGTGATGGCTGTGATGGTAATTGGGGCACAGGTCATGAAGCTTTAATTACATCACTTTTATACCGGCACTAGTTATTCCAACAGTGGATGACTGTAATGAAGTTTCACTGAAAAATGCAGTCTTTGCCCTTTAAAGGTTTAGTTACTTTTTGTGTTTTCAGTTGTTTAATAACTTTAGAGGTGAGATTAAATTTGGGGCAACTAAAGAAGAGAGTGACCGCCACTCACGTCTTAATAATCCTATACATTCATTTATACATATCTACTTAAGCAAAGACAGAGATCTGCTGAACTGAACAGGTACATGACACTCAGCGAACATGTTTGTTATTCAGACTCGCAGTAGTGTTTTGACTCCAAAGCGCTCTCATGTTAAACTCAGGCTGAGCTAACTTAGCTAACCTGGCTGTCTCTTAGTTGACACCAAATTTGACAGAATGTCAAGATGGTCAGTGATGGCTTGTGTCAGCAAGCTTGATCTTTTCAGAGTGACACCTGTCTATTTCAGGGTCTTGACAGACAGCAAATCAGTAACAAGCAACTTTGGAGCTAAAAAGGAAGATAGTAATTGGTATACCTACTAAATTATTATCCTTAAACTTTTTAAAGTAATTAATTAATTTATTTTTCTTTTTTCTTGTGTAGCATGACTTGTAAACCTTAAATTGCTGTGATGGTAATTGGGGCACAGGTCATGGAGCATTTTCAACATCACTTTTATACCAGCACTAGTATTGCCAACAGTGGATGACTTAAATGAAGATGCACTGTAAAATGCAGTCTTTGCCCTTTAAAGGTTTATTGACTTTTTGTGTTTCCGGTTATTTAATAATTGAGAGGTTGAATTATGTCAACATCAAATTTGGGGCAACTGAGGAAGAGTGTGACCCCCACTTACATCTTATAATCCTATACATTTTGGCAACATTGTTTTGTACTTAAATCCTGAACAAACCCCCAATATTTTATGTTTTTAAATATTTCTGTCACAGCAACATTTTTATCCCTGTTTTTACATTTTTTCACCTTTGTTCTTTTTTAAATTCATTTATTTAGTTATTTACTTGTCTGTTTATTTTTAACTGTCATAAGTGTTTGTAATTCTACATTACAGTGTTATTTAAAAAAAGATCTCATGAGAGTTTAGTTTGTGGGTCTCCTGGCTCACAGGCCCCTGAAGGACCAATTCAGTTGTATTATGTTAGAATTGGAGCTCAATATGCAGTAGATCAACAGGACTAGGGACAGGCCCTGTACTTTAGAGGAAGGTTCTTTATCCAGTCCTTGGGGCTCAGTCGATCCAGTCGTTCCATGTTTTTGCTCTAACTTAGCTCTGAACACCCAACAGGCAACTGTGACCGATGTCAAGTAACAGAATTTTTAGTCATGTTTTTTTTTCACTGCAACAGGTATATGAAGGAAAGAGAACATGACTTCATTACTTCCATTACTTTTTGCTGCATTAGCCTTATACCTCTAGTGTAAAATTAATGTAAACTGTAAACTTCAGACACCAAACATGTCTTGACCGATTGACTGAATTTGGGCTAAGAAGAAAATTGTGTAAACTTGAGTTTTTACCTATTTACTCCTTTAGAAATAGAGAATATCTGGAACAGGTGCACTGAGAATTAGAGCACAAATGCAGAGCGACTGGTGAGCCCAGAGGAATGAGTTGAAAAACACTGCTGTAGAGGAGTGTTTCTTAAGCACTTCATGAGCTAGGTCAGTGGCTCTTAGCTCCTGTCCTGGAGACCCACTGCCCTACACAGTTTACTGCCCCATCACACCTGATCTCGCTCATCAGGAATTATAAAGCCCTTCATGAGTTCAATCATGACTGGAGTTAAGAGCCACTGATCTAGGTCATGAAGTGTTTGAGAAACACTACTCTACGGGTATATAGATTAGGTGTGTTAATATAGATTAGGTGTGTTGTCTTGAATCAACTCATCAGCTAATCAACCCATCTAATTTCTGCAGTGTGACCGCCAAATACGCTAAATGTGGCCCGACAAGAACCCTGTTTGACACTCCTGTGACGGTGCAGGACAGTGTTGAAAACCCCTGCTTTGTAGAGCAATTTTTGATAGCTGACAGACATATCTGCTGCTTGAGATGGTCTGACTGATACTGAAGTATTGCTAGGTCCAATCCTGACATTTCATTTACAGAATCAATCCATATATGAAAAAAAAAAAAAACAGCACAGACTAGCATACATTCCATGCTGGTCGGAGCTGGTTTATGCTGGTTTAGATGGTCACTCAGTATGGTCATGCGGGTTAACTAGCATACCAACATCCAAAACACAACTTATGTTGGATTTGGAAGTGAACAACATAGCAACTTCCATTGCTGCTGACCAGGGGGGTATTCCACAAAGCTGGATTTCTCACTAGTTTAAGCCCAAAGATGAGGATTGTCTAATAAGAATGTTCCTCGGCTCTTTTCCTATTGGACAGGCTTGACCTTTGGGCTCAAATTATCTGGCTAAACTGAGAAATCTTGCCTAGTGAAACACCCCCCAGCATACCAGCATCCAAAACACCACATATGGTGGTATCGGCGTAGATGAAGACGGGAGAGAGACCATTACTTTCAGCACGAGATATATTCTTTCATTCACAAAGCCCAAAAGATACACTCAAACACAGCCGGGGAGCAGGCAGGTCTCTTCTGGGCATACTTTGGCCCAAACCATTTCTTCATTTTGGTTTTGAGTGTCACCCTAACCCCTTGGAACTGAGTTACAAGGGGTGTTGGTTGAAATCTTGGCCTACAAAATGGGACAACCCTCAAACGAAAAAAAACAACATTGCTTCATTAACAGTCTACTAGCGGTGCTCTGTAGGCGAACAATTGTCTCCTTCACGCGGGGAGGAGCGCGCGGCGCAGGTTTGCCTATCACGCCCCTTCTAAAACGCGGAGCGCATGGCGGTCGCCACAGTTTTGGTGGTGACCGTCCCTGCTGGTCTACGCTTGCTTTTCTAGCAGGGAAGTATTGTTGCTGTAGCGCTCCAACCCCACCGCTGCGGGGCCACCGTGAGCTGCTCTCTCTCGCTCTCTGTCTCTCACTGTCACTCTCACTCTCACTCTCTCTCTCTCTGTCTCTCTCTCTGTCTCTCTCTCTGCACACACAAACACGCCGCTGTTTGCAGCCGGCGCGCCGACTCGCAGGAGGAAACATGGCGGTCGTCAGTAAATACTTGACAGCAAAGAACTCCTCAATAGCCGGCGGTATCCTGATCGCTTTATATCTGCTTAAGCAAAGGCGGAGGTCTGCTAGACTGAACAGGTACGTGACCCTCAGCGAACTTGTCATTCAGAATCGCAGTAGCGTTTCGACTCCACGTTTTAAGCGCTCTCATGTTAAACTCAGGCTGAGCTAACTTAGCTAACCTAGCTGTCTCTTAGTTGACCCTGAATTTGGAAGCATGCCAAGACGCTTAACAGTGAACTTGTAAGGAAGAGAAAGAAAAAAGCATCAGTACGTCAACGTAAAACACTCGCGGCTAAAGTCAAATAAGTGTTGTTTAAGTGTGCTAATGTGTCGCGACCGTAAGGCTTTGTGGTTATTCTGGGTGTCACACAATAGACTTTGTTCACAGTGAAGGTAACGTTAGCTGCAGGCCCACCACTGTAGCACTATAGCCACAGTTTTAAATTACTGTACCGCCACGCTGGGCTGCTTATCACAACTGTTTGGTACAAAAATGTTACTGCTAGTTGTTCGACTGAACGTAACTTTTACCACAAGAGCAGCTAACTACTTGTCAAAAAGAAATTGGTGCCAAAACAAACGTCTTGACATTTTCCTGTGTTTGTTCAACAGTAGAAAGGACTCATCAGAAGCACTCTTGAATAATGAAGTAAGTGAAATGAACGCACAATGGAAACAAAACACAGTTCATGATATTTGAATAACTAATTTCATTTAGGCTTGTTGACACTGATGGGAGAAAGTGATCTAATTCATTGGGAACTGCCTAGGAGTAATCCCTTTTGTTGTTTGTTGTCTTCATCACTTCAGCAGAAAGACGTTAAGAAGGACCGGGCCGCTGTGGACAAAGTGTTTTTCATCCGGATCGCTCGAATTCTCAGGATCATGGTACCAAGACTTTTCTGCAAAGAGGTGTGTGGCGCAAAAAGATACGGTATTTTAAGAGTTCTTTCTATTAGTAGCAGTCACCAGTGTTTAATGATGGTAAGTGATGGTTTGTGTCAACAAGCTTGATCTTTTCAGAGTGACACCTGTCTATTTCAGTGTCTTGGCAAACAGCAAAGCAGTAAGAAGCAACTTTGGAGCTAAAAAGAAAGATAGTAATTGGTATACCTACTAAGAAAGTATCCTTCAACTTCAAATTAATTAATACATTTATTTATTTTTATCTCTTCTTATGGAGCTTGACTTGTGAAACAGTGTTGACCTTGAATTGCTGTGATGGTAATTGGGGCACAGGTCATGAAGCATTAATGACATCACTTTTATGCCGGCGCTTGTATTGCCAACAGTGGATGACTTAAATGAAGCTTCACCGCAAAATGCAGTCTTTGCCCTTTAAAGGTTTATTGACTTTTTGTGTTTCCCGAATGCATTTGAGGAAATTTGGACAGCTGTCTCACATCTCATGCCATACCAGTCTCTCATTATACTGTGACTGCAGAACCTTTTGGCAAAACTTATGTGCTGTGAATACTTAATGCATATTTGTTATGATTATGAAGAAATGATGAGAAATTATGAAGAAGAGCTAATTTTTTTCTGACGTTGTTTAAAACTTTGGCCTCAGACTGTATCACTGAGGCTGCTCTCTCCTACCTTGATTACACTGTAGATTTGAAATTAACCAGCTGTGTTTTGTGTCTCATAGACATGGTACCTAATCTTGATTGCGGTGACGCTAGTGGCTCGGACGTATTGTGACGTTTGGATGATCCAGAATGGCACCATGATTGAAAGGTTGGATCCTGAAGCTTAACTGAAGTGTATTCAGCACTACAGTTCTTCATATTCACACACCAAATTTGAATACCTGAAAGAGTCCTAATCATATGTTTTTTTTTAATCTTTCACAGTGGTATCATTAGCAGAGATATCAGACTATTCAAAATGCACTTTTTTTCCTACATTACGGTCATACCTGGGGTAAAGTTTGATTGTGTGACCTCCATTTGCTGTGAAAAGATTTCAGACTAATAAGTGTGTGAACTTGTGCTTTTGACATAACATAGTCTTAGAAATGTTTGTTTGCTGGTTTGACTAAGTCACCGATCAAAACGTTGCTTACACATTGCTTAATTTATATGGACTAATACTTTACTACTTAGCCATACTGATTTACCCACATTAAAATACAGATCTCCTCTGATATATTTTGTGGTATTATTCTCAGACAAGTCATGTCCTTGCATGTCTGGATGTGTTATTTTTGTTTATTATGCTGACAAGAGGATTGCAGCACTTTTTTCTCTTCGGGTTTCACCATAGCAGATGTTCACCTTGTTCCTCTGTATGTCTTGCTGACCTTGCTTGCTCTTATTTTTGTGCATGTTGTGGTTTACAGTGCAATTATTGGTCGCTCCACAAAAGATTTCAAGAAGTATTTGTTCAGCTTTATGAGACTCATGCCATTTGTAAGTGTCTACTTTAAAAACTTTTTTTAGATATTATATTGTAGATTGATCTGTATGTTAGTTGTAACTGTAGTGTATGTTTTCTTTTTCAATGTTGATTGGATGTGGAAAGTCAGAGGAGGCCTGATGTCTTACTTACGCATTGTAACCTCTCATTAATAATTTAACATTAATAGTACTGTGTCCTCAGCAAAAATAAGCTATCACTAGTCTTTGTGTGTGCATTTCCTACATCAAGTGTCTGCTTTCCTTAGTGTGTACTTAGACTAAAATGTGTTTTGTTTGTTTTTCATCTCTCTGATGCCATAGATAATGTCATGTAGCTAGGTAACACCTTAGCATTAAGCCACATGGCACGTGCATAAGCCTTTCATGACAACTGATAAACCTAAATAAACATTTATAAAGGCTTGTTCCAATAAGCATCAGTTTTCATAAAGACTGCTTTTGTCAAGTTTAATGACATTTCACCTCAGGAGGTATTATGACAACTGAGGCTTGTTTGAATAAGTCTATAAACGTCTGTAGGTTTATGTCAGCTGTCATGAAAGGTTTATGTAGGAGCCGTCTAGGCTTCATTAGGCTGTTACCTGTAGCTGTCTCAAGGTGGAATTTGAATGCTGTAGATCCCTTTTGCATTTGCATAAACACACTTGTTGCTCCCCTCAGATTGCCCTGGTGAACAACTTTCTGAAGCTTGGCTTGAATGAATTGAAGCTCTGCTTCCGTGAAAGACTCACCAAACATCTCTATGAGGAGTACCTGAAGTAAGAACAATTATAAGCTTTACTACGTTAACCTCATACATCATGTGATGTATTTCTCCCAGGTTGCAGTGTCATGTTTCTAATCTCTTGCTCTTAACGTTTTTAGGGGATATACTTACTATAAAATGGGGAACCTGGATAACCGAATTGCCAATGCTGATCAGCTGCTCACCCAGGATGTGGAAAAATTCTGCAACAGTGTGGTGGACCTGTATTCCAATCTCAGCAAGGTACAACATATTTGTTATGCTTTTTGCTCATTTAGACAGGGTGTAGCATTCATGTTGGTGGCATATCATTGCTTCAGTGAAAGAATTCGGTGTTTTATTTTCTCTTCTCTCTTCTATTTTCTCATTTTACCTTCTTCCAGCCTCTTCTTGATATTGGCCTGTACATCTTCAAGCTGACAACTGCTATTGGAGCACAGGTAAGAATAATAAATTTCTGTGCTGTTCTGGAAAACATCTGTTAATACATTTCTGGTGGTGACCATGTATGATGTCAACCCTGTGAATAGGGACCTGCTTCTATGATGGCTTACCTGCTGATCTCAGGCCTATTCTTGACGAGATTGAGGAGACCCATTGGGAAATGACTGTGATTGAGCAGAAGTATGAGGGAGAGTACCGATATGTCAACTCTCGGCTGATCACAAACAGGTGAAGTGCAGTTTCTGTGTAATGAACAGTATAAGAATAGATTAGGATACAGTGATGTATTGCATTTATTGGCCATTCAATCAGGAACACCTTCGCTATGGGTGCACTTTGTAGGTGTGCAATTACTGGCTGCAGCCTATCAGTTGAAAGTGACCACTGCTCAGATAAGGTGTGGGTAGACTATTCTCAGCACAGTAACAGCACTAACATGCAAGTGGCCCAGGTGTGTATTATGTTGAGAATGTTTCACCACCCATGTAAAATGTGGTCAGCTGTAATCCAGTGATGGATAGGTGGCTGTCCAGGCAGTAAATGAAACCTAAAAGTACACTTAACATGGCCAGTGAGTGTAGGTGTAACCTAGATGTACCTAACAAACTGACAACACAGTGTAGAATGTATCAGTACGCAGGCAAGGCTGTTGCTTGTTAACGTTATATTTCCTTAACCGCTCCTGTCCCTTAGTGAGGAGATTGCCTTCTACAATGGAAATATGAGGGAGAAACAGACCATCTATGCTACCTTCAAGAAGCTGGTGAGAACTGCCCAACATGTGCTTTTGTGACAGGTTGAGCTGTTTAGAAATGTTACATCAGACAGAGTTTAAATGTTGGACTTCTACACTTGTCGGCTGCACATTTGTAATAGCTTTAATGTACTTTGCCCTCAGGTTGACCACTTGCATAATTTCATCTTTTTCCGGTTCTCCATGGGCATGGTGGACGACATCATTGCTAAGTGTAAGTTAAAGCTTTTTATGAACAGACAGGCAGTAAAGATTAAGCTCATAAAGTCTTCAATAAATATAACAGAGTAAGAAAATTTTATTGATGATCTGATCTCTTTTTTTTTTCTTTTTTCTTTTCCCCTCTCATGTGCAGACTTGGCCACAGTAGTTGGATATCTGGTCGTGAGTCGACCGTTTCTGAACCTGGCCCACCCACGGCACCTCAACAGCACACATTCTGAACTGCTGGAAGTAAGCTCTCTCAGCTAAATAGAGCTACCGTTACACTATTCCCATGTGGCACGTAAATGGCATAAATTTTAGATACGGCTACAAAAAAGCATGAACATGACAAAACTCCTTGCAGAGAATAAAAGAGATTTTATCAAACGACCTGCATGCATGTTTTAGAGTATTAATAAAGCCCCCAGTTTAACACATTTTCTCTTCCTGTAGGATTACTATCAGAGTGGTCGCATGCTGCTGCGCATGTCCCAGGCTCTGGGCAGGATTGTGCTTGCTGGACGAGAAATGACAAGGCTCTCAGGGTAAAGTTTGGGTTTTATTTTGTTTATACAGGGGAGTGACAATCTCATTTTAGGTAACAGACCACAAACTAAGTGGGCTGGATGAAAAATGGAGTTTAGTAGACTAATAATGTGTCAACAACTCCTAATAAACGTGTTTATCATCATTTATCAGAAAATAACATTCAGAATCAACAAACTGGTTTGACCAAGTACTTCCTACAAAACAGATGCTGAGGATATGTCATCTTTTACACAAGGTCTTTTTGCAAACCTGAAAAATGCAAAGGGCTGCACTCATACAAGTGCGTTAATATTTATCTTCTTTTAATTGAAAATGTGGGCACTGCACAGTTCCTTTTAACCTAACCAATGTGTTAAGCTGTAAGCAATGGCAGCACCTAGGATAAGAAACGTTAATTTGGCTAAACAGATCTTTGTTCTGTTGTGAACACTGAGCTGTGAGTGTGGTCTTCCACAAAGATCAAACCAAAACTTAAATTAAAACCACACCACACTTCAGATGACCCAGATAGCAATGAATTACAGTGAGTTACATAGTTCTTAGTAACACCTCTTCACATCTTACATCACCTCGTAATTGTAACTAATTTACCACCATCACCATTCTAACTCCAGGTTTGTTCTGAGAGTTTTCCCAGAGTTTTTCATTCAGTTTTTGGAAGAAGTAGTGCTATGTGCACTAAGCACATAACATTCCCTTCCATTCTGGCAGTGACCGTCTGTTCACTACCAACACCTCAGATCCGATTCAACAATAAATCTGTAGCCAGCTGTATACTTAGATCAACCAGGAATGATAATGTGGGTATCAATTAATGGAAGCTAGTACCCTCCTGTTTGCATTCTGTCATTTGCATTTCTGTAAGCAGAGGACTGCTCAACAGTGATTTAGAATCAGCATCTTCTAGATAGAGACCATGGCAAAAAAGTACCTGTCATACTGAAGTTGGTGGTAACTGATTAATAGGAAGTATTTTCTGTTTTCTATTGGCTATTTTACTATGGTTTCTCCCTTCCAGGTTTACCGCCCGCATCACTGAGCTTATGAAAGTCCTAAAAGAGTTGAACTCTGGGAAATATGAGCGCACCATGGTCTCTCAGTCAGAGAAAGGTGAGCTTTAATCAGTCTCGGGGGGCAAAGTGGTGGACAACCCATGGGTCTTATTAATCATACTTTTTTTTTATTTCCAGAAACAGATGCCTTAGATAAACTAGTCTTGGTGCCTGGAAGTGGGCGAATCATCAACATGGACAACATCATCAAGTATGTCTGAAGCCTCCATCAAATACTTCACTTTCAGATTTCTCTCAATTCTAGTAGGTATTTTATCATCTGTAATGTACTGTTTTTCTCCAGATTTGAACACACCCCATTGGCAACACCCAATGGAGACATTTTGATTAGAGACCTCAGTTTTGAGGTAGGCTTTGCATTTCTGGTCTTTTATGCATATATTTTTTGTGGTTGTGCACACACAGGTTAAAGATCTCAGATTGAATTCTTACTAAGGTCTAATACGTTTATATCTTCAAAGGTGAAATCTGGCACTAATGTTTTGGTGTGTGGGCCCAACGGCTGTGGAAAGAGCTCACTCTTCAGAGTCCTTGGAGAGGTAAGCACTTGAATTTACAATGCTTTCCTGGAATTATGAACCTTGAAAATGTTCAGTATGTTGTTTTAATGTGCCTATAAAATGTAATTTTAGTGTAGAATCTAGTCCATTATAGCCCAGTCTGAGAGAAATATCTGAAAATCAGTGTTATACACAGCATGTTAATGTGCATTTGTAAAGTAGTGTGGTTTTGTTTTCTTTAGCTCTGGCCCCTTTTTGGTGGAAGTTTGACAAAACCTGAGAGAGGGAAGCTCTTCTACGTCCCTCAGGTAGGACTGATGGGAAATAATTAACAGCAGCACCTATTCTATATAGAATTTCTTAGTAGCTCTATTTCTTTGTGCTAATACATTTATATATTCAGAGACCGTACATGACGCTGGGGTCACTGAGGGATCAGGTGATCTATCCTGACACCTATGAGGACCAGAAGAAGAAAGGCATTTCAGATCAGGTGCTTGGGTACAATTAACCAGTTAGGACATTTGGCTGCCTCGTCTCAGTGAAACTATTTTCTACTTTTATCTAACTAATATGGTATCTTTGTAACAGGTGCTGAAAGGATACCTGGACAATGTTCAATTGGGGCACATTCTGGATAGAGAGGGTTCTTGGGATGCTGTTCAGGACTGGATGGATGTTCTTAGTGGTGGAGAGAAGCAGAGAATGGCTGTAAGGATATAAGGAATAGACCCAAATATTTGACTAAGCACATGTGATGTAACTACTGATCTACCAACTAACTAATGAAATATTAGCCTGTAAAAATGCAATGCAAATTTGATTTTGCATTGTCTGACCCTAAATAGAGAAAAAAATAGTTGAGCTCATGGCATTACAGTTTTGCGAAGTTATATTTTCTGTCACAAAAGAGTCCGGTAGTAGGGGTGGGTGATATGGCAAAAAATATGGAGTTTGCGTGTTCTCCCTGTGTCTGTATGGGTTTCCTTCAGACGCTCCGGTTTCTTCCCACTGTCCAAAGACACACAGTCAGGCCATTTGGACACGCTGAATTGCCCCTGGGTGTGAGTGTGTAAATGTGTATGTCTGTATGTTTGCCCTGCGATGGACTGGTGACCTGTCCAGGGTGTTGTCTGCCTTCTGCTGGGATAGGCTCCAGCACCCCCCACATCCCCGAAGGATAAGCGGCGTAGATAATGTTTGTGTGTGTGTGTGTGTGTGTGTGTTTGTGTAATTCAAGACATTTTCACGATACACAATATGCATCACGATATTTTAGTTTTTCTGAGATTTAATAAGTTGGAGCAGATGAAATAGAAGCTGTTGTGCCACATATAAAAATACATTAAAATAATTAACAACTACAAAGATTTTTTTCCATTGTTTTACAAATTGCACTGCACTAAATCTAGTTAAGCAGATATGATTATGCTCACTTTGTAATGAAGCATGTAGTTAGTAAGTGTTCTTTAAGTTCTGACGATATCCACAGTATGCCCAGAAACCGTACTGTCATAGTTTATCACGATAACGATAAAATATTATCACATTGCCCACTATCTGGAAGAATTCATTACTCTGTGTGAACATGAACCACCTACTTTAAAAATGACCACCCACAAACCATTATTTTGGTATGATGTGTAGAGGCAAGCAGTTGTTAAAATGTTTCTGCAACAAAAAGAGACCTGTGCAAAACAAAGTGGCATACCCATTGGCAAAAACACTGGGATATCTTGTTTACTTGTCAAGTGCTTCAGACAACATTACATTCAAAGACAGATGCCTTGAACTTCACTAATGTTTTAATCTTGCTCCAAAAGATCATTGTTGTCATGGTGACAGCCACCTAATTTGGCAAATAACAAAAACAGTGTTTCTGTCCTATCTTAAATATTTTTCATTGTTTTTGTACTGAACTGCAGAATTACGAAAGCGAACATATTTCACTCAATACACAGCACAGCTCTCAGATCCAAACTCACCTGAATAGATGCCCTTAATATCCTCAAGCAATACTTATTGATATTGAGCATAAGTGTATTTAAGTGGTGTTTTCCTTGTTTGCGATAGATGGCTCGGTTGTTCTACCACAAACCTCAGTTTGCCATCCTGGATGAGTGCACCAGCGCTGTGAGTGTGGATGTGGAGGACTACATCTACAGCCACTGCAGGAAGGTAACAAGGGCTCATTGCCTCTATTATCTCCTCACAATCACAAGCCTCTAATGTATTGACTCGTTCAGCTTTCTATGAGGTGCTGACTTATTCTCTCTGATCTTGGCAGGTGGGCATCGCTCTGTTTACAGTCTCCCACAGAAAGTCCCTCTGGAAACACCATGAGGTGAGACTCACGTTCCTGTTAGCATCATTAGAGTGGGGGGGCTTCATCATTTCTTCTGCAAAGGTATCAGTGCTAGCCAGTACTAGTCTATTTCTAACCTTTGTTTGTTTTTGTTCACTATAGTACTACCTCCACATGGATGGAAGAGGAAACTATGAGTTCAAACCCATCACTGCTGAAACGGTGGAGTTTGGCTCGTAGAAGAGCAGACAACCACAAAACTTGTGTGCACACTTCCACCTGGCAGGAGTTGTAATATTGCACTTCAAGAGTTTGTAGCCAGCTGAATATAGAATTGTTTTTAATCACTTGTAACCTTTCCGTTAGTTTTTCATGAAGCTATGTTTAAAAACCTGTCAACACTACAGGTTTTTGTCTTCCATGATTGTATAATTGTATAATTTGTAATTTAAAGTGCGGTCCAATTTACTGGACAGCCACTAATAAGAATAGTGAATGGGCTAATCCCAATGAATAGTGTTCACGTCCTGTAAGTGAACTAAATCATGTTTTAGATGAAATCGTGTATGAGGAATTAGTCCTTATGATTCTGTAAATGAAATCAGTGCCAGTGGACTGAACTCTTGAACTTTGGGGATGTTTAATGCTAACTAACAATGCCTTTTTGACCCCAGGTACACTATTCATTATGATAATGTCAAGCTACTAAGTGGCCTTAGTAATTACTGTAGTGTTCAGTGGTGGGTCGATTGTATGGCCCTGTCGAGTGGTTTGATGGAGTTGTTGCAGGAGCATGTTTACCTTTTGATGGTAAAACAGGGTGGGGTACTGAAGGTGGGAGTCCAGCACAGTTTGCTGATTTCCCTACTCTAACACACCAACTAAACTTGGCAATTGATGAGAACCAGGTGTGTTTGAATGGAAAATTACGTAAGTGTGCAGGGTTCCGGCCCTCCAGGACTGGTGTTTCTTAACTCTGATGGATGGAGCGGATTGCACTGATTTGCAAGCCAGAAAGCCTTGTTTAACAAACTGTGTCTGTAATTATCTAATGGTTGTCAATATGCACCTTTTTTTCTTTTGTTCCGAGCAAAATGTAACATTTCTCTGCGCTATTGTGTAACGAGTTAGAAAGCGACTCTGTAGACCTATCGGGTTTTGTACACAGATAACTGTGGTAACCTAGTAACACAGCACTAAAAGAGGAAAAGAGTCCATGGACCTGAACTCACCTTTGCCTTTTCATTAAAAGAAAATATCAGTTCAAATGATTCTGGATATGTGATTTTTTTTTTTTCCCCCAGAAGGATGCACACAGGTCACTGAGAAAGGCAGCATACCCTGTGATTGTCAGTCCAAATGATAATGTCCTCTTGTTAGATGTGGGTGAGAGGTCATTCAGATCAAACCTTCCTTTGCTCTTTCACCTTTCCTAGGAAATAGCAACTTTATTTACCAATTAACTGATCATTTTAAACCATAAGATATAACTTCAGAGTTTTACCTTCTTTACTTCTTCTTTACTTACTCATTTGATCTGAAGCTGTTCTGCAGCAACTGTCTGGTTAAAGAAGTGGTATTTAGGGGCAGCAGCATATCTTTTTGCACAATATTGCCTCACTGAAGATACCGGCACTTTGTCAAGGCTCCGCCCTGGCCTGTTCTGACTAGGTTAAAGGCTGTAGGCTTACACTACAGTCATTCTTCTACTCATTGACGTTTCTGTGCTGGTGTGATCATGGGCTGCTATTCCAGTTTTGTCAATCATTAATGAGGGAACCAGTGAAGAGCCTCAACTGTGTCTTTCAGTAAGAGCTTTGCTTACTTTAATTGTAGAGGATGGTATAAGACTGCCATGTTATACCATTGTCTTCATAATCATTTATTAATAATAATAATAATGTGAATTAGTATTAAGCAAAAGTTATACTGCAAATCAGGGTTTGGCTTATTGTGTGAAGACAGAAGAAAACGTTCTGACACCAGTCATGTGGCTTGCATGACTTTTTTGTTGTTCTTTTTTTTTTCGTTCTAGACCAATACAGGAAGCCTTTCTTAAACCTCAAACAACTTCCTCTTCTGAGTAGAAATGAAAGCACTCGTATCATGACACTTGACTTCCACAGCACCATTTCATTTTCATGTTATTCAACGTAGATCTTCCATCTGGAGGCACATCATGGCCTGGTACCTGGCTCCACTGCTATTAGTCGTCCTTCAGATGCTCTACGCACCATGTCAAGCTCAGGAACAAAGTACATACTTCTTCTTTTTTAACTACTAATTCAGGTGTAGTGACATCTGTGTATACTGTTGATTTTCACTTCTGCAAATGCAATGTTAATAACCCTGTGATTTTATGTAATCTGGTTTAGGCTTTGAACTGATTCTATCTTAAATGATTTGTAGTGTGTGATTGTACAGTTTCATATGTACACTATAGGTCAGTTTCCTAGACAGAGATAGACTAAGCCTAGACCTGAACTACACAACATTTTGAATGGAGATTTTTCATTAAAAAGCAAGGGTAGTCCAGGTCTAGACTTAATCCCTGTCTGGGAAACCAACTCAAAATGTCCAAAAGTTCGTAGTCACCAGCTCATCCAACATTTCATTTGAAATTTAGAGTATTAGTAGGGAGTTCTTCCCCATTTGCTGTAAAAACAGCTCTTCTGACAAGGCTTTACACTAGATGTTGGAACATTGCTGAGAAGTTTTAATTGCATTCATCCGCAAGAGCGTTAGTGAGATCCGGTCCTGGTGTTGGACGATTAGTATGAAAAATACCACTCCAACTCATCCTAAAGGCACTGGTTGATGCATGGCGAGCTTTAACCCTCTTCCTGATGCTTGACATTGAGCATGGTGACCTTAGACTCGTGCACTCAAGTGAACTTGTGTCAGCAATGGGTGCACCTGAACCCCTTAACATTCCAGGTTTAGTTCATACAAAGGCTTATTATTCAGTAACTACAGGGACCTCGATGCAAACTAATGGATTTATTCTTAGATTATAGAATGTGTAATAAAACTGCCTTATTAAAGGGGTTAAAGGGGTTAAATTCACTGATAAAAAGGGTGTCTGGATACTTTTGAACATACAGTGTAGTTGTACTTAAATCTTTACGTAGCAGTTCCTCCTATGTTATTATTTTCCTCTAGGCTCCCTGCGCTTTGTTGGCATTGGAGACTGGGGTGGCCTTCCTTCAACACCCTTCTACACACCACAGGAGATGAAAATAGCTAATGAACTGGGAAGAGTGGCTGAAAGCTTGGGCTTAGATTTTGTTCTCAGCTTGGGAGATCATTTCTACTTCAGTGGAGTCAAGGACGTAGATGATATCCGCTTCAAGGTCTCCCTTTTTTAGTTCCTAATGACTGGAAATATGATCAAGAGTTATACACCTCAGTGATTTAGATCAGATGTGCTCATCAAATCCTAATTACCTTGAATACCTGAAGTTTTATACACTAATGAGTGCTTTGAAGTGTTCAGAAGTTGGAAAACATTGCCAAAAGGACATATTGTAACAGGTCTTCTAAGAATGTTGTTTATCAAGAATGCGGGTGTAATCAGGAGTTGGACAGAACTCAAAAGGCAGTTAATACTGAAGGCCCTCCCTTAGTAAACACACCATAGACTCAAGCTATGTCACATGTTCCTAGCACACAAAGTATGACAAATATGCCCTCTAGTGGATGTTGTGCCACATGACATTAAGCATCATCCTGCTGTAGATATACTTGCCTCACTGTACAAAGCACTCTTTCAGCATTTGCTCAGGCTGATAGTGAAACATACTGAGTCCTGGTTTAATCCCTCCTTTCAGACTACGTTCGAGCATGTCTTCTCCCATCCAGCTCTGATTTCTGTGCCATGGTATTTGGTGGCAGGAAATCATGACCACTTGAGAAATGTGTCTGCTCAGATTGCCTACTCAACCAGATCAGAGAGGTGGTGAGTTTGCACAAAGTATTAAAGTTCATATGCAGAAGGTGACACAATGTGCAGGTATCTAACAATAACACAACGACTAAACGTGTGTTCTCATGCCGATTGTTGCCTTCGAAGCATCGTCAGCATTATTACATTGATTCAAAAGCATAAATAAATCTCCAAATGATATATAAAAGTTGTTTTTGTCCAGAATGTCCTGAACTTTGGTTTCAGTGTCAGACAAGAATTTTCATTTCGGTGCATTGCTAACATTAACAGAGGAAGTGCATGAAGAAAACTGCCAACAGTGGACCTTTAGTGTGAAACTGTCCATTGTGCATGGAAAAAGATGACTAAAGTCTTTAGCTGTAAACCTACAATGTGTACCAACAGTGTAGCTGTGTGTAATAAAGTGCATATGTGAAGTATTGTAATAATGTAATAGTGTAATAGGGGAATGTGTTGCTGATCCATAGGCGTTACCCTGAGCTCTACTATAAGCTGCAGTTTAATATTCCTCATACCAACGTCTCCATGACGGTCCTGATGATTGACACGGTGGTTCTGTGTGGGAACACTTATGATGGAGTCCACCCACAAGCCCCAGAGGACTCCACCGCTGCTGACCAACAGTTTGAGTGGATTGAGAAGACACTCCAAAACACCAAGTAAGGTTTGATAGTTGAGCATCAAACCACTCACACAGTTCAACAAGCACAAACTAAACCAACTCAAGGAAACAAGACTGAGTCAGATCAAGGACCCGTAGGTAAACCACAAGCAGGTATTAAATGTGATGACTTTGCTGAAAGATGTTTTTTCTCAGAAGAGGGATGAATCCTTTAATAGGAATGTGAGGATTTTGGAACATGTTTTTAGAAGCCCTGACCTGCCACACTCCCCTCCATGCCCACGTATACCCATGCATTCCTGAGGACAATGTGTGACCAGAAAAACACACCCTGTGTCTGTTACAGCACAACCCTTACCCTTACAGTGTACCACACTGTAGCATTACTCAGCTTAACCATTCATTCAAAACACTTTCTGTAAAATCAGTGTCATTTTCCACTAAAAAGACAAGACCTACCATGATTAATCAATGAATAATCCTGGAAATACAGCATTAAAGGGCCCAAATATGGAAACTTTCCAAAAAAGCAGCCCAAGTAGAAGTACAAAAGTATCTTGTCAAAAAAAAACAAAAAAAAACAAAAAACAACACTTTAGTAACCTACAGAACTGCAGTGGACCTATTTTTCCCTTTTTTACTTTTAGTCTAAAATAAAATGAAAAAATCTCACACATGAGAGGTGTATCCACTTACAAACCAGTACAGATGCTGTCCCCGACATAAATTTAAATACACAAAAAATAGTAACTAAATGTCAATGGCTAATAATGTAAAACAGGGATTCTTTTCCTCAGAAATAAACTTGAGTAGAAGTAAAAAGTAATGCTCAGCAAAGTACAAACCAAGCCATCAAAAGTTTTGCCTAAGTACATATAATTGAGTAAATGTAACTAGTTATTACCCAGCTCTGACTGTCATTCTCCTTCAGGTCAGAATTTGTGGTCGTGGCTGGACACTATCCTGTTTGGTCAATCGGTCACCATGGTCCTACTCGCTGCCTGGTGAAGAGGTTGAGGCCACTGCTGAAGAAGCACAATGTCACTTTATATCTGAATGGTCATGACCACAGTTTGCAGGTGAGCATCTGAGCAAAGAAAAGGAGAAAGACAGAGAGAGAGAAATGAAAGTGGGGGAAAAGCTAAATCTAATCAAATACATGATGAATAAGCAGATTAATTAAATTAACTAATGGTAAAAAAAAAACAACAAAAAAACAAGTGTCCTCTAAAAATCTGTTGGGGTAATAGTACATAATAATATTAATAATAATAATAATAATAATAATAATAATAATATTAATAATAATAATAAGAAGAAGAAGAAGAAGAAGAAATACCTTATTCACTGTATTTGTACCTTCAGGCTTACTCAGATTTACCCAGTGACTGCTGTGTATTTCAAATCCTGTTTTCATTTCTTCTTCAATCAGTTTATTAAGGAGGAGGATGGGAGTCCGTATGTTATCAGCGGCAGTGGGAATTTCCTGGACACTTCCACTCACCATGCAAAGAGCTTCCCAGCATCTTGGCAATTGTTTTCCAGTGCTGTGAATCAAACGTTAGGAGGTTTTGTGTACTTTGAGGTGACAGAGAGCAAGATGTTCATTAGTTACATTCAGCTGGATGGGAAGTGTGTGTATCAGACAACTGTGCCTAAACGTAGCATATGACACAGTAAAGGAGGCAGATCATCAGTTATGAAGTGGCTCTGAATGAACAGAATGAGATTATAACCTTTTCCCAGATGAACTTCCTAACATCAATATTTTGAGCAATGTTGTTCTCCCTAACATTCCTCAGTCGATTTAGTACATTTCTGAAAAAAAGTTTACTGCTCTAAACTAATACTGCATTTCACACACATTTTATCACAAAACCTGAAGTTTTACCCACTTTTCAGTTCACTTTTCAGGATCTGTCTGTGTGTTATATTGTGATGAAAAACTTTGTTTTAATAATTGTATTTTCTTTATGATAATTGTACATATTAAACTGTGCACCATTCAGCAAAGCATCATATGTGGTTTTGTGTTTTCAGTTTGGAAAAATTCATCTGCATTCATGCAATCTTATGCAGTGTGTTCATTGACCCTTTACAACATATTGCTGCCATGTGGCAACAACTACTTTCTTTTATTTTTTGCCTGATGACAACATAAGAGTTATTTCTTTTCTTTTCCATTGGAAAGCTGAACGCTTTATGTGTAGAATGGTACATTTTTACTGATTTAATGTTTCCCTGCTGCAATCTGTATTTCTTTTGTCAAACATAGGTCACATGGTGAGGCTTGACTTCTGAACTCTCAAAAAGTGTGTACAATTCAGTGTTTATACATAACAGCTTAAACACAATCTGTGGGAAGTTACAATTTATTTTTCTTAAAAAATAGTTTAGATTTTATGGGCTTTGTATAAAACGATAAAATACAATTGTTGCCATTTGGCAACAGCATGTGACAGTGGAACTGCAAACAGCAACAAACACAACAGGAATGAATAAATACAGTGCTGTTAGACTCTGCCATTTACACAACTTTTTTACATACATAGTTAATGCTTTTATGAGTATAATTATTTTCATACTTTTCTGTATTCTTAAAACATTTATGCCTATCGACAAGACTTTTATTAATGTGTGTCAAGTCAAGTCAGCCTTTATTGTCATTTCAGCTATACACAAGTACACAGTGAAACGAAACAACATTCCTCCAGGATCGTGGTGCAACACAGGAACACAAGTGCGAAACAATACAATATGCACAGTGCAGACGATACAGTACAATAAATAAATACAAAAGACTTACAATAAATACAAAACAGAACACAGGCAGTACACGGTACTGAGAGTATGTGGAGTGGAGGATGTAACATACTATGACATATTAGCAGCTTAGCAGATAGCCTAGCATATATAAGCATAGCAGTCACTGAGGTAGCAACCAGAACAGCAGTAATGGTATACAGTATTTGGTTGATATAGTAATTCTAGCAGCTAACATTGTTAAAGTGAAGGAAAAATGTGCAATAAAATGCAAAGTCAGATATTGTTGTGGAAATAAAATGTGCAAAAATGCAAGTATTCAGATCTATAGTCATATCAAATGAAGTATTTCGGTGAAATGCAGTAATTATATTTAAATATAGTGTTCCAGACATAATTTGGAACTGCAAGAAGTGGGGAGTGAGTTAGTCCCATATTGTTATGTATATGTGTGTGCGTGGGTCCGTGTGGGTGTCCCTCAATCCAGTCTGTGGGAGTTGAGGAATCTGATGGCTTGTGGAAAGAAACTGTTGCCCAGTCTGGCTGTGAGGGCCCAAATGTTGCGGTACCTTCTTCCAGATGGCAAAGAGAGAACAGTTCATGTAAGGGGTGCGTGGGGTCAGTCACAGTGCTAGTGGCTTTTCGGATGCAGCGTTTGGTGCAAATGTCTGTGATGGAGGGAAGAGAGACCCCGATGATCTTTTCAGCTGTGTATGTCCTATGGCAGAGTATTGGTCTATTCCCCCCATTACCAAGTGTAATATAATATTTTCAGTATTTAGTGAGTCCACTCTTTGCCTTTATTACAGCTTCCTTTTTTGTTTTTCAAAGAAATCTGCAGGCAAATCTTTCCACACCTCCAAAGTTCAATCTTGGAAGTTCCTGTATTTCCTGCTTTTCACGATCCAAGTAACTCCAAACACATTCAGTGATGTTGAGGTCGAGACTCTGAGGTGGTCAGTCCACTGTTTTGAGAACACCAGCAGTTTTTTTGTTTGATGTGTAATGTTTCTTCTTTGTTTATATCCTTTTCTCAGTCACAGCTTCTTGACAGCTACACATCCTTTCACACCCATGAAAAATTAAAAACATAGTGTTGAGTTGTCTTCTCACAGTGGAAGGATGGACAGAAACACCTGTAGATTTTTTCACATCTGCAGCAAAAGTGGAGCTTGATTTTCTCTTCTCTCTCAAAAATGAAAGCTTTAAGTACTTTTTATCTGATTGGGACAGTTTGGTGGTTTACCAGGTCTTGTAAGATTTTAGTCATTTTATGAACAGTTTTCCTTTGACTTCCTCTTTCCTTATGCAAGTGTCTAACCTCATCAGAAATATCTTCTGAAAAATGAATAACTTGTACTTAATGGCTATTTTGACTGGAAATTAAATGGATGAAAATTGTGAATAAATAACGTAATAACAATATTCCATGTGGAACTTTAAAAAAATTTGGATAAAATAACAATAAAAGTTTGACTGCAGACATGTTTGATTTTGTACAGAATTTTGTTTTTTGTTTTGAGATAGTGATGAGACAGACTGAGACAGTACATCCATTAAGAAAATCTTCTCCATTGTTAAAACATTTTAAATTACCATGTTGTGTTATGTGACCTAAAGCTTTTTCATAGTGTTTATTTCAGTGTTTTCAGATGCTTCCACTGCAGACACATGGGGGCGATACTGAAACGCGTCTGATTCGGTTTCCAACTTTTGAAATCGTACAAAGCAACAAGCAAAAACAAAGCATCAAACATGCTGATTCAAGTGAATGTACAGAATTTATTTAAAGTTTCAAAAAAGTGATGATAACACAAGTTTTGTACCATTTTCCACAGATTACACATCTGTAAAGTAACAAATAACATTTTTTAATGTCTGAATCTTTCTTATTGTTAGCATGGTTATTTATCCTCTCCAGTTTTATAACACAATACATATAATAATAATAATAATAATAATAATAATAATTTAATATAATATAATTTTACTCTGTAGCTCTCAGGTCTTAAAAATGCTTTGTAAGTTGTACATCTATTACAGTGAACTGCAAAACCATAAATATGATTATTAAAACTAATATACAGATATTGCTTTCATAAAAGATACAAAAATAAATAAGTGCCCACACACAAAATATCTGTTATGTAAGTTATGTAAGTATATTCTGGTTTTCCCAACAGTAAAGCTCCCAAACTATTTAGTAGTCCCCAATGATCACTACCAATTAAAAACAGTAAACTCTAAGCTCCAGCAAGCTTATAAAGTACAGTAAATAATGACAGTAACTGAAAGTACCATTGACAAAAAGAGCTATGAACATATGCAGCATTAGATAATAAATCACAGATAACATCTACCTTGTTAAGTTTCATAGAAACAAAATGTAGAATTCCAGTGTTTCCCCCCGAAGTGTTGAAGTGAGGATGCTTTGAAATGTTGGGTCCAGTTCGCTTGTACCATGTATTCCCATGAGTGTGAGGTTCTGTTTTCAAGGGAGATGAAAACACACTCCTCACACGTACCTCAAAGGCAGTCGCTCCCTTTTCCGCGCACTTTGCTTTTGCTTTTTGCAGCACACCACTATAACTACAATCACCACTGCTATTATCACAACGATGCCTAGAATGGCTGAAACAATCACTGTCAAGCTGTACTCTAGATGAAAAGAGAATGGAGAAGATCAGTGATCTGCCCCTTTACATGGTATTAAACATCACATGCACACTAACATTCACACATTGATTGATGTGTCTTATAGAGACAAGAGGAATTTTGTTTAAACACTGGAATGAGTCCTCTGAGCCTCTACACCTCAGCTATTAGCTGCTGACCCTTCTCACTTCACCATACTGCATCAGCACACTGAAAAACCACCACCATCACTACGTCATCTGAAGCTCTCTGAGAAATGTATTAATTCACTATCTTACAAAACAAAAATGCTGATCCAGGTGAATGCACAAAATGTATCAGAAGTTTCAAAAAGTAATACTTCATGCCATTTTACCACAAGTTTATCTATACTGCTGTGAAGAAGTTTTCTTTTATATTTTTTGAATTTTTGTCATAGTTAATTTTGTAATCTCTCTCAGGAACACACTGCTGTATATGTACATTATTAAAAATAAAGTTGTCACAGTGGTTCTTTAAGTAATGCCATAGAAGAACCACTTTGGTTCATTAAAGAATTATGTTTGAAATAGAGATGTGTGAGTGTGAGGAACCTTCTAAATCTTTAAAGAACGTTCCCAAAATAAAATATTCTATACCAGTTTAAGGGTTCTTCCTAGAACCCTTACATTTTGTAAAAGTTCTTTAAGTCTTTGAAAAGGTTCTTCACACATCATTTACAAAATTTACAAAAATGGTCATTTACAAACATGCTTCTCTAAAGAACCATCCATTGAAAGGTTCTGTGAGGAACTAAAACTTTCTAAAGGTTACATTTAAAATGCAAAACCACAAATGACTTTAATATAATTTTATAAACATACATTGCTTTTGTAAAAGCTGCCAAATAGTGGCCATGCATGAAACATCTACTATGAATTAATATATCATTGTCATATATCATTTTATCTAAAATTTTTTAACTAATTGGAAAACACAAGCTGCCCTTTGCATTGTGTCAAAATTGTGAATGGGCCACCAAAAATTCATCTTGATAAGTTCATTTTGAAGACATGAGGTTTTGTTCAGACAGCGAAAACATTCTTGTTTTTCCATCTGTACACACAATGCTCCCAAACTAACATTGCAGAATGCAAATTAACACCCAATGGACATGATATAGGCATTCTTTGTTTTAGTTCATGTCTCACCTTCAAAGATAGATGTAGCCTCCTCTGGAGAGCACTGCACGTTACTGAGCTCGCCCAGCTGTTTGTCAGGTCTGCGGGAGAGAATGTAAGCTTGCACATTGAAGCAGTAGCTCTTGCCTCTGTCCAGATCCGTCAGCACAATCTCACTGCTCGCACTGAACTTCTCTTTCTAAAAAGGAGAACACAGGTTTCAGTGGGTGAAATCTTTCATTTTTTAAGCTGATGAGTTTCTGACTCTTTTCAAATGGATGTTCACATTCCATTACTTTATCATAGCAGATAGAATCCATACGTGAGCAAAGCTGCAAGCCTGTTCTTGCAAAACTGCAAATTTGGCATAACCCCAAAGGTGGCAGATAGGTTCCGGGCCAAAAGAACCAGTTTAATAGATTAAAATCAACTATATTTCACTTGTAAAACATGTGGCTTGCAACCAGCTGAAATGTTCACAAGGTCTTGCTTTTCTCTTGAGGTCAAATAAGGTGGACCTGTTCACCTCAGAAACCTTCCATTGATTACGTGCAAGAATTACAGACAAGTAAAATACACATCCCAAAACACTTGTAGTCATAGCAGCTGGCCCAGTGTTACATATCATCTCTGTCATATCAAAACCATACCTCTCCACTTGTGGTTCCATTTTAATGTTTCAGCATTATTTGAGCGCAGCAGCTACCCCTGACTTTGCATGAACATTTCATGATGAATGTTGTCTGATAACAATGGTCCAAAATTACAATCTTGTTACACTGTCATACATTAAAAAAAACATTTGTATCTTCTCCTCTTAAATTACCATTTTGGAGATTTTGTTAAGACAACAACAATGTATGTCCATAAAGGTCATTTAGGGTGATATAGGTTTTGTATGTAAGTCTGAAATCAGTAGTTGTGCCAGGTTTTTAGATTAGGAATAATGCTGCTCGTTTTAACGCTAAAGCTTGTCTAGGCAAAGCAAGGAAAATGTGGATTACCATTCATTTGGGCGTAAATGAGGAGCAGCTCTAAACAGCTCTAAAGAGACACAACACTGTCATATTAAACATTATTTTTTGAAATCTGAAAATGCCAGCGGCCCTTTATACTGTGTAAATATTTCATAAAGAACACACCAAAAGAAATGTTCCAAAATTACTTGGAAACCTTATCACAGAAAAGTATGATTTTTTTCCTTCTCTGTACAGTTACCATTTCAGAGATGTGAAGTTTTGTTACATAAATAAAAGTATTCATACAGATCAGCAGTGGACTGACCGTATGATGCTGTACTTTATATCATATTTTAAAGAACTAAAACCAGAATACATTTAAAATCATCGCATACCTTCCCAGTGCTCTTGGCTTTCCTGTAGGTGATCTTATACTGCAAGTCATCTTTAAAGATATCTCGAATGGTCAGTCTCTGTTTCTTATCATCAATGATGGCTGTTGGGATGTCTGTTACATAGAGGGTTATTTTCCGCTGATCATCGCTCACCTCAATCTTAAATTCAGGTTTGCCGATGACAGCTGAAAAAGAAAGGACCAGAATATGCAATGATTTTTTTTTGTGACAACAGGATTTGAATTTGTATTTTGTGAAACTGAAATGGTAAACTGATTTGAAATGGTATATGAAGCTTTGAAGTTGATGAATTAGACGAATTTGTATTCTTTTCTTTTTTAATTTTCTATAAGTTTTTAAATAATCAGATGTAGAAAATCACAATCACATTTACAATCATTGTTAAACAGTGGAAATATAAGAGATCAGATGTTTTTTAAAGAAACCTACTGTCTTGATAGGGAATGAACTGGGGAGATGTTGTGTGGGGGTGCTCAACGAGGTCAGAGGTCTCGCCCCGCGCTGGTTCTGACAGTACATCTGCGTAGTAATGACCTTTGAGGTCTGTGAGTCCAGCAGTTAGATCACATTCAGTTTCAGTGGTTTGAATACAGGAAGGACGCCTTTCGCTGTTCTGGCCCTTTCTGGAAACAAATTACAAGAGCATTTAAGGCTGAAAACTAGTAATCCATGACACAAGCCTTAAAGAAAGGGAAGCATGCTGAAACAAGCAGAGGGTGTGGATTTTTGCAGTATCTTTCTACAGCACATCAGAACTGATCTTAAATGTTAAAAGCGCAAGTCACAAAAGATTTCTTCATGTTGTAGAAATTAAATGCATTGTTTTCTATGCACAGAGATTTACACTATTATCATGTTAAATTGTAAGTAGACACTGGGGAAAAAAATAACCCCTTAAATGGCCAGTACCTGTTGGTGGGTTCACTTAACTTAAGAACAACTTTTTTTCCTGTTAGTTACTGAATAATAACTAATAATTAAGGTGTAATGAGCTGGAGAATTTTAGGGCTAACAGCTTTATGCATAATAAAGTCCTTCTTGAGAAAGCTGTTCTGATACTAAGCTTTAAAAAAAACAGACTGCTCAAGAAAAGAGGTTAACCGTTTCTTAATATCAGAACTAAGGAACTAGTTTTATTAGTTTTATTCAAACTAAATAAATACTTCGAATGAACGATTCTTTAGATCAAAGTGATTTTTTAAATTGAATAAAACTGGTTCAGGTGCTTTTTACCACATGAAGTGATGTTTTAAGGATGAACCGACGAGCCATTTTTACAGTGTACCTGTAGACAGTCTTTCTTTAAGTTACTTGGAATTATAAAACTGAGCCAAGAAAATTTACTTCAGATTCAAAGTGCATATGCTCTATTTTCTGAATCCCACACTAGCAAAACGAACTTGCTAACTAAATATCTAAATAAATAAATAAAGTGAAGAGCATCACTTACTTGGCGAACTCTACCGTATAGGAATAGTTCACTGGTTTAGGGCTCCATGTTAACAGTGTCTTGAAGTTCAAAGAGTCCCAGGTGACATTCTGGGCCTTTGGAAACGTGCCTTCACAAGAATGCACACAGAAACAATCAGATTCATTAAGACCGCAGACAACAGAACAGGACAGATAACCGGGGCAAATGAGAGGTGGAGTGAAATATTCAACAAAGACGAATAGACACGATTTCAGCACAGCTACAAACCGCACCTGAAACACAGTCGGTGGTCAAAAAGAACGCCCATACACAGAGAAAGCCGGAGAGTTTTGTCCGCATCGTGCCCCTTCACTGTATTCCCAGAGGAAAGCTGAACTCCAAACCTCAGCTGATGAAAAACTCCTGAGACCAGGTGAAAATGGGCTACTGTAAACTCCGCCCGTGAGATTTATATGGTCCTGAAGAATTGGTGTTAGTGTGTAATCCCCCAGACTCGGAGCCAAATAGCATTAGTGGAGTGAGCGAGTCACTGCTCATAACTGACTCGTGTCCCTCCTCTATTCAGCGCTTTGTTCACTGAGTGGCTAAGGCTGCACTAACTGAAGCGCAGAGAGCCTCACTAATGACCATATAAGGTTATCCGCTCCGCCTCCGAGGTCGCACTGCAGCTTTACGCTTAATTCACGGAATTTTCCTTTTTTTCTGAAGCTTCACAGCGACTGTATACATGAATGTAGGGCTTATACAATCTAACCTTTCATAATACTCATTATGAATAATTAAATAATGCATAAATATTGAAAATATTATTATGTATCTATACATTAAACCTGATACACTCTAAAAGCAGATGTGTAAAAAAAAAAAAACATTCTGTCTCTAACTGGACACAGTAGTGTGTTCAGTTGGAGACCACACTTTTTGAGTTACTTTTGACACTGAATGTGTTGAAATATTTTCGCACTTATCAGTAACATGAAAGATTATGTTAAATCAGATAATAATATGACACAAAAAGTGTTACAATGGGTAACACAAGTAAAGCCCATTTCACACCAGTTGCAACGCAGCGCACACGCTAATGCGGAACCACGCTTGGTATTTCACACCGGACGCGACACACGCGTCGCGAAGCGAGAGTGGTAGCTGTTTGTGTTGTGTTTTCACGTAATATAAACGTCTGTATTGTCCGTTTATCTCAAATAAACTTTATGTAGATGACATAAAGAAATCAACAATAAAATCTTGACTAGCTGCCGTGACTGTTGCTGGCTTTCTCACCAGATAGCTCTGTATGAAGAGGAGGAGATGCCTGTGTGTTCACAACATTAACCTACTTAAGGAATTTTTAGTCAGCCTCTCAAAGAGTTACAACTAGATTTGTTGATTTGTTTATTAGCCGAGATTGTATATTATAGCACAGACATTGCATTTCTTTACTGTTTCTGCATGCTAGCATGCCGCGCGCGGCACTCGTCAGAAATTGACTCAAAGCGTTTTTTTTTATGGCAAGCCAAGAGGGTCAGAACTCGTCAGGGTTTTGACGGCGTAAAAAGCGCGCGCTATGTTTAAAAACGCCGTCCAGAACCTGTTGGGGAAGGAGGGGATCAGTAAATTCTGGTCATTTCTGCTTATGAGACGCGTGGTGGCGTTCACTAGGCGCCTGCTGCCGGCAGACGTTCTAAAACCTCGCGTTTACCTGATGGCCACAGAGGCCGCGCATTACTGTGATTTTATCATCTGGAGGGGAGTTTTAGGCACCCGCTTCGCGTCGTGAGTGAGAACACTCTTCCCCATGATAAAATTGCAGTAATGTACAGCATCTCGTGGCTTTTTACTTTTATAAAATGGCAGCCAACATAAAATGTGATAAAATACTCTTCTTTTAAGAAACTAATTTATTATTAATAATAATCGACATAAAGAAGTATTCCACCAAGAAATGTTGTTTCTTTAGATTATGGTATTGTTTCCAAGCAACCATGGACCGCTGAATGGTCACCCATCGCTGTATATCGCGGTCATTTCAGGAATTTTTTGCAAAAAACCTTCGCTTAAGTACTTTTTGGTCACCAGTTACCACCAAGAGTCTTATACAGCGCCAATACATTAGCGCCCCTCTGCTTGTACTGGGGCTGAATCACAAAGGTGCCCTGCTCCCTACATAGTGCACTACATAGGAATTTTAATACTGGCATCTGCACCCCAACAGTGCATGCATAATGTAGTTAAAATAGTTATTAAAAATAGTCATTTAAAAATTGTTTGGGATTCAGCCACATTCATACTCGACAAATAGTGCACTATTTGGCTGTAGAAGCTAGAATCTTAAGACCTCCATAGCTAGCACACTACTTAAGGGGTACGTAAGGCATTTGGGATTCAGCCTGAGGTTGACATGATTTCTGACTGCAACACGGACATTTCAAGCATGTAAACCATTCAAGTGACATTCTTTAGACTTTTATATTGCAGTTTTACAGTGAATCACATTGTAAGTACTTTAATTCAAGCCTGTGATATTAAAGATGGAGTTGTTTACGCGGTTTGCTATTTTTAGTCTGTTAGCTAGCTGACCAGCCTACTTCTAGTGAAGAAAATAAGTTATCAGCCCCTCAGTTTGAACAAAAAACATGTTCTTACTTCATCAGTACACTTGGTGGTCCCTGCGAGCAGCAGGAGAGTCAAAGATTATTCCATTAACGACACAAGGATTTTTGTGACATGGTGCAGTAATACAGAGTTCAGTTGTTGTGAGGTGGTCACAGGTATACATACAATGGCTTTGAACATGGCTAAGATAGTCAGATTTTAGGACCAGAACTATTTGTTTTATAATATTGAATTTATTTTCTGCTTTTGAAACTAGTGTGCAGTTACTTTCACATCTTTCCAAAGGTCTTTGCTGTAGTTCAAAGGCTTTGGTGAACATTTAATGGGAATTTAGTGCAGTTCATCTTTATGCTATGTAATCGTTTAACTATTACTCAACAGTGTACTGTGTTAATACAAAAGAAAGGGAAATAATTCAGGTTCTTTTTTTATTACTAAAATTGAACTTGGATTGTATCCTTCATGTTTTGATAATGATCTCCGGCAAACTGATTCTCTGATAGTTTGGTTTTCAGTTTGAGCTCATGCATGACTGTGTTCCAATTATTCCTGCGGTCTTGTATGCTGATTTGTACATCCTATTTAAACACTGTGTAGTGACCATCCATGAGCAGGTCACATGAGTATTCATTTTGTTCATTTGCTACCCTAGTATGTGACATCTATACTAGCTAACATTTGTGCTAGATGGTTAGTTTTTAGCTCAGATAGCTAATAAATGTGCTGTCGTATGAATTTTACCGTTTTGCATTTACATATTCATGAATGTTCTTTTTTCTTTAGGATGATGTTAGAAGTAATTTTTACACATGCAACAAAATTAATTGTTATATTGTGAGTAATAAAATCTTTATCAGAGAAATAAAAAAGTGACAAAGTGTGCATTATGTCAGCTGTTATTCTTTTTAAACTTCTTTATATTCAAAACTGTTACAAATGTATATGGATCATTGGACACTGACTTGAACTATAGACTAAAATTGTTTTGCTTTGAGTGTACCTGAAAAATGTCTCTTTAATTAAAACTAATGATTGAGCATTCCAATTAATCACTACCAGTACAAGAATAACGCCATTACTTTATCGAGCACCATGACTTTATCAAATGTTTCGGTAGTGACTTTCATGACAATTTTAGCTAATTTTGAGCATAACTCAAAACACTAGCCAGTGGATGACTAGCAAGCACAGCTACGAACAGTTATACACACACAAAAACATAACACTGTCACATCAACATAGAATAAGCACATGCATGAACCATACTACCTACAATTTTTTTTGTTAACATGCAGCAGGAGAAACCCGCCCCTCAGTGGTACTGAATAGCTCAGAATAGCAGGCAGGTCATCAACAGCCATGCACTTCACCCTGACGGTAGATACCAACACTACCCCACAGCCCAGCCAAGCATAGTAGCACACATATAACACATATATACATCTCTTAACTGAACAACTGTTTATAAATTAAAGTCCCTCTCACTGCTGTCACAGCAGTACCCATGTTGGTCTGCTCTTGCTGCTACGCATGGCCATGCCTCCAGCGCATCCACGCAACAGTATTTTTCATTAAATCACAAAACATTTGCTTAATGCCTTAAAAATGTGTGTTTTGATAGTTACAATTCTTAAGATTACACACTGATTGTCAGACCTTGAGACAAATTTACTTATAGGATCAACAATGGGATCTAACTGCTCACAATGTGGCCATGAGGGATAGGGATGCAGTTTCACCTCCTCCTCTAAAATGCAGGGGTGTGGCTAAATTCTGTGTATCAGTAGTGACATTAAAATGTGGGTCAGCATTGTTAAAATACATTTTAAATTTGAATCTTTTTAAAAACAACATTGAAAAAATGCAAAAAACTGTGAGTATTATTAGTGAACATAAGTTGAAATTTAGGCGTCGGTATTTTGGACAGCCACTCTCTCGGTAGAACGTACCTTATAAATGTGTGTGTATATATATATATATATATATATATATATATATATATATATATATATATATATATATAGGTGCTGTCCAAAGAAACACAAGTATTTCCATAATGTTCTTTAATATTCTTCTTATGTAATGTGTTAATGATGTAATTTGGCTTTCAGAAAGTTGAAGATAAGTATAATGTTGCATTTGTAAACACACACAGTTGTTCTTGTTCTTCATAAGTAACTATAATAACTTGCCAACTGATAGAATTGATAGAATAAGTGTTGATAGAATAAGAGTTTTTCTGTTGCAATTCTAATGTACTTTATACATTCTGCACTATGTGTAGAGTGTAGAATGCCTTTTTTGTCAAGCTACAAAGAAAGTCAGGTGTCCATTAGTATACAGAAAACTAGAATTTTACTGTATACCAAGTACAAAAATTAAATAGTGTATTAATGTTGTGCACTAACGATGTTAGACACACTTGTGATTCCAGCCAGAATTCTACAAAGTAACTAAGTTCCATTGTTAGAAAGTATGCTTGTCAGAGAGCCAGCGATGCGTGAATTGGTTGCATAGCAACATATGAAAGGACCTTGCATAATATGCATGAAGAACAAATTAAGGATTGTCAGTGCTGCTCTACTGAGGTTCATTTCACAAAGCCTTTAGAAAATGACACCTTAATCAGAAGCTCTGTCTTTTACTTTCATGTTCATCACAAAACAGTTCATGACAAAGCAGACTGTATCCTTGACTAGACTGGAATCCCCTACATTAAATGAAAAAGTACACAGGCCTAGCTGTCCAGATTATATTTAAGAGAAATTCATGAGAAATTGCAAAAAGAGGTAAAGCTTACAGTCATGCAGTTAAATAAATAAATAAATAGGGATGATAACCAGTTTAATAGATTTAGTTAAGGCTGGCGTGATTATATTCACCACTTTATTGTACATGTCATGTGCATTTTTCTGGGCAGTGAGAAACTGCTGCTGGTTCTGTTTATGCTAGA